ATCTTCAAATGTATAAGTTACATGCCCTGGGCGATTATTCCACTTCAATACGCAAATTTGGCACAGCAGATTCATATAGCACTGAACCAGTGAGTACATCGTGATTATATCGTCGATCATATAAAAACTACTTATGCATTATAGGGAGAGCTAGAACACCGAACATCGAAAGCAAGGTATCATCGAACAGACAAAAAAGGATTCGTCAAACAGATTACCAGTATCGAACGGTGCGAAGCTCGTATACATCGCATTCGTGACAGGCAGTCGCCACATGGTGTGGTGATTGATGAAGAAGTCGCTACGTCACCTGAGGCTCATTTCCACGTGGGGAAATCTCAAAACAATCCCGAGAACATCCCACTATTCCACCAAAGGCACCTGGGTGATCCTGCAATCAAAGTAAGTGCCACATAATCATGACAATTGAATGCAATATGGCACTGATTCTGAGTAATAGGACTTCTTGCCTAAGCTTCAACACTTTCTCCTTACTAAAATCAAGGAAACCTTATTTAAAGGAAATGATCTTTCACGCATCAACAGTTCTACCGCAATCATGGTACCAGGAGCTTCCCCGGCATGCTCAAATGCAGAAGTCCGTGTTTTTATCAAGGCTGATCGCATGTACAGACACAACTTGATGTGTCTTAACTACACGACATACGATGTCCACCGAGCTCAGGATATCATCAATCCATCGACATCGCATTGCAATGTCATGCTTCTGGGCCAACCTAGCGAGGACGCAACTGACAGTGATCAACATCCTTATCTATACGCTCGGGTGCTTGGCATTTATCATGTCAATGTGAGTTATATCGGCCCTGGCATGATCAACTACGACTCACAATGAATTGACTTCCTTTGGGTGCGCTGGTATCAACACATAGATGTTGGTGAAGGCTCGAGCCGATGTACATCTGTACTAGATCGTGTTTGCTTCCCTCCTATGGCGGATCCAGACACGTTTGGGTTTGTTGACCCCGATAACATTCTTAGATGTTGCCATGTTATTCCGCAATTCACTCAAGGCCTGCGGTGTTTGGATGGCAGGAGCATTTCCCATTGTGCTCAAGATAAGCTTGACTGGCGGTACTACTATATCAATCAGTGCGTCTAACATCTCTACCTAAATGAGGTTTCACTGATACAGCAGCTTGGGTTTGTAGACCATGACATGTTCATGCGTTATCAATGGGGTTTAGGAGTTGGGCACACATACGCCCATACTAGTCACAAAGCTACCGACACCACTGTAATTTTTGAGGATCTTGAAGAAGAGGAAATTCAAGATCAGGGTATATGTGACTCTGACTCGGATCATTCAAGTTTGGGATCCGGTTCAGGTGAAGACTCTGAAGACGAGTGTAGTGATAGTGACTCTACCCTTGACTATGAAAACTAGATGTGCCATAGGAAGGCAGAACAAGGGAGCTTGACTAGGCCTCGGCTCATGTACTTATTTTTTTTGTCAATGTCATCGTGAGGTTTCAGGAAACCATTGGAAGAATCCACTAGTAGTGATGACACTTATCAATGGCTTATCAATGGCTCAAACTTGTTGATAGTTGTTGATTTTGGGCTCTGGTGCTGACTACCAACAGCAGCAGCATCACTCAGCCTTTCGCACAGACTGGGGACGTCTCTGGTGCAGGTGCAAGGAAGTGTTGCTCAAGTTGTTTCAATCCAAACAGGCTTATCGTAGTAATCCAACAGATCGATATGAGCCGAACTCGAACGCATCCTTTAAAACATTCAACTTCGAAACCTCTCGCTATCAGAAGCAGTCCTTCAATACCCAGTACTCTTTGTGAGCACTCATTATTTCATTGTTATTTTCTATTGTTAATCACCAGTTACATTTCACTAGTCACTCACCATACCAAGCGGCTCGAGGCAACTCTGAGTATATACGGACAACGATCTTGATATCAGTGTTTGAGATTGGATTTCAAACACCTGCTACAGGAAGTCAAATACTCTACCGCAACAGCTTTGGGTACCCAGGATAGGTCAGTGACATATTCACGTTGATGGGGAGTCAACGTCGAAATGTTGACGGCCACATTGATTCATCGCTATAGATTGAATCTGCGAAGGCTATTCACCATCATAGAGCTGTTCAGAATGAAATCGCTCCGCAAAAACGGGGTACGAGTTCGCCTCGAGTCAATAAAGGTCGCACTAGACTTCGATGCAAGGAATATCGAAAAATAAAGCGATATGATATGATGTGTAAGCTTTAGTAGGTGGGTTTTAAAAGACCGTCAGTATAGTGCTAACCATCGCACCGACTCATCATTTGACAGATTATCACTGCCGCCATCCCCAATTATGTCCTCACAGCTCAGAGTTGGTCATATCTATAATCCTCCCACAGCTGAGAAGGAAGCGACCATATTTGATTGGTTTAGCCGCTCGGTAAATTCTGAACCTTTGATTTATTTTAGGCTGACTCAAATGCATGACTATTCTAGCGTCACTTACTAGTTGAAACCCTTGAGGGGTCTTTCCTCAAGGTGGCTCACGTCCTACCTTGGCAAGTGAATGCGTCCACCGTGGACATAGAGAAGGCTTATGAATCTGTCTATATGGTAGGTCATATTCCGAGTCTGTCAAAGTACCACTAAAGTCGTCTACAGGATATGCGCCAGCAAGCCGATGTAACTGTAAGTGCTTTCATTGAGTTCAGATGGGCTCATTGGTCACCCCTGACATTTCACTAGTCATTCACCATCCCACACGGCTGGAAGCAACTCTGGGTATATACAGACAACGATCTCATAACAAGGCCTGTCATTCAAGTGCGTATGCAATATATCGCACCGAGGATGAGTTGTTGACTTTTTGACAGAAAGACATGGAGCCAGGGCACAACATCGCCCTCATCAATCATCACTCCTCTGTCAACGGCTCTCAATTCAGCGACTTTCAAAGCCAGGTCGACACTGGGTTTGATGGAGCATTTTTGGATGACGATTTCATGTCCGCCATAAGTTCGCTCAAGGGGCAAATGGACATGCGCAGATACATCAGCGTTCAGGATTGGATTCCCAACATCTAATTCAGGGAATTGTCGGAGTTGTACTGACATGGCTAATGCACACCCACAGGTATACAACGAGAGATACAAATTTGTGAAGTCCCTAAAGGAAAACTGTTTCACTCTCGCTGAGGATCTACGGAAGAAGGCTCTGGGTGGCTTTTTTTGGAAGACTAACACGCCGGGAGCGACTGACCCTATATCACTCAGCTTACTGGTATGATGACTTGGAATGACGAGGTGACATCGGTTAGCTTTGCCTGCTCTTCCTGGGGTATGAAATTCGTTTGAAATCATAGGATTGCGATACTGATTTGTATCCTACAGAAATATTAGTGTGGGATGCCAATCCTGGTAATCCTGGCACTTCGTATTTTGCAGCCGCTCAGGTTGCAACACTGCTCGCTATTAGATCTCTTTCCCACCCAATACGACAAGCTACCAGAGCATCTGATCGCCAGTGCATGCGGTGTAGAGACTCATGCCTCTCATGGCGTGATATGGCAGTTTCCACTAAGGGAGTATACAGCACCAACTCGCAGCACCACTCTGTGTACTGTCCACAGCAATTCCTATATGAGGCGCAGCTTTCCTGTGCAATGCGCGCACCATTCCCGCGCTTGCGTGCCCTATAGCACCAGCCATCCAGATGCATCCATCCACTGTCCACCAAGCTCCCTAGTGCGTATATTTCCATTTCCTTTATTAGCATAGTGTTCCACCTTTATTTTTATCATGGACTCTCACCCATATATATCCTTACATACCTACTCGGTAGTGCTTCGGCTCCGCATGACCGCGCTTAGGCGCGCTATATAAGCGCCAGCAGTACATACTATTACGGACTTACTTTTCACCTAACTTTACTTTTGACTTGAGTACCACCCACTATTTACCTAGCTGAACATAGTAGAAATCTATTTGTCTGCACTTTGCACCTCTCTTCACTTGTCTTACATCTTATCCTCACTTAAGCTTACTCTTTCTCATTTCCACACATGCGCGCGCGCTTTCCCGCACTTCGCGCTAATATGCGCGCGCGTTCCCGCACCTTCATACCTGGCGCGCACCTGCGCTTTCTCACGCCTCGCTTCAGCGCATACCTCTAGATCTTTGCTGCACTCACTTCCCTTTAGGGTCAAACGTGCTTGTCTCCTCAAGTAACGCAGACTAGGCAACGCACGACCTACAACATTTTATAGATACAGTCAGGAGCATTCAATTGTTCCTCTCAGTATCATTGTTTCTACAGCGGGATGGTGCGTGACATTTGCAATTTGAAAGCTGATTCTTATCCTGTTCACAGCACCATTTTCTTCAGGCGTTGACTTCCCGGATATCCAACAGGTACCAAAATTTCATCCGACGCATTCAAGAGGCACTTGGTCAACCTTTGGGATTGGACTCAGGCACCTGCTACAGGGTGTACCGTGGCTAGCACGTTATGCCTTATTCTATAGGACTCACCACCCCACTTTCGCACTTCAAAGCGGGGTTAGACTACAAGGATGTAGATAATCCATCGCATCCCTGCTTGTATGATCCCAGTACGTTCCTTGTAGCACACTTGACTACCACTTGGACCCTATCCCTGGTACCTGCTGTATGAGGGAAGTCGGAAAATAATTGCCCCAAGCTTTTCTTGCTTTACATCTAATACCGATCACTCATTTTAGCTCCAAAGGTGCATCTGGATCAAGAGATGATGATATGATGCCTCAAAGGCAGTGTTCTTGATTGGATTACTCCAAAGGGACAAAATCTCATTAACATGAAAGTTGACGGTGATTTTCACCGTGAACAGGCAGGCGCGTCGCTGATACTGATGCTGATGCCTCCTATGTAGTTGATTTCCTCCACCACAACCCATATTGCTGCACTCACGCCCGGATGAACGCACATAGGCATCGTGGTCCTCGGAATTGATGAGACCTTCGATGTGTTGCGCTCTATAATGTCACTTGATGGCTGGGATACAAATAACGCACGGAATTGCCTTGCAGATAGGGGACACCAGCAACATTATACTTCCATGCAGCTCCGCCCGCTGCGCATCACTCAACCACGTCACTTGCTTTTCGAGATCGTATTCGACCAAAGCGCACCAGCTGCGTTCCAATCCAATCAAATAACTGTTAGTTGCAACTTTGTCCCAGGTCTGTATGCGATCAGGAGCCAATATGCCAGCAGATTCGCCTTGTACAACTGGACATACCGTCTTGGCCCTACATACCACCCTCATGTGAGTACTACCCACCTGCTGGGGCAAACCGAGCTTTTTACCTGGTCAGCATCTGGCACCATTATCACAGATGCCATTGCTTCCTCGCCCCCCACTGTAGTGGCGTACATCATTGACACCCCACGGGCGACAGCTCCTGTAACATTCATGTCCAACATTGTGTATGCCTGCAGGTGAGCACTGTGTCATCTAGCATTTCGACAATATGTGACACATTATCAGTATCATGTATCAGACAAAATTGCCATTCATCCTTGTCTTTAACACTACTTCCGTAAGTGATACACTACTTGAGGCGCCTGATACTGAAATAAACCTCTTACAGTGATCCGGGTATCCCACAGCATGCGGACGTTGATTGTATACAGTCTAGATGCGAGCACCAGTCATCCGGGGTTGGAACAGCTTCAATTAATTTTGAACAAACCTCGAAGCGCGACAACTTGACTGAGAGCGAAAGGTATCAACCAGCCCAGTCATTCTCTCGTAGTGACAAGCCTGACCATATCTTCAGACACTACCATTGATTCGCGTCCCATACTGACTACAACGCAGTCCAATATGCGACCGCTGCCATCCCGTCAGTATCTTATCATGAAAAATATGATTTGAGATGCGAATCACTTTCCTATTGGTTCAAAAAGGAAACACATCGGTTAATGCAAACATGTCTGGTTGTCGGCCTGCACGTGGGGCTCCAAAACTGAAGAAGCTTAAAGCTTCACCGATCCAGGACTCGTTCAGCGTGGAACCTAGTGGTATGGAAGTTGATGTTCATGGTCGCCAGAATGTGTCCAGCGCTTCTGAGATTGACTGCGATGAAGAAACATGTAAGTACTTGTGCATTGTGACCTTTGATGATTGTTTTCTGATAAATAAAGTATCCTTGGGCCCGCTCAAAAGTTGTCGAAAAGACGAATTTCTTAAACTGTACACTGCAACAAGCTGTTGGACGATACGCATAACCTCACAAAGCTGTAGCTCCGCTGAAGCAATTATTGCAACGCGATGTAGAAACAACAATACAGAGAGGAACAAAAGATGCTCCTAACTGTATCTAAAAATGTTGTAGGTCAAGTGTTGCCTAGTCTGCGTTACTTGAGGAGACAAGTGCGTTCAACCCTAAAGGGGAAGTGAGTGCAGCAAAGATCTACAGGTATGCGCAGAAGTGAAGCATGAGAAAGCGCAAGTGCGCGCAAGGCGCGGGAACACGCGTGCATATGCAGAAATGAGAGACTATGCTTAAGTGATGATATAAAACAAGATAAGAGATGTGAGATGTGATGTGCTAATGAATAGGTTTCTACTGCGACTTTCTAGGTATTAAGTAGGTAAGTAAAGATGGGTGAAAAAGTAAGTGAGTAATAGTATGTACTGCTGGCGCTTATATAGCGCGCCTAAGCGCGGTCATGCGGAGCCGAAGCACTACCGAGTAGGTATGTAAGGATATATATGGGTGAGAGTCCATGATAAAAATAAAGGTGGAACACTATGCTAATAAAGGAAATGGAAATATACGCACTAGGGAGCTTGGTGGACAGTGGATGGATGCATCTGGATGGCTGGCGCTATAGGGCGCGCAAGTGCGGGAACGCGCGCACGCACATACATCGCGAAGTGCGGGAATGGTGCGCGCATGGCGCACGTTGCACGGGAAAGCTGCACCTCATATAGAGATAGCTGTGGGTAGCGCACAGAGTGATGCTACAAGTTCGTGCTATGTACTTCCTAGTGAAAACTATCATATCAGACCATGAGAGGCATGATTCTCTACAGCGAGATGATATCATATGATTACCTCCCTCATCTCCTGAGCGGGATATGAGCGACTGCTCCTAGCGACCTTATCTGCCCCGTCTGTCTGTCCTTGGCATGTAATAATCTCAATTCATCGCCATCCATGGCGGGCACTCATATAACAACATTTTGAACAGGGCTACACAAAAATCACCCTCCTTACAACTAATCCCAGCCCGAAGACTATTCATCTGCACTCTAGACAATGCAGTATGTGCTGCGCTTGAATTCCGGATGACTTGTTTGACGTGTTTTCTGCAGCAATTCACTCTGTTTCTGTCGTGTCACACCCAGCGGATTTTGTTCACTATGATGCTCTCGCTCAGATCAACTTAAATCCTCAGGATTGCCATACTTATCCAGAGCTGAAGCGGAAAATATATTCTGCATTGGACCGAGGCGATGAGGGTGAACTATCGATTGCAATTCCATAGGAAGTTTCGCTTTGACAAACTGGCCATACAAACCAATCGCTTTTAACGGTCATCTCAGTGAAGGTAAATTTCGGTGCTTGAGGATTATATGTCACACATTCATTTTTTTTATACCATATTAGCTGCTATGCCTGAGCCTCATACCCCCATCTCTTCCCACACACCTGAACCCAGACCTGAATTCATGCCCGTTGTGGTTCACATTGATTTTAGCCTGAGAAGCCCTGTCGATGGCATCCAGTTCGTGCTACCTACTGGCTCCGAGTCTTACCCATATGTAAGCAACTACTATGTTTGTGATGAAGAAGTTCTGATATTTTCCAGCATGTACCGCATGCATATACAACATCATCGTCTCCTGATGCTGCGAGATGCTTGGGTTCCATGCGTCCACAGTGTGTGGGAGAAGTGCACTTGGGAGTTCGAATTTGTTGTTCCTCGCTATCTCGAAGAGCCTGATCCTGGTCACCGTGGAGAGAATGGTGATTTTGAAGAGTCCCAGGAGTCTATCCAGACGGTAGTTATCTGCAGTGGCAACCTCATGGATCAGGCATGTCGCCCACGTACTTCTCTTCGGGCGGGCTAACAACGGCCACACAGGTTGCACATCCTAACAACTCGAACAAAACCATCTTTTTTGTTTTCTCAAGCAGTGTTGACGTTCGTACAGCATGTCGCTTTTGCTGCTGGACCATTCCATGTGCATCCCATCCCGACAGAGCTCACATCAGAGGATACGTCTGGCATTTCACAGCCTCTGATGCATGCATTTTGCTTGCCTGGTCACGAATCTATGCTCCATTCGTTGATTTCATCCCTGCATTCGGCGATGAACTTCTACAGTACAGAGTTCGGTTCCTACCCATTTGGATCATACAAAGTGGTAGCAGTGGACGAGATGCCTGCTCAGCGTTTTGACAGCTCGACGCTATCAATAATCACTGTGGACCTTCTTCATGGCGAGGACTCGATTGAGCAGGTGCTTGAAACCCAGCAAGCACTTAGTCACGCCCTGGCCTGTCAGTGGATGGGAATCAACATCCAACAAAAGACATGGTCAGATACTTGGCTTGTAAATGGTCTTGCGCTGTATATCACCAGCCTGTTCGTCCGCAAGCTCCTGGGAAATAATGAGTATCGATACAGGCTCAAGCGGGACATGCAACGAGTCGTCAAGTGGGACAACGGATCGATGCCACCCATCTGCCAACCACAGCATAATGATCCCCCAGACTCCATGACACTACCTTTTATTAACTTGAAGGCGCCCCTCATGCTGCACATTTTGGATCGACATCTTGGCAAGTCTGGTACCTCGCTCGGTCTTCCTCGTGTCCTGCCCAAGATTTTCTTGTCAGCAATGAGCGGAGAGTTGCAAAATAATGCTCTATCGACACACTTGTTCTTGCGTACATGCAGGAAGGTCAGCGGAATTGATCTTCGGTCATTCACTGAGCAGTGGATCTACGGTAGTGGTTGTCCAGCGTTCGGGTTCTCTGCTTCTTTCAATAGGAAGAAGATGGCAGTCGAGATCACGATGTGACAAGATTCGCCAGCATACAAGGCGCTCGAGCACAACAAGGTGTCGAAACTGTTGCATAAGCCTGTACCATTTTTTGAGGTGTGTTTATGAGCAGTAGCATCCTGATCAAGCCCCCCTCACTAGTCTCTAAAGGGCCAAATGACTGTTCGGATCCATGAAGCGGATGGCACTCCATATGAGCACGTTTTAGACATTCGTTCGTCCTTCAAACACTTTGAAGTCCCTTTCAACACGAAGTACAAACATATCTGACGAAATACCAAGAGATACTTGGCACGACAAGTGGCTGCTCAGGCTGCAGTGGAAGGCAATGCAGAAGCTGCTGAAGCCATGGGTCTAATCGACATGGGTTTTGGACTTGAGATCTGGGAAAAGGAAAAGGAAAAGGAGCGAGAAAACTGGAAGGTGGCTGACTGGACCGAGGAAGATGAGCAGGTGATGTCGGGTGCAACGTACGAGTGGATTCGCATGGACACTGATTTTGAATGGATCGCCGCTATCGCTTTTGAACAGCCCGACTTTATGTGGATGTCACAGTTGCAGCGAGATTGCGATGTCGTTGCGCAACTAGAAGTGAGTTATTTGTCGACAATTCATCTTCCTGACTTAAACTTTCATAGGCTGTTAATGCTCTCGCAAAGCAATCCACCGCCATCATTTCGAGTACATTCACCAAGACAGTGCTCGTCTCCAATTACTATTATCGCATACGGTGTGAGGCTGCGATGGCTCTAGTGCACGTCAGTGTTTTTAGATTTGTTAACTTTTCAAGTTGTTTCTGACATGAAAACATCAGTGTGCTATTCGGAAACTTGATTTCTTGGGACTATTTCATCTATTCAAGTTATTCCTTCGCTACTGTTATGACCCTGAAGACCCCAACCAAGATTTATTCGCTCATACTTACGTCCCAAAGCCTAATGACTTCTCTGACCTGGCAGAATACTTTGTTCGAAAGGTATGTTTTCAGGGTGCTACCTCTATCTCACAACTCATGAATATTCAGAGTCTCGTTCACGCAATATCTCAAGTGCGCTTTGAGAATGGCAAGACACCTTCAGTAGTTCGTCAGTTCCTTGTCGACCAGCTTCGTTACAACGACAACACAGTGAATCCGGTGAAGGTACAACAATTCAGATGGTGAGTCTGAACAATGTGTTGGGTCTTGCAGAACCTAGCTGCTATTCGACCCTAAAGGGTTTCTGGACTAGGCTCAAGGCTCAGAAGAGAGGAAATATCATAGAAAACTACTGAGCACTCGGACTCATACTGGTAACTGGTGAAAAGATTGCTTGATTATGTAAGCTACAAAAGTGCCAACATAAGGTAAGGTAAAAACAGTCTCTACAAGCCCAGCCAGAAATGAATCCCTACACCAGTTAGCATGATATCGTCACAAATAGTTACTAATTCCAACGCTCTTTAGTACTTGGACATGTTCTACATATGCACTATGATTTCAGCTCCCAGCTCATCAACGCCGATCTGGACATGTACTACGCGCCCTCCGACAGGCAGCTGCTCAAGCTGCATCAGAAGGCGACGTGGACGTACGTTCGAACGAGCAATATGCTTGACGACGCGTTCGAATCCACCAATTTAATATACACCGCTGTAGAAACAACTATCCAGATGGTGGTATTCTGAACTATGTGTTGGGTCTGCTTGCCTAAGCTGCTATGCTTGTGGTGACAAGTGCATTCGACCCTAAAGGGGAAGCAAGTACAGCAGAGATCTAGGGGTTGGTGCAAAGGGTGCCGTTCATCGGCCGACGTAGAGCGCAGGAAAGCGCAAGAACGAAGCGCTTAGGGCGGCCAATGCGCGGGAAGGTAGCGCTTGAGCAGTGCAAAGCGCGGGAAAAGCGCAAGGTGGGTTTACAAGCAGAGGTTCGTAATAGACGTTAAGGATGTTCTTATTGCCAATAGATACTGACTATGGCATGTGACGGATGAGCTTTTACACTGATAGTGAGGTGCAGGGAGCTTCTATATGATTCGATGATGTAAAATATGAACTACAGGTGCTTATATATGTCTAAAAATGCGCCCCTGAAGCGGAGCCGAAGCGAGTAGGTAAGGTATGTAATAAGGGTCCATGACATGAGAATTGAGCAATCATTAAATAGAATATGGTCTGATATGGAGAAAATGATAGGAACACATACCAGTGAGGTTAGTTTGGACAATGGATGGACATGCGATGTAGGGCGCTTCGAGCGCGGGAAAGCGCGCCTAATGCGCGCGCAAGAATGCTGCGCTTGGGGCGGCCGATGCGTGGGAAGGTAGCGCGCTGAAGGTACAACAATTCAGATGGTGAGTCTGAACAATATGTTGGGTCTTGCAGAACCTAGCTGCTATTCGACCCTAAAGGGTTTCTGGACCAGGCTCAAGGCTCAGAGGAGAGGAAATATCATAGAAAACTACTGAGCACTCAGACTCATACTGGTAACTGGTGAAAAGATTGCTTGATTATGTAAGCTACAAAAGTGCCAACATAAGGTAAGGTAAAAACAGTCTCTACAAGCCCAGCCAGAAATGAATCCCTACAGCGCGCTTGGCGCGGGAGAGTTTTGCTTTGCATAGGGAATGATTGGAAAGGTATTGGCACAAGTTGTGCATCAAACTGTACTCTGAGACAGGTCGCATATATAGCCTCTGCAAGGCCACAGAGATATCAGTCTCTACACCGCGCGCTCAAGGTAACTACTGATTCCTTCTGATCCCCAGCAGCCTCCTGACCTCCACCAATTCCTTCCAGGTGTTTTCCACCCATTTGACGGTGTCTTCCAGCTCCTGCTCCTTCTGTAACGCTGTGTCAGTAGGGGTTGCATAGGAGCTGAGCAAGGAGTGCATAGGCAGGAGGTGTTGCAGGTGTCAGGGGCATTAGAGGTGTCAGAGGTCCTGGTAGAGTCTTAGAGGTAGCGCCAGTGCCTTGTAGCAGAAGCATAACATCCACTACAAAGCATCATTCATAGAGTCACCCTGCTTCGTCGTACCGACTCACCTGGTGACTAGAGTGAGCATCTCCATGGCCTACCTTGCGCGAACAAGCCAGCCCGACGGACTTTGTTTTCTCACCCAGATTCCTTGGTTTTTTTTTTTTTTTTTTGGTCTTCTCTTCTCTCTGCATTCGTCGTGATCCATACATCCCAGTTCCGTTCCTGTTCTAGAAGTACCTTCTAACTTTTCTCGTCTACTTCTTTCCAACGTACTATAAACTATCCAACCTTCTAGTTTACTTTTCTTTTACCATACTACAAATTGCCCAGCCTCTCTTGTTTACTCGTTTTCAGCACACCTTAGAATTCTCAGCCTCTCTCGTCTACTCATTTTCCTTTTTCTTTTGATAGATCTTAACGTTCGCAGCCTCTCTCATATACTCCTTTTAGATATTCGCACCGCACGCAGTCATCACGGCCCTCAAGATCGAGGACATTGCGAAGCTTCGCAACATCTCGTTTGAACAGCCAGCATTCTCATTAAGCCCCCGCAGACGAGCCTCCGACTCCTCAGTAAAGGTACATATTGCCTCTCCCCCACCACAACCACCAGCCAGATTTGCACCCAACCTTCGTCACATTCGACAAAAGCATCAGGCCAACCAACAGTCGTCAAAAGCACAACCCCCCACGCAAGTTCATCCAGTTATAACCATGTCATCGATTATCTCACCACCAGTCTTACCGTTACTCCGAGGCGATTACGCAGGAGGAGAAGAGCCTAACGAATGGTTACGACAGCTTGACCTCAACCTACCTGCAACATGGACCGACGCGCAAAAAGTCGACAGGTTCCGTCGGCAATGCGCCCCAGGAAGCTTGGCCGAGACTTGGTTCGCCACATTGACAACTGCCCAGACTGCAACATGGGCCGATTTAGAGGCAGCATTCATCACCCGTTGGCCACCCAACTTACCGTTGCAATTAACAGCGGGACAGAAGAAAGAACGGCTCAAGGCCATTGTCTTGAAGGAAGAGGACATTGGGTCCATGCTAGATGACGAGAAAGGACAGGAATGGGGCCATGTGAGATGGGCAAGGCAGGTGCAGAGGTTGGTGCAGAGTTTTGGGGATAGCAATTGCCAGTACTTGGACGTGGTGCTCGACGGAGTGCCCGATATCTTGCGTGACCAACTCACGGACTCATACACGAGCTGGGCCGCATTCCTCGCAGGTGTTAACAGCGTCTCTATTAACCTCCTCAACAGAGCGAGACTACAAGCAACCGAGGAATGCACCATGAGAGACGACATCGCCCAGTTGAAAGCCAAACTGCAGTCCCAGCAGCAGAATCCGCAAGCGAGACCGTACACAACCAATCCCCCAACGTACAGACCTTACCCAAGACAAGTAGGCAGCATGGCACCCGCCCTAGCAGCACAAGCACAAGGCCAGCCAACTCAGCAAACCGTTGGACAGTCCAATGCAAACTTTGTTCCAGTACAACAGTACCAGATCCCAACGTTCCAGCCGCAACCAACAGCACCCAGCTACCAGCAGCCACCGGTCACGCCTGGACCAAACCTGTTTGCTGGAGCAGGCACCGTGCCCAGCACCAACCTGTTCTACCGCTACCAGCAGCCTCCCCAAACCCCTTCTCGTGCAAACACCACAGATCTCATTCGCCTAGCGACCCAATTTTCCAATCTCGCCCATCACCCAGATACAGAAGCAGGTCGTGCTGCCTACAACCAGCAGATCAAAGACTGGCACAACAAGAACGGCGCGGACGCCATGCCCAACACGGGAAGACCTTACCCGTTGAAACCAGGATCAGCAATGCTGGGATCGCGCGAGTGCTTCACCTGCGGAATGGTGACCATGCCATCCCATCAAGCCAGTAGCTGCACCAACCCTCCAACAGTACCACAGGAGACGAAGTGGAGAGAGATCATATCAAGCATGGTGGGACGTACCATGCGGTCGCAAAGCGCCATGATGACTCCATCTGCTGCAATCCAGTACGTAGCCACAGTGCCGACTACTTACTACGACCCAATGGGTCCCTATGCCACGTACCCGAACATATACACGGAGCAGCAGTATGAGTTCCAGGGAAACGGGATGGGACTACAGCAATGAAGGGCAACACTGTAGTCCCAACCGAGGAAGTCGTCGACGTAATGATACCAGTCTCGCCCACCTCAGCCCACCTCGAAGAACACCAGCAAATCTATTCACCCGATATCTCCTCAGGGTTCATTTCATGCATGTCAACTGCAGATTCTTCGCCACTAGACTCAGAAGTCGTCTCCACAGTATCCTCACCTGCACCGTCCGCAGAGGGCGACAGCAGCACGAGCAATCCTGTCTTCGGAGAGAACCAAGAACTATTGTCTATTAAGTTTCGTTCTTCTTCCCCATCTCCCCTTTCGTTAGATTTCACACTGTCTGATACTTTCATTTTGTTAGAACCACCTAGTTATGTCGCTGACTCCACTCCCAATGATTTAGTCCAATCTCTCGATGATGTAGTTTCACTCTCCACGAACCCCACCTCTGATTCCGTCGTACACGTCATGCCTTCTGATGCAATCAAACCCATTGACTTGTATTCGGTTGAGTCGAGAATGGTGCAGGCAGAAGGCCAACCGTTCATAACACAAATAAATCTGTATGGAGAAGGTGGTGATTCGTCCAACTTTCATGCACACGTTGACGACGGGGCCATGATCAATGCAATCGACGCTGAAGCATATCACACAGCGTCGAAGCGGATGGGTAGCCTATCTCCTTCCAAGCGTATACTTCGCATGGCAGACGGCTCCCTAGTACCTTCCTCAGGCGTCTGGAACAGGAAAATCAAGTGGCGTGACGCGGCAACTACAACAATGTTCGAAGTTTTTGCAAGTGGGGGCTCATGGAAAGTTCTCATAGGCAGACCGTTATTGAGCCAACTACAGGCAATACATGACTACTCCAACGACACCATCACTATCCCTAGCACCAACCCTCTCAAACATGAACCTACCATCATCACGAACCTCTTCGGAACACCCGCAACTCGTTCAAAACGACTGGTTAGTTACAAAGCCACAGTTTCGAATGAACTCGAACAGGACCCGTTTCCCTCCCAACCTACCGACACCCACGTTATGGTAGTTACCATCCCACCAGACGCCCAGCACCCAAGTCTCCCACAACCGGCAGTTCATGCCAGGGAACACCACATCTTCTCCTACACCAACGACTCAAGTCACACGACCATCACGGACCTTGCAACCAAACTCTCTCAGGCGGGAGCACACATCGTTATGGCAGACCACAGGCCAGCCTTAGAATTCGCATCCACAACGAGCGACTACCCTGAGTCCCCATGCACGCCAGTTCGGTTCACCGAATCAGCAACAGCGGGTGACAACATTGGAGAAGTACCGGACTTCCCAATCCCTAATGAGAATAGTTGCGGGATATATATGAGGCACACCAACCCGTTCAACCCGATATGAGTGAAGGAGATATTGAAGTTGGTGAAGATAGGCAAGGATTTAATGGAGGAACAACGAGGGAAAGTTCGTGAATTCATAGCGAAGAACACAGACGCATTTGCACTCACAGTTAAGGAAGTATTCCCAGTCGATTTCAAGTCCTTCAAACTCACGTTTCCACCAGATACCGCGTTCTCAACAAAAGTCAACCAATGGCCGCTAACCCCGCCTCAACGCGAATACCTGTACGCAAGGCTCAATGAGATGGAGTCTGCAGGCATCATTCGACGAATCCCTCCTGAAGATGTCAAGGCGTCAGCACCCACTGCGTTAGCACAAAAGGCTCACAGTGCAGACAGCGTCCCTATCGAAGAACTCTGGCACAGGGTCAACGACCAATGTGCACAGCATGGATTCCCAACGAGAGACGACTTACCACCATGGCCACCCATAACGCCCACGGTTAACGCTGTTCCGACCGGCCCTAAGTGGCGTATTTGTCAGAATTTCGCAGAGATCAACAAAGCCAGCCAAATCCCACCAGTACCCCAGGGCGACATACAGGCCAAACAGCAACGACTTTCGGGACACCGATGGATCAGCATCATCGACTTTGCAGCCAGGTTCTACGCCATACCAGTGGATGAAGACACTCAGCCCTATCTGGCATTTTACACAGAAGGACGTGGATATGACTGCTATTGCAGAATGCCATTCGGCCTAATGGGAGCGCCAACTACCTTTAGTGATATGGCAGCTACGGCCCTAAGAGATCAAATTGGTCTATTATACGAGCTCTACGTGGACGACAACGGTATGGCAGGAGACAACTTTGATGAGAAATTGGAAAGATTGGGTAAGTTCTTTAATCGTGTCAGAGAAAAACGACTCTCGCTCTCTCCACAGAAAACCCAGCTGTTCATGTCGGAAGTAGTGTTCGCGGGCGCACGAGTAGGAAAAGATGGTGTTCGACCTGACCTCACTAAACTCTCAGCCATAGCGGATTGGACACCTCCCCGAACACTACATAACCTCATGCAGTTCTTAGGCCTGACAGGCTACTTCCGGCCACTCATCAAGAATTACGCCAAAATAGCCGCACCACTCACCGATCTCGTACGCAGATTGGGCGTACCAGCTGGAGGACAACAGGTAGGTAAACGTAAGTATCGAGAACACCTCCGGAAAACGTTCTTAACCGACTACTGGAAACATAATCACATGGATACCTTCCTGCAACTCAAGAAAGCACTGATGTCTGAACCGGTCCTGCGAGGACCACGCTTTGATGGTACCCCGTTCATAGTAACAACAGACGGCTGTAAAGACGGATTCGGCGCAGTCCTCGCACAACGGTTCACAACGGTCCTACCCTCAGGCAAGACAACAACAGCAGCTCACCCCATCGCGTATGCGTCAAAACGGACCTCCAAAACAGAAGAGAAGTACAAACCGTTCTTGCTAGAATTTGCCGCACTGAAATTCGGCCTTGACAGATTTTCAGACGTCATTTGGGGATCTCCAATAGAAATTGAGACCGATTGTCAGGCCTTACGGGACGCCTTACTCAGCTCCAAACTCAACATTGCACACGCACGATGGCGCGACGGCATCCTTGCATACCATATCATCGACGTTAGACACAGGGCGGGAGTAACTAACACGGCAGCTGACGGTTTAAGCAGACAGTTTGTAACATTGGACGCAACAACTGACGACGGTGGCAATTGGACCGTCAACGAAGACTGGGAGTCTTCGAGAGGTATCATTCATGACCTATTCGGCCTCGAAACTGACAATATCTCCCCCCAGACTCTTTCTTCCGACCTCGCCAACCTACGGACCCGCTTCAAGAACGAACCATTATTCCTTGAAGCCTTAGATGCCCTCTGGAACCTCGACCACGGTAAATCGATAAAGGACAAACGACGTGCACGCATCAACACCCAGTCCTACTTCATAGACGAAGGGAAACTATGGTACATCAACAGCAAGGCCACCACCAGAACACACAGCCGGCTAGAATGCATGTCGCAAGAAGAGGCAACTGAACTGGCCAGACAGGAGCACTCGATGAGAGGGCATTGGGGACGAGACCTGGTCAAACTTCAACTCATGGACCATATCCATAGCCCTCACCTCAACCGTTCCATCACCCTCGCCATCATGGACTGCGCGAAATGCAAGAACTTCGGACCCACGCACCTGCATTCACTGTTAGACCCAATAGTACGCTGTCACCCGTTTGAACTCATTGTTGCTGATTACTTGAGCATGCCTGCGGGCAAAGGCGGTTTTTCTGAAATAGCTCTTTTTATTGACACATTCTCTCAGTACACTTGGGGATTTAAGTTCAAGAAAAAGGGAACCGCTAAGTCCACTATCGATTGTCTAACTAAAATACGTCATGACTTCCGAGCCCCAGAATCGTTCATGATGGATGGAGGTTGCCATTTCGACAACCACGATGTCACCGGATGGTGCGCAGCACACAGCACTCAACACCATGTGACAGCAGCCTATGCTCCATGGATCAATGGTGTAGGGATTCATTTCTGGTTGGGCTTGTAGAGACTGTTTTTACCTTACCTTATGTTGGCACTTTTGTAGCTTACATAATCAATCAATCTTTTCACCAGTTACCAGTATGAGTCTGAGTGCTCAGTAGTTTTCTATGATATTTCCTCTCCTCTGAGCCTTGAGCCTGGTCCAGAAACCCTTTAGGGTCGATTAGCAGCTGGGTTCTGCAAGACCCAACATATTGTTCAGACTCACCATCTGAATTGTTGTACCTTCAATGGGTTAGTGGAAGGCACGAATAGCAAGTTGTTGGGGAGATTGCGTTGAGCCTGCGCACCAGAGTTGGGAGAAGACGAGTCTAGCGCAGGAGCAACCCTGGACGAAATTCCAGCTAGCTGGCCAGATCACTTCGAAGCAGCCATCCAACACCTCAACGAATGCACCATTCCCGCATTCCAGTACTCGCCGAAAGAGCTGTTGTTGGGGTTGGTTATCAACACAACCATCACACCATCGCAAGTCACAGCTTCGGCACCGTCACAAAGCGACGTCGACGTTCACTCAGCCTACGTGGCGCAACAACGTTTGGACTCACAGTTCCACACCACGATCCACGCCATCAAATGCAAGCTCAAGTTCGATCGAAAGGTCTTATTATCTGGAACAGGTGAAGTCGTGTTTGCTCCAGGACAGTTAGTTCAAGTCTACGCTAATGAGTTAGATAGTACCTTCAAATCCTCACGAAAACTCGTGCCTCGGTGGTCTGCACCACGACGCATCGTCTCACAATGCAGCAATTCATATGCGCTGTCCACCCTCGAAGGGTTTCCAATGCCAGGCTGGTACCATGCCAGACGCCTGCGCCGTTTCATACCTCAGTCCAGAACAGCATTAGCTGAGCTGCAGAAGGAAATAGAGGACAGCAGAACAGCAGAAACGAGTGGCGAAACAACGGAGGGAGGGGTGAGCATCGAGACATTGGAAGGAGAGACGAGCGAAGACGCGAGGATGGTGTACACTCTTCAAGACCAACCTTCGTTTCCTCTAGAAGCGGTTGCGTTAGACACGCCGTTCAGAGACGCGACCCAGGAGTGTCGCATTTGTTGGGGGGGTATATGTGTCAGTAGGGGTTGCATAGGAGCTGAGCAAGGAGTGCATAGGCAGGAGGTGTTGCAGGTGTCAGGGGCATTAGAGGTGTCAGAGGTCCTGGTAGAGTCTTAGAGGTAGCGCCAGTGCCTTGTAGCAGAAGCATAACATCCACTACAAAGCATCATTCATAGAGTCACCCTGCTTCATCATACCAACTCAACGCCAACAGGGTAAGCCAACATTTATCTTGCTCTGTGGTTGGAATGGGTTCGTACTGCAACGCAGAACGGCAATCTTGGGCGCGACCCTGAGCCGTTTGCATTGCAGTATTCCATAACGCCTGAAAATTGTAAGTACTGAATATGTTTCATAGTGAGTGCCACGTATGATCGCCGAATTGCTGATGACTAGCAGGCCTGGGATGATCATCGGTGGTTCTGGGACTGGTAGTGGCTAGTACTGGGATCAGACGAGCTAGATACAGTTAGAAAACTCATGTACCACTTGTTGCGCTTGAAGATAATTGAACTGGCTGATCTCTTGTTGCAGGTTGAGCTCGCTATGTTCCATTGAGATGTTGTAGTAGATAGCACTTCAGATCTGTGAGGCAAGCGGACTGATATCTGCCTGGGAAATTGCACTTCAATTGAATCAATTAACTCAGCTTGAATTTCATGCGCTCATTATGTAATTGTGAGGCGCCACTGATTTTGCTCAATGCCAAGCGCTACGCGCTTTATTCTGCCCGCCACAACTCTGCGGATTGAATCAATATATGACATAGTAATGAGCTCGCTCTGTTGCTGTATGGCTGCAAAAATACTTGCAACGACCATGGAAGTTATTCATACTCCGCTTGGAGGTGCCGATGGGCTTGCCGATGTCCCAGACCAGTCATTTCAGAGACACCCTCTATTCTGGAGGTCCACAGATGGGCCTTTGCTTCGAGTACTCGTACAATATATCAAGGTGAACTGGAATATGAGTTCTCATTCTTGGTACGTTCCTGTCATTTTGGTCTCTTACTACTAACAACTTTGAATCATCCAGGTTTTCTACTATGCCCTGAAGTCGGTCACGGTGTGTATTCGACTCACCATCCAACTCGTTCAAAGGAGCCTGTTTTTCTCATTGCATCCTTGTAAATTCTGAACACGATGATGTACGTATTCGCTTAGATCTACATTTCCGTCGCACTAATAATCGTTTATTGATAATAGCAACTTCACAGTGACGCTGCCCTTGGTGACGTCCAGGTCTACCCAGACAAGGGCACCGTTGCTTTTGGTTCAGGTCTTCATGGAGCTTGCTACCCCTGGTCTTCAGGAGCCAGTGTATCTCAGTATGTCCTGCTCGCCTCATAGTCTTACAGGGTACTAACGCCATTCACAGTCGAGATCCAATGTCCTGAGAATGCCATCAGCGGTATTTACAGCATGTTGAACAGGCGTCGTGGCCAGGTCTCCAGCGAAGAGCAGAGGCCGGGAACGCCCATGTTCACCGTCAAAGTGTACCTTCCCGTTAATGAGTCCTTCGGCTTCAACAGTGATCTCCACTCACAAACAGCTGGTTATGCCTTCCCCCAGTGTGTGTTCGACCACTGGGAGATCATGAACTCTTACTAACAACTTTGAATCATCCAGGTTTCCTATGTCCAGTGCACACGCCTGATGGATCCCTGTGTGGTCTGCCCAATCATATTTCGAGGGCGTGCCGCATTATTATGGCTCCTCTTTCCATTGCTGAAATCCTTGCACTCCTGGTGGAAGAGGGCCTCAACGAAAGAAGGATGGCGGGGGAGCAGTCGCAACCCATGCCGTACGGAGGAAGTACTACACATTTATGTCAGAATTGAATTGTCTTTATCCTGTCACTACCTTGCTCATGCCTGTGCAAGATTTTATATTGTCGCATAATCGCAAATAACACGCTGAAATTTTGGTCTCACTCTGTCGGCCCTGCCATCAGGATTGTAGTTTATTATCCCTTCGCGCCATTTTCGCTCACGCTTGGGTATTGCTTTGTCGTAGAACAATCATACTTGCGAAATGTTATATAATTCTGTCAGAATTTTAGTTTGCTTGTAGTTTCTTGTCCCTTCGCGCCATTTTCGCTCACGCTTGGGTATTGCTTTGTTGTAGAACAATCATACTTATGAAATGTTACATATTTCCGTCAGAATTTTAGTTTGCTTGTAGTGTATTGACTATCAGTGCCATTTTGCTCCTGTGTGTGTATTGTATTATTGTAAAATATATTGACATATCATACAGTAAAATTTTGATTGGACTTTGCCAAATCCATCTATAAAAAGCATGTCCTCCCCAAATCCGTGATGTTCCAAACTAAATTGAGTTACAACTTGTTGGACTCGCGAGTTAGAAACGAGTTCATGCCATACATTGTAATCCCCTGTACTACATCATAATGGTCATTATTGTTGTATCCCTTCATTGCAATTGGCACACAGATTGGCAGCTAAGTTCCCCTCCAACATCCAAAAGAACTTGGAATCTGGATTGTCACTCTCAGCTATTGAGACCCTGACTGGACACTGAAATTTTCAATTGAAGTAAAACACTTTGTGGCTTAGAGCTATTGCTGCGAGCAACATTTTACCCCATGTCGTTGCAGCAGAATCCTGGCCCATGGTCATTTCCTCCGAGTCATCTCAGCCCTGAACACTTGTCTCCGAACCAACGACAGCACCAGAAACTGTGCAGGAACTCATTCGCAAGGAACTCGAACAAGACAGGAAAGATGCCGAGTGCAAGTTTTCTCGTTACGAAGATGCAGGATTACTACCTGACATGGCTGAACGCACAACGGATATAGTTCGTTTTTGGGAGGTATGTCATATCATTTTTTTTCATTAATTTCATAGAATTAAGGAGTATTATATTCTAGCAAAAAGAACACACATTCCCGCTTCTATTTCGTGTCGCCATGGACGTTCTGCCTGCTCAAGCTTCATCTGTGCCTTCTGAGCGCATATTTTCATCAAGCAAAGAGACCTGCACTCTACGGCGCAGCAACCTATCTCCGACCATACTCGAGGCGCTACAAGTTCTGAAGTTCACTTACAAGCAAGACCACCTCAATTTTACAGAGGACCTGGTAGCTAATGAGCAGGACTACACGAGTGCCATCAGAGAACCTGTGAGAAGAAGATATTGTCATATATCGTTATATATCGGAATATATAGGAAAGGTTTTCGTCACATTGTAATATAAAGTGATATAAAGCAATATATGACCATGTAAAAGCACCATAATCAGCATAATCCCCAGCAAGAACTCACCGGTTTACTGATGCAATATCTGGACCTGTGACTTCAAGAGCAGTTGACGAGCTAATGGCTGCTGGGAATCTTCGCGAGCTCGATCAGTTCCTTGCAAATGCAAGGGAAATTGATTGTAACTAGTTTATTGTAGTTTCTGTCTGCTCATCGTGTATTACTTGCAAAAATCGTCGTTGGCAGTATCTAGCATCCCTGGCTTCTCATTGGCTGAACCACCGGTTCGCATAATTCCGAACTCGTTAGTAACTCGCGAGTCGAACGAGGCGCAACTCGTTGCAACTCGTAAGTATCGAACTGTGTCGAGGTACCACAAATTTCCAACTCGATTCGATTCGATTCGATTCGCCTCGCGGCAACACTAATTCAGGGCTCCGAATGACAAGAGGGTACCCGTTGATGACACATCTTTAATCACTGCGCGTGTTTTCGCGACTTATTTCATGCCCAACAGTAACCTTCCCCTCGGTTTGCGCCTTATTCATGTCCGATCAGTAAAACGGGCATGTTGTTCACGGAACTTACACCAGGCGGTAGCCTCTGCGCCGTCTCCTACGCTGTCTTTCGAGCTTGCTGAGCAAAAAAACGTGTTTTCTACTAGGTGAGTTGTCATTTTGTATCAGTTATCAACGCTTATGCAACACAGGCGACGCGGACGCCTGCCCAAAACTTTTACGGCCCCAATGTCGGAGCTCGAAAGGAGAGTCCTTGCGTTGCAAAATACGCAAGCGCCATCGGATGTCATGCATTCTCAGTCGGTGGGCCCTCCCTTTTAAACTAAACCCTTCACGTCCACTTTCTGATGTGAGCCTAGTTGGAAGCAACCCCGGAGTCAGAGGCAGCGCTTTTCCCTCGTTACACGGACGACGAGTTATTCTCAATGTACGAAGACTTAATACCTCAACAACCGGTAGAGCTCGCGAAGCCCTCAGAGGAACACAGAGAGAGACACGCCATGATTGAAGTGAGAGAACGGGTTTGTGTTTCTGTGCGTCTTCTTGATCTCAAAATGATGGGGTCAAACATCCTTACAGACCTTATAGATGCGCGACGGAGACTTGAGCAGCGCAGAAAGTGCAATACGAACAGCTCAACTTTCCGGTATTACACTACCCGAAGACATTGTCAATATCGTGCTAAGATATCACGCATTGCACGGAAATACGGAAGTATTCGAAGGATTCATGGCAAATATTTTGACCGGTTCGTATTCGATACATGTACTCGCAACTGTTGATTAACTATATCTATGCATAGGCAAACCTTCTGAAACTCAACGAGATCTGCATATCAAATCGTACCTGCGCGACCCGGCTGTCTTTGCATCGCGCGCATTTCCCACTCGTGCTATTGACCTTCTACATAAGTATGAAGTTTCTGGCCTCCATGCCCCCATGAAATCCTATTCACGTATTATATCCTCCCTATTCTCTGTCTGTCCCTCTCCTTCACCTCCCTCGATATGCTCAACACTGGACGCACCATTAGGAAGACTGGCCGCGAATTCACAAGCTTGGGACCTTTTCGCGCACATGCGCTATGTTGCGCACCCGACCCCAGATGCTCACCTCTACGCGTTGATGATCCGCGCGTGTGCTTCAGCATCCTCATCTCCCGAACCCGAGCGTGCCCTGGACCTGTGGACTGAGATGCTCGACGCGGGAATTGTGCCGACCGAAGGGGCATACGATGCGGTGATCCGTGCTTGTGCGAAGGCTGGGGGAGAATGGGTTTCCGAGGCCATCAGGTTTGCGCGGCAAATGCGCGACCGCTTTGGACGCGGTTCTTCTGAAGTTGGTGGTGGGGACCTTGAAGGGGTTGGCGGGCCACGTACTTGGACGGCTCTGCTGGACGGCTGTAAGCGTGTGGGTGATTTGGGGCGTGCTAGATGGATCCTGGCAGAAGCTGTAAGAGCTGACGGTCTAACTGACGAGATGATGCAGCACATATTCCACGCTTATGCCGCGTACAGACCCCCGTTCAAAAGGGGTGCAACGAGGATCGTGAACGACGGGGCGGTTGTAGCATCAGCTTTGAATCAAGAGGGACCGCTCGCAACCGCCACCGAGTGCCCATCAGACCCGCCCCCAAAATCTGCAGGTGTTTCTTCCGATTCCGGTGCAGTTCCAAAGGATTTGGCTCATATGGCTACAATGCCTTCATTTTCGCACCTCCCACCCCAATCACCGGGCGAGGTCGTCGCAGAGGCCACGGCTCTCTTCGATAGAATCCTTCAAGATGCTAGCCCTGCCTCTCGTTCATCCTCAAACACGCCTCCCGACCCTTTCGCTGGAAGATTCAACATCAGACTCACACCACGCCTCTTCAACGCGTACATATCCGTGTATTACTCACATGCGAGTCTGGAAAGTGCGCGCGATGTGTTTGAGAGGCTGTTTTCATCTTTTAGCGTTGACCTTATGGGTGATTCACGCGCTTACGTCGATGCCCTTGAGAGGTGTGCACTTTCAAGGTCGCATGAACGTGATATTGCAGGAACATGGGCTGATGAACTATGGACGCGTTGGGAAGAGCTTGAGCTTGAGTGGGCCAGTGGGGCCACGAAGACGACAGTAACTGCCAGGCTAGTTGAGAGAGCACACACTGCTATCAGAAGGGTTCATTCCTTGTCTGTCTTTGATTTTTCCAACATCTATAGTCATACTAACGCCTTCATCTAGAAATGGTGATGTTGACCGTGCAATCACACTGCTCCGCACATTTATGTCGCGGTATCCTCCAACCGCGCTGCTGCCTCCGGCCCGCAATCCATCGTCTGTTGATGGAGATGCTCCCAGCATGAAAAAACGTACGATCACTCTCTTCGCAAAACCACCCATTCTCTCGACACGAACGGTCCTCAATAATCCATCCGCTACGCCTCGCCCCCTCGTGCGCCTCACATCAGCCATCGGTCCACCTGATGAGCGTGTACCGCCTTTGCTGAGTTTCGCGGATGTGGAGTTGCTGCATGCCCGATTAGTAGAGCAGGGTAGGGTTAAAGAAGTAGGGTTTCTGAAGTGGGCGTGTAAGGCGTATGAGGGAGCGCTGAGAACTCGTAGGGAAGCTGTCCTTGGAGCGGTTCCGGCGGGAGAGGATGTCCCATGAGAGGCGAGTATCATCTATATTATATCTAGTTACAGTTGTTGCTTTTACACGACGCCATCGCACTGCTCTTATTCATACTAGCTTTCAGTAGCGGTCTGAAAACATCGATTGGGATATATCTGCCACTGAAGTGCTATTGGTATTACATACGACACTGCTCTGCTCTGCTTTCCAAAAGTATCCTACAGATTGTTGAACTACGGCTCGTGCGGTTATGCACCATCCTTGATGGCAAGCCAAGCAGGCCTGCTAGAGATATCCTTCCACCACCTGTGCATCAAATGATTAAATCACATCCACGACAGCCGGCATGATAGCTCTTACCTCAAAAGGCTAGGCCTGCTGTCAAACACCTCAGCAAAGCTACCTCCGAGTCCGTAAAACGCAGTGCCATACGGGAGGTGGTACAAATCAGCGAGCGTGACAGACTAGATAGCCAGCGGATACCGTTAGTTCATATCCAGAGTAGATGTCAAGAGGTGAATCAGACGCACGTCACTAGCAAGGTACTTCTGTTTGCTGAGGATTACCTCATACGCATCCATCTTGCTCTGGAGGCTCGCCAACAGCTCGGTGACACGTGCCTCGTCTGTTTGCAGACCACGGCGCCTTGAAAGATTGTCTCAGCTATGTCGGATCAAGAAAGAGAACTACTCACAGCTTGAACACTTTTTCGAACACAATTGGCTGCACGAAGTTGGTGAAGTTGAAGATCTCGATCGAAGCTGCTTGCTCGAACAGAGCCTCTGCCTTGGGATCGCTAGGAGTCAAGGAGGTGCCTTGGTTGGGGTATTTCTTGCTGAGGTATCTCGCGATTGCGCGCGACTCGTATAGAATGAAGCCGTCGTCATCCTTTGAAGGCGCAAATTAGCGGATGGGATAGATCTGGTCACGATTTTGCTCACGATGTATGGAACCTGTCCGAATGGCTGGATCGCAGTGTGCGATGTGGCCTTCTGTTCGCCTTTGGCCAAGTTGACCGAGGTCAACTCGTATGGGACGTCCTTTTCCTTACAGATGAGGGCGACGAGGCGGGTGCATGTGGAACCGGAGAAACCGTACAACTTGACCATTGTGTGAGATTAGATGTGGGGGTGATGATGGTGGTATGTGATGATGAATATCGATGAACGCATGAATATTTATACCTATGGTCTAGAGATTACGATAAGATCACACGGTGCTGGCGCTGGGGCCATCTTCTCTTAAGCCAATTCAGGAAAGGGTTAATGGCGATTAGGTCTTGCCTTTACAAAGCTCATCAAAGCTTAATGGGAAGGAGCTAGCTGAATGCTGATCAGGCCTAGACCCGAGTAACTGCGTATCAGTACGCGCGCTGGCAAACTCAGCAGCAGGGGGGACATTCAGGATAGCGGCGATCCTGGATGTAGAAGCTGTTGGTTGTTGTGGGGATGTGCTTCTATGTAGGACCTAGAAGTTTCAAGTTGGCGGTGGCTCTGACCAATTACCAATCTAGTCAGTACCATCCACGGAGTTGATTACTGTTAGTGAGTCAGCATCCTTGTCATCGTTGATCTTGTCATCATGTGATGATGAAACCGAACGTTCCCGATCAACCAAGATAGATGCTCCAAACTCACTTATCGATCCACGGTCTTCCACGGGAGACTCTTAAAGTATACGTGTGTCCCCTCCCCCACTAATACTGTTCTTCGGTTCCGGATTCGATACCGCGAGACGTTTCCCCAGAGACCTCAATTGTCAGGATAGCTTTGAAACAGGCAGCGCCTCGTCAATGGATGCTATCAATTTTGCGGGAAACGATCGATGATGTATATATATGATTTGACGACTGGAGCGCTGATATTGCCATCGTACTCGGCTGGACTCTGAAGACAAATATCACGTGCACTTTTCGTACGGTCCGTGCGGTCCACTTGGTTGGAATATGTTAGTGAATTGTCAGTGAACAATACAGAGTCACAATGCACTCCGAACTCTTTCCGAGCCTCCTAGTCCTTCGACTAACTCTTAAGCTGTCTTTTATAACGGTGCAACGCGACGTTATATCTGCTGTCTAGAATTCGGGGCTAGTGACGTGGAACCAGAACGCAATTAATGTCCAAGTGTATGTTGTTCCCGCCTGATTGATCATGCTTGGCTTCTTTAGCAATTCCTGAGATACCTCTCTCAGTTTCAGGGTTGGACCTTCGAAGGCTGCTTGCCGCATTTCCTACCGTAGGCAAGCCTCCTTAACAACATAATCGACAATAGGGCGACCATGTTGAACATCACTGTCGTCTTCTCGACTCATTTCAGCATGCCAGAAGCATATGCCGTGAACATGACTATTGTGACCATGGTCAGACTCAGACCTATTGTTTATGCGAGTGACATAACACCGATATTTCTCCTAGCTGTGGATAGAAAAGGCATGCATCCTCGCCGAGCAGCCTCCCTTCGAGGCCGTTATGAGAATCTTCGGTGTCCCATTATTATGCGGGACTTTGTTTTCTTATTTTCGCATTGTGAAGTCATCACTCGTCACATTTCCATCTGTTGTCATTCCATTAAGCGATATCTTCGATAACCAAGCTGCTTCGCTAGATGGCACCACCGGCAACTTCGATGGGAATGGCGCCACATATGCAGCAGAGTACCTACCTGAGGGCCCGCGGTTGTATAATGGAATCTCAGTGAGGATCATGATGACGTTTCGTCTATTCACTCAGCAATCTTCAGTATGACCTGCCATCGACTTGGGGACAAAGCCAAGACAATGTCATTGCTGGAGGACAAGTTGTGAAACTCTCAAACGCAACTTATGTTCACGAGCTGCACATTGTATATGCAGGGGATAGTTCGGGTAGTAGGTGCAGTCAACTATCCGCATCCTCTAACGCGTCGACTTGAATTCATAGGCGGATTGAGTGGAACGTTCGGCCTGAACTATGCGGATAATTCAGTCAAGTACTTGCAATGTTAGTTTTCCTTGAACCCTATGCGGACTCTGCCAGCTCATGAACAGCATTCAGTCACTGGGCAAGGCTGGTTGAATATCAATGGGGGAGCAATTCAAACGTAAAACGTGCATCATCTTTGCAAACTCATACCGACCTTTGACCCATAACAGACCATACTATTTCGAAGGATATTCATCCACAAAGAATTGGAATTCTAGTCAAATCTTCCAATTATCGCTATCTGTACCGTCTCGTGCGCCGCTTGAAAGCATCACGCTCCCAGAGACGGCTTCTACCTCGAACAGACTTCATATATTCGCGCTCTCTATGACACCATCTTTTGAACTTGCCAGTGGTCTTCTGGTGCCTCAGCTCTCTGTTCGTAGTGCCCAATTCAGCACGAGGTGGGAAGACATCAACGGGCAGCGAGCTCAAGCCGTCGCCATCACCCTTGCGAATCTGCTTCCAGGGAGTTACGCGACCTCCTCGAACACATCCATAAACTCGCGGTACGAAATATCAGTAGCAGGCGAGGGGGTCTCTACGGTCACACCTGGCCTTGTGTATCGCCTGGTACCCGCGGACCAGGCTCGTGTAGACGTCTTTGTTCTCAACGACGGCGGGACAGGAAATGCGACAGTCACGATCAAAAACGAATTTGGAAATGTCATTGGGACTTCCGTGGGATGGCCCATCGTCCCGCTGCGGACCGAATGGACAGCAGACGCTGATGTACTGGCCACACATGAGACGCCCACTTGGTGGAATCAGGCCAAGTATGGAATCTTGTAAGTACTAGATGATTCTCGAGGATTACATGGACTTATGTATTCGCAGCATTCACTGGGGCATCTACAGTGTCCCTGCTTGGGTGAGTATGTTTGTGCTGTCGGTGATGCTCCCGTTGGTTGATGCATTATAGATAGGGCCCGCCTGGTTCATATGCGGAGTGGTATGAGTAAGGACGTTTTTCATCATACGTGGGCTATTTTGACACAGGAATAGCTGGAGCCTCCATAATCCTCCGAATTCCAACTCGCCGACATGGGTACATCACCTGGACACCTATGGGAAGGTATTTATGATAAGCTTTCAGTCAGCATTAACGTTCATGCTTGTGCACTGCAGGACATCGTATATGATGACTTTATTGCCAACTTCACAGCGTCTACTTGGAATCCCAGTGCTTGGTTAGATCTGTTCTCCGAAGCTGGCGCGAAGTACTTTGTCATCGTTACTGTGCGAGCTGCTCGCTATTGGTTGTCAGTCAAGTCTAACCGTACTGCATTGCAGAAACATCACGACGGTTATGCACTGTTTGATACAAAAAATACCACGCACAGAAGCAGTGTATACCTCAACCCATATCGTGACTTTGTCAAAGAGCTCATGGACACTGCGAAATCTGATTATCCCGACATTCATCGCGGAACATATTACTCGCTTCCCGAATGGTAAGAATATTGATACCATGAATATAGCTCCTGTTTCTAATCTCCTGCAGGTTCAATCCATACTTCTTCAAGTACGGGTTTAGTTCATGGCCAGGAGGTTTGGCGCACAATGCCTTCAATGCGTCTGAATTGGAACCTTATACTGGAATACTGAATATTAGCGACTACATCGAAGATTTGCAATACCCCCAGATGCTGTCTTTGGCGCTGGACTATGACACGGAAATCATGGTTAGCTCATCATTAGACCGACCTCTCATCATTTGTTGACGGGGAGCCAGTGGTGTGACATTGGAGGCCCCAATAAGACGTTGGATTTTGCTGCACAATTTTATAACAAGGCGATGCAGAATGGTTATCAGGTCACCATGAATGATCGTAGGTCGTCTTTGCTGCGAACTTTTAGTCATGTCTGATGCAACACCCACTTGAGGTTGTGGTGCAGTCCCAGACTTTGACACACCAGAGTACGCAACATTCGCTTCCCTGTCCACTCGCCATTGGGAGACGAGCGAAGGGATGGACCCGAATAGCTACGGTTTGAATTCTGCCACCAATGCCAGCCAGTACAAGAATGGAACGACCATCATCCAAACACTTGTCGATATCGTGAGCAAGAATGGAAACTAGTGAGGAATAGCCTATCGTCGCCTTGGTGCTTTTTTTAATTCAATCCCGCAGTTTGCTCGATGTCGGCCCTACCGCAGAGGGTGACATCATCGCACCGATGGCAGACAACCTCCTCGCCGCCGGCAAATGGCTAAAGTATGCAGGCGATTGCGTCTATGCAACTGTAAGTCACAAAAACTCTCTTGGCGCTTTTTTTTTCAGATGAAACATCAGGATTACTGGTACCAAGCGGCCCAAGATCCGACGGGATCGTTTAGGTTCCTCACCACACCGAAAACATTTTGCATCATCGCATTCAACAAGCCGAGCGATGGGAAAGTCACGGTGGATGCGGGTGGCGTGGTGCTACCGATTCAAAAGGGAGATAGTGTTGTACTGCTGGGACCGTCAAGGAATTCGCAGAGCCTTGAGTGGGACGTTGATGGATCGGGTGTCTTGACCATCGTGGTGCCTCAGGATCAAGTCAATCAGGTAGATTATGCCTGGGCATTCCAGGTGTCATATTCTGGGTGAACATAGGATTAATTAATAGCAGTGAGGCTGAGTGAACGGCAATGTTCAAACGTCACGTGATAGAGGCCTCGCACGTCTCATTTAAGTTAGATCTGTTGTGTAGATTCACCGGTGACATGGAAGCAGAACAGATTGACGGTTAGGCTTGTGACCCGAGCCTAATTAATAGTGAAGTGTATATGGTTTCAAATTTCAGTGTGAGTGACGTTGTTCCGACTGCCTGATTTATCATGCTTGATTTCTCCAGCCATTCCTGAGATATATCTCTCAGTTTCAGGGTTGGGACTTCGAAACTGCTTGCCTCATTTCGCATGGCAAGCCTTTCTAACAGCATAATCGATACGAGGGTGCCACGTTGAACATCACTCTGGTCTTCTCGAATCATTTCAGCATGTCAGAAGCATATGCCATGAACATGATTAATATTGTGACCATGGTCAGACGGTATTGTTTACGCGAGCGACATAACACCGATATTTTGCCTAGCTGTGGATAGAAAAGCATGGATCCATGTGGAGAAGCCCCCCTTCGAGGCCGCTATGAGAGTCTCTGGTGTGCCATTACTATGCGGGGCTTTGTTCTTCTATATTCACACTGCGAAGTCATCCCTCGTCACATTTCCATCTGTTGTTATTCCACTAAGTGGTCTCTTCGATAACCAAGCTGCTTCGCTAGATGGCACCACCGGCAACTTCGATGGGAATGGTGCCACATATGCAGCAGAGTACCTACCTGGGGGCCCAAGTTGGTTTTATAATGAAATCCCGGTGAGGATCGTGATGATGTGTTGTCTATTCGCTCAGCAGTTTTCAGTATGACCTGCCATTGGCGTGGGGACGAAGCCAAGACAATGTCATTGCTGGAGGACAAGTTGTGAAATTTTCGAACGTAACTTATGTTCATGAGTTGCATGTCATATATGCATGGGATCATTCGGGTAGTAAGTGCAGTCAGCCATCCGCATTCTCTAACACGTCGACTTGAATTTGTAGGCGGATTAAGTAGAACATTCAGCCTGAACTACGCGGATCACTCAGTTAAGTACTTGCAATGTTAGTTTTCCTTGAACCCTACGCGGACTCTGCCAGCTCATGGATAGCATTCAGTTACTGGGCAAGACTGGTTGAATATCAATGGGGGAGCAATTCGAACGTAAACCGTGCATTGTCTTTTGCCAACTAATACTGACCTTTGACCTTTATCAGACCATACCATTTCGAAGAATATTCATCCAATAAGAATTGGAATTCTAGCCAGATCTTCCAATTATCGCTATCCGTACCATCTCATGCGCCGCTTGAAAGTATCACGCTCGCGGAAGCATCTTCTACCTCAAACAGACTCCATATATTCGCACTCTCTATGACACCTTCTTTTGAACCTGCCAGTGGTCCTCTGGTGCCCCAGCTCTCTGTTCGTAGTGCCCAATTCAGCACGAGGTGGGAAGACATCAGCGGGCAGCGAGCTCAGGCCGTCGCCATCACCCTTGCAAATCTACTCCCAGGGAGTTACGCGACCTCCTCAAACACGTCCATAAACTCGCGGTATGAGATCTCAGTATCAGGCGAGGGGGTCTCCACGGTCACACCTGGCCTCGTGTATCGCCTGGTCCCCGCAGACCAGGCTCGCGTGGACGTCTTCGTTCTCAACAACGACGGGAAAGGAAATGCGACAATCACCATCAGAGATGAATTTGGAAATGTCATTGGGACTTCTGTGGGATGGCCCATCGCCCGGCTGCGGACCGAATGGACAGCAGACGCTAATGTGTTGGCCACACATGAGACGCCCACTTGGTGGAACCAGGCGAAGTATGGAATATTGTAAGTACCAGATGATAGATGGTTCCCGAAGACTGAGATGATCCATGGACTCATGCATTTACAGCATTCACTGGGGTATCTACAGCGTCCCCGCTTGGGTAAGTATGTTTGTGCTGTCGGCGATGCTCACGTTGGTTGATGCATTTTAGATAGGGCCCACCTAGTTCATATGCGGAGTGGTATGAGTGAGGAGGTTCTCCATCATATGCGGGCCATTCTGACATAAGGACAGCTGGAATCTCCGTAATCCTCCGAACTCCAACTCGCCGACGTGGGTACATCACCTAGACACTTATGGGAAGGTAACCGTAATGAGCTTTCAGTTAGCATTGACGTTCATGCTTGTGTACTGCAGGACGTCGTATACGATGACTTCATTGCTAACTTCACAGCATCTACTTGGAATCCCAGAGCTTGGTTAGATCTGTTCTCCGAGGCTGGCGCGAAGTACTTTGTCATCGTTACTGTGCGAGCTGCTCTTTATTAGTTCTCAATCAAGTCTGACCATGCCGCATTGCAGACACATCACGATGGTTATGCACTATTTGATACAAAAAATACCACGCACAGAAGCAGTGTATACCTTAAACCACATCGCGACTTTGTCAAAGAGCTCATGGACACCGCAAAATCTGATTATCCCGACATTCATCGAGGCACATACTACTCACTTCCCGAATGGTAAGAGTACTGGGGCCACGATAGCTCCTGTTCCTAATCCACTGCAGGTTCAATCCATACTTCTCCAAGTATGGGTTTAGTTCATGGCCAGGAGGCTTAGCGCACAATGCATTCAATGCGTCTGAGCTGGAGCCTTATACTGGAATATTGAATATCAGCGACTACATCGAGGATTTGCAATACCCCCAGATGCTGTCTTTGGCGCTGGACTATGACACGGAAATCATGGTTAGTTCGTTATTAGACCGACTTCTTAGCATGTGCTGACGGGGGCTAGTGGTGCGACGGTGGAGGCCACAATAAGACGTTAGATTTTGCTGCACAATTTTATAACAAGGCGATGCAGAATGGCTATCAGGTTACCATAAATGATCGTAAGTTGTCTTTGCTGCGAATCGTTAGGCATGTCTGAAGCAAACCCACTTGAGGCTGTGGTGCGGTCCCAGACTTTGACACACCAGAGTACGCGACATTGGGTTCTTTGTCCACTCGCCACTGGGAGACGAGCGAAGGGATGGACCCGAATAGCTACGGTTTGAATTCTGCCACCAATACGAGCGAGTACAAGAACGGAACGACCATCATCCAAACACTGGTCGATGTCGTGAGCAAGAATGGAAACTAGTGAGGGATAGCATCGTCGCCTTGGTACTGGTTTTATTTCATTCCACAGTTTACTCGATATTGGTCCTAATGCGGAGGGCGACATCATCGCACCGATGGCAGACAACCTCCTCGCTGCCGGTAAATGGCTAAAGTACGCGGGCGACTGCATCTATGCAACTGTGGGTCACGAACACTCTTTTTGCACTCCTTTTTTTAGATGAGACGTGTGCGCATCAGGATTATTGGTATCAAGCGTCTCAAGATCCGACGGAATCATTTAGGTTCCTCACCACACCAAAAACATTTTGCATCATCGCATTCAACAAGCCGGGCGATGGGAAAGTCACGGTGGATGCGGGTGGCGTGGCGTTTCCGATTCAGAGGGGAGATAGTGTTGTGCTGCTGGGGCCGTCGAGGAATCCGCAGAGTCTTGAGTGGGACATTGATGGATCGGGTGTCTTGACTGTCGTGGTGCCTCAGAATGAAGTCGATCAGGTAGATTACGCCTGGGCATTTCAGGTGACATATTCTGGGTGAACGTAGGATTGATAGCAGCGAGCACTAAATGTCTGATGGTCGAACGAGTGAATGAATTTTTTATTTGGCCGTCTACGCTCTGTGACACGAGCTCATCAATATTGGTGCCACGTGCACTCAGGTGGCAGTTGTCTTATCTAATATCTTCCTACTTTCAATTTTTCGATGAACTTAGTCTGTCTGAACCACCAAAGTGTTTGGTGCCTTTCAGTGATTGTTTTTTTATGTCGATTTCTTGTGTTGCACACACTTGACCGGTCGACCTTTCAATTAACTTTGAAATTGTCGCGAGTGTCTCAATCTCAGGCTGGTCAAGTGCAACATGCGCCGCGCTTTGCAGCAATCCCTTCCGGTTGTGTTGCTATTAATATTGGCAATCGGCAAGGTCTGTCACTAGCGCGTGCCACAGAGTCGATGCCCTCTCAGACGAGCGTCAAGTCATCCTTCAACTGCATTTCATCACCATCCAGGAGTCTTTCACAGTATCGGAGTACTGAAACATCCATCCATCAGCTCAAACAAGCTAGTAGCTCTTCAAAGCTTCACATTTTGCAATTTCAATCACTTTACAGCAAGTGACAAATCTTTGAGCCCAGCTCATCGCCGTTGGACAGACTGAGCACACTGAAAAATCGTTTCACAACTCCATTACTTGTACCTGCCCTCAAAACATCCAAGTTTCAGCTTGGTCTTTGATCCTTGGATTGGTATCCTCAATTATTCTGTCCCATCTCACAATCTGTATTGCGATTATCATTGTTCTCTTGTCAAGAATCGATGTCAGTATATCCGTCTCTTATTCCCTCTCTTGTCGTCTGATCTCATGAACAGTTATTGGATATGTCTGAAGGAACTTGGGAAAAATTGTGTCAAGTCGCTGCCAAGGGTGCTGAACATGACTTTCGTGAACGCCACCCCCATCCGAAATGTTTGGAAGGCACCCGGGTGGCCCTTCTCAACTACATCTATCCATTATTAGACAAGAAAGACCAGAATCAGATCATTTGGCTGCATGGTACTGCGGGCGTTGGAAAGTCTGCCGTCGCATTTACGGTAGCTGAAAGGATGAAAGGATTGAAAGTGGCAGAGCAGAGTCAGCAGACACATACAGAGACGCGACTCGCTGGAACATTCTTTTTCTCCCGCAAGCACACGAAACGGCGTACAGCCGGTTACTTCTTTGCGATGCTTGCCTACCAGCTGGCCAGCAATTTCCCCAGCGTCAGGACGCATGTGAATAGAGCTATCCTCAATAACCCTGCCCTTCTAGACCCTGACAAGTCTGTTCGCGATCAGATGGAAGGCTTGTTTCTTCAACCACTCAGGAAGCTTCAATATAGACTACGTGAATGCGGCAGTCCGCCTTTGGTGTTCGTTGTCGATGCCCTTGATGAATGCACATCCGAAACCCTCGATCAACCCTCATTCGAATTCTTTGATAGAGACAAATCCGAAAGCGAAATTGCTGAACTCATATCCCTGCTCGCTCAAGCTCTTCGCGATCCTGAACTGCCTGTGACTCACATTCTAGTCACAAGTCGCTCGGAAGGGCATATTCGTGAAGTCATGCACAACGAACATGTGCGCCCGCTAGTAGGCGAGATACCAGCGAACATTTCTGGTGAGGGTGTTGCTACCGCCATCTCGCTAGACGGCGCAGATGTCGATGAAGACATTTATCGTTTCTTGGAGGACTCCTTCGGAAAACTGCGGCTTCGCTATCCCACTTTTCCGCATCCAACGGATGCCCAACTTGAACGGCTAGCGAGCCGAGCGGGTAGACGTTTGACGAGTCAACTGCTACCGGGAACGGAAGTGTACAAGTTATACGACCTTATCCTTTCCACATGCGCTGACCCGATGTTGGCATACATGCACTTGTCCATTGTTGTTGTCCTTGTAGATCCTCTGCCGCTCTCACAAATATCGGAACTTCTTGGCCCTGGTCAGGGCAGGGACGTAGAGAACGTGCTAAGGCAGCTACGGTCTATAATAGATATTCCTACCGACAGCAGCCTCCCCGTGAATATCTATCACTCGTCCGTTCGCGACTATGTTTCTCACCACTCAAACTGCTACCTCCGCCAAGTACAATACATCACATCACCACACTCCCTTCTTGCATTTTCTTCTCTCCACTTGATGGTGCGCGAGATTCCAGAAAGCACGGCCCTCTTGAATGCGCTCTCGGAATTAACGAATCATAGCCAAGTTATGCAACCCGATGACCCTCGGAAATTAAAACACTCATTATCCTTCATGGTCCAGCCACCGGAGCCAATGCAAGCTCTTATAACTTTGTTGTGGCTTCGGGGGAATTACCATCCAGAGTTACAGTTTTGGCTAGATACCCCGGACGGGCGTGCCTGGCTGCAGACAAAAGGAGTAAGGGACTGGCTGCAGACCCAGGGGGGAAAGGGCTGGATGCTGACCGACGGGGGAGACGAATGGTTGGTGACCCCAGGCGGGCGAGATTGGCTGCAGACAGAGGCCGGGCGAGACTGGCTGGAGACGGACAGTGGGAAAGACTGGCTACAGGCAGGCAGGGGGGGGGAGAATGGTTGTGGACCCAGGGCGGACGAGACTGGCTGCAAGCATAGGCCGGGCGAGACTGGCTGCAGACAGATGCCGGGCAAGACTGGCTGCAGGCCAATGGACAGAAAGATTGGTTGTGGACCCAGTGCGGGCGAGATTGGCTGCAGACAGAGGCCGCACGAGACTGGCTACAAACAGAGGCTGGGCGAAATTGGCTACAGACTTACTGTGGGGAACACTGGCTGCAGACTGACGGCGGGCGGGACTGGTTGACCACACAGGGCAGGAAATACTGGCTGTTCATACAACCTGAGGATGGGCGAGCTTGGCTGCAGACAGAGGCTGGGCAAGACTGGCTGCAGGCCAACAGTTCCACCCAGCTATCTTTGCCGCTTCCTCACCAGCAATATTCATCCTCGTTCTCCCAGCAATATCTGTCCTCATCCCCCCAACCATTTGTGCCTCCACACCTTATGCAGACCTGGGATAGTTCCTCAGTGCTGCAGATGTCCGGCGTGAGACACCAATTACGAACCTTTGATGGGCAAGCTTGGCTGCAGACCGAGGATGCGCAAGAATGGCTGCAGACCCCGCGCGGGTGAGACTGGCTGCAATCCCGGGATGCGCAAGACTGGCTACATACCGAGAACGGACAAGACTGGCTGCAGTCACAGGATGCCCGAGACTGGTTGCATACCGAGAACGGACAAGACTGGCTGCAGTCCCAGGATGCGCAAGACTGGCTGCATACCGAGAACGGACAAGATTGGCTGCAGTCCCGGAGCAGGCATGACTGGCTGCAGACCAAGGGCGGGCGAGACTGGCTGCAGTCCGAGCACGCGCAAGGCTTACTGCAGACACTGCGCGCACGAGACTGGCTGCAGACCGCGAGCGGAAAATACTGGCTGCAGTCGGAGCACGCACCAGACTGGTTGCAGACCCAGGGCGGAAAAGATTGGCTGCGGTCGGAGCACGTCCAAGACTGGTTGCAGAGTGAGAGCATAGAAGACTGGCTGCAGTCTCAGGATGTGCGAGACTGGCTGCATAGCCAAGATGGGCAAGACTGGCTACATAGCGAATATGGGCAAGACTGGCTGCAGAGGCCGGACGGCCAAGCGTGGCGGCTGATCACTGTCTGGGTGACCATGGAAGAATTCACGAGTAATTCTGAGGCGATCAAAGAGTACATAATCGCTCCAGAATTGTCTTTGCAACCAGCTTTTCAGGCTATCCGGCTTTTCAAGGCCCTGCCGGATTTCTTGATGTTCCTAGTATTTCTGGTGTTTAGACGTCAGGATCATTCCACCACAGCATTACCGGACATGAAGATCATCCATGCTATGAAAGCCCTTTCAAGATCCACAGACGAAGCACGGAAACAAAGTCAATCAGCTTCGGCCGCCCTCAATTACGCATGTCAAAATTGGGCTATTCATCTGTCGCGAACTCCGAAACCGTGGGATGCGAGGCTCGCGCATATGTTTCAGTCTTTTTGGAATCGTAATCTTGCCTCCTGGCTCGAAAGGCAGTGGTGTTTGAAGGATTTGCCGTCTTGCCTCACTATTTTGTCCGACGGCGAGAAACTTGCGAAGGTAAGCAGCTTGTGTTCCCAATGGTTTCATAGACTCGCAATCTGACCTGTGCTTATAAGAACATCTTCGAGCCCCTGGGTCATATCAGTAATCATTCTGGAGCTCCGGTTTGATGCCACACGTCACACTAATAGATCTCGTTATCCTATGCATAGGTATCTTAGTACTGCTAAGAAAACATTTTGCATCATCGCGTTCAACAAGCCGAGTGATGGGAAAGTCACGGTGGATGCGGGTGGCGTGGCGTTTCCGATTCAGAAGGGAGATAGTGTTGTGCTGCTGGGACCGTCCAGGAATTCGCACAGAGTCTTGAGTGGGAGTCGAGATTGATGGATCGAGTATCTTGACCATCGTGGTGCTTCAGGATGAAGTAGATCAGGTAGATTACGCCTGGGCGTTTCAGGTGACATATTCTGGGTGAACGTAGTGATAACGGTCATTGGTCAAAGCGTCCACTGGTGACGTTAGTCACATCAGTGTATCACGTGTTTGACAATTTAGCGCTCCGAATCGTGACGGACGATGTGAACAATTTTTTATTCCTTTGGGTCCACTTCCACCACTGTCACTCAACCAGCCACAACCGTGTATACATATCACGCCATACAATTAATGTGTGGACAGCGCCAGTCTCATTGACCTTGCTTGGTCTTTTTATGGCCACATACGCCTTGTAAATGAGGTGCTTTATTGCGTTATCTCATTCTTCTTCATTGCCGATGGAAGTGAACTAATAATTGACGTCAATCCACTATAGCAAAACTTCCTTGTGACATCACCTATATAACATCTAGCGTATCAGCAATCTTCCAGTCCCTCAATCCCCCAATTTTCTCCTCTATCATCATGTCTGGAACGCTCGCTCTGACGGAACCACCAATCAGCGGTTACGCCCACTACTACACGTCTCCAGAACCCTCCCAGCTCGGCGCAGGAGCAAAAGACATGACTCTAAACCTATCTTTCGAAATTGCAGAAGACGATGAGGGTATTTTTATCTCAAAGGCAGCTGCGGTTTGGCAGGGTGCTATTCCTAAGAGAGCGATGGTTCCGCTTCCTGCTCGAGCACGTGCGATGCACACAGGCACTAGCTATGTTCATGGTCATGCCGTCGCTCCTCCGGTCGATCTCATTCCATGCGATGGCAATACGTCACACCACATGCAAATATGCACTGACGAAGTGGCGCAAGATGCCTCCGACGTATTTCAGAGTATCTCGGCGACACTGGGTCTTCGGTCATGGAGTTTTGAGGTACGTCGGCTTCTTTTCGTTGACGTTGCTTACATCACTGACATATTCGTCCAGGAACTCCGTACAGAATGCTATTCGCAATCTCGTCTTGCTACTGGTGTTGCTCCTAGAGCAGTCCCTCCTGGCGCGCCGTCCTGGATGATCATCCCCCCAGCTTTCACTCCCTACAAAGCGATGACTTAGTTTAGATGCTTCCGATTGTGCGATAACCATGTATGGTAGTTCGATCTTGAGTATGTAAAAGGTTATAATGTGTAGTACTATGTCGACAATATAGTTATCCATCGCTCTATTCTGTTATATATTCATGCGTAGATAACTTAACTGAACCTCTCTATCAAAGAAAGATCACGCCATCTCTTCCGCGACATTAGCATATGCTTCGTCTGATTGGACCCTTCTCTCGAAATACCTCCGTCCCTCATGCAGCACGAAAGACGTTGCAGCTATGAGTAAGATGGTCAAGATGTCCTCCCAACGAAGAGCATCTGTCTGGAAGATCGCTTGCATAAAGGGAACATAAACGAGCGCTAGCTGGACGAGGAATGATATCGATACGGTTGTCACGAGCATCTTGTTTTGCATCAGGCCACATCCGAGACCACGGTTCTGCACTGCAGACACGAGGTCAAGGAAGACGAAGCACGTAAAAGTCTATTCAACATGTAAGTCTTGGCAAGTAGAATTCAGGAGTTTAAGAACCAACCATGGTTTGTTCCCGTCTCGATACAAGATCATCACCCAACGCAGTGGTATAGATGAAAGAGGTTCCACAGACAATGGTAGCAGCCGAGAAAAGGACGCGATATAACAGGCGTTTCGTTATTATTGGTTCGTTTTTCTTCCGTGGAGGTCTTCGCATGACTGCTGGATCTACTGGGTCGACGCCTAACGATTGACTTGGAGGTCCTGGTACCTAATCAGACATTTGCTAGTCGAGGGGGATCCAGAGAACGTACCATCCATCAAAATATTAATAAAAAGTATCTGCATGGCGTTGAGCGGGTTACTGAACCCAAGCAAGGTACTAAGTGTAATGAGCGTCAATGCAGCGGCAGCTGTGCTGAGCTGGAAAGACAAGAAGTTTTGGATGTTGTGAAAGATCGATTTGCCTTTAGAACCGCTTAGTTAGTTACACGACCATGATTTGAAGAACAGATTGCTCACCCTCCTCGACAGCAGGTAATATCGTACTGAAATTGTCATCCACGAGGATAGCATCAGCAGCTTCCTTCGCGACGTCAGTGCCACTTTTCCCCATCGACACACCGATGTCTGCCATTTTAAGCGCTGGCGCATCATTGACTAGCGAAACGGCCGGAGAGAAAGCAGGCAAAATTATATAAGCTTAGCCATGGTATGATATAGACAGCACTCACCCCCGTCTCCAGTCATAGCCACAACAGCTCCACGAGCTTGAAAGGCTTCGACAATTGACATTTTGTGTCGCGGTGTCGTCCGCGCGAACACGCTGACGCTGCCTACCCGCTCGATGAGCTGTGACCGGCTCATCTGGTCGAGATCCTTTCCAGTCAAGCAATATTTGCGGAGCTGGCTATCGTGAGCGTGTGTAGGACCGACGTAGAGCCCTAGCTTTTGGGCGATAGCCAAGGCTGTCTGCTCAGCATCCCCGGTGATCATCACAACTTGTACCCCGCCGTTCTGGAGCAGGCCGATAGCATCCGCGACTCCCTTGCGTGGGGGATCAAACATGGCCTGAAACCCAACAAAGACTAGATTGGTCTTGTCCTCATCAGGCACTGGGGTCCGCGACACCGAGTGGGTGGCACGGTGCTGCGGTTGTGTAGAATCCTGACGTGGAGAATCGACAGATCCGTATCCATACGCCATGGCAATTACTCGAAGGCCCCGCGATGCTGTTGCTTGAGCGTTGTTCAGTATGACGTTGCGCGTGCTAGCGTCTAAGGTAGGTGTTGAGCCGTCCGTAATAAAGTAGTACTTGCAACGATCCAAGATGACGTCAATGGATCCCTTGACGTAGTACATTTCGCTAGGCGAACCTGAATAGATAGTTGTGGAGTAGGAGTGAACACCGCTGACGGCCATGTACTTTTGTTCCGAGTTGAAAGGTTTTTCCGAAAGGCGGGTGAAGGACTTAAACCGATTTCAGTATAAAACACTGACGGCGTCGTTGCTGTAAACCTACCTGTCGTTGATCTGGCATATCGAATGAAGACAGAGCATTCATCAACGCCACGTCGGTCGATTGTCCAACGTATTTGCCCTCGCCATCCTTGGACACCGAGGAATTGTTGCACAAAGAGCCAATTTCCAGAAGCTTCCTAACTGCTGGGGATATTGTTGACCGAGGGTCATCAACGTGAACGTTCTCATCAACGACATATATCTCTGTAACTGTCTGTTCATTCTTTGTCAGGGTGCCTGTAACATCAATTGTAACAAAAGACAAGGATAATGCAGTTATTGACTGACCGGTCTTGTCGGAACAAATGACAGAAATACAGCCCAAGGCTTCGACAGAATGAAGTTTTTTTACGATGGCCTTTCTCTTCGACATCCTTAACACACCAAGAGCTAATGTGACAGTCGTGACGATAGGGAGGCCCTCTGGAATAGCTGCTACCGCAAGAGATACTGCATGCAAAATTAAACGAGCAAAGGTGTCGTCAATGGAATCAGCTACCTCCGATGGTAAACATGTCCAGCCAGGGCCGTTGCTGCCACATGCCGATGAGGCAAATGACCCCAATAATGCCGAAGGATAAAATCGACAACTTCTTGGCTAGCTCATCCATGCTTAATTGAAGAGGTGTACGTTTTTCCTCGACCTGTTTGGAACTAAGTATGTTCATAATCAAAAGCTCAAAAGACACCCACATCTTGCATCATGGAAAAGATTACACCAAACTCTGTTTGAGTACCAGTCGCGATCACGATACCCATGCCACGACCTTAAGGTAGTGTGGGGTTTAAGCACACGAATCCCACTCTTAGTATTTACTCACCGTTCCGAACCAAAGTTCCCATGTATCCAATGCATGACCGTTCAGCTAACGCGATATCTCCGAAGTCCTCTGGGCTACCCGAAACAGTTGTGGACGTAGAAACTTGAGAGACGCAAGGATCTGAATCCTTTCGACGTGCATTGGTCTCACCAGTCAGACTACTCTCGTCAATTTCGAGGTCTACTGCCTTGATGATACGCATGTCCGCGGGAACACGGTCTCCCGATGAGAGCGCGACAATATCCCCGGGAACCAGCTCATTGGCCAGGATGTGAATATCACGTTGATCACTGTGAATGTTTGTAAACGTTGAGATAATGGAGTATTTGACAAAATATTCGTGCCGCACCGAATCACGTGGCAGTGGTGTGGCACAAGCTTGTTAAGCGCTTCCAGGCTTTTCTCCGAACGCTGTTCTTGCACAAAGCCAACTAGAGAAAATGAGATACTTCCAGGATATTCTGCAGATGCTCACCAGTCAGTACTATTAGCACTGCCACCGTGATACTGACTGCATCATCGACGTTTCCCATGACCGCACTAATCACAGCGCTGCCACATAGGAGTAGGATGAGCGGGCTCTCGTAAATGGTCTTAGCAAATTTGAGTAGAGCTGGCTCAGGCATAGATACGGAGAATTCATTGTATCCATGGACACCTTGCAGCTCTAGAATTGACGAACTGGGAAGACCAGAGACTGCCGACGTTTTGAAGTGTGCTAGAGTGTCCTAAAAAGGCAATTTGTGTCAGTACATTGATACCCGACACCGGAGCCGCCGCATGTTCCTTTTAGGGGATTACGCGAAGATAAAAATAGCACGATCAGAAAGCACTAAAGAAATCTACCCTTCCATCCTGGATTTCTAGAAACATTGTGGACACAGTGGAGGCAGTGCGGGACACGCACACAAATTTTGAAAGGACAAAATACTCACCTCAATTGTCCAATGAGCAAAACGTGCAGAAGGAGTGTCCCTTTTATCTCGATCCTCTCGAAGTCTCGAGTGCTGGCTGACCCGCTCTCCCAGCTCATAACGGTTTTCCGCAGCGCTATCCGAGAGTTGGCGTCCAAGGACACCCTTTGCTCTTTGCCAGAGTGATGGTAGTCCCTCGCTAGAAGTAATGCCACTGAAATCCGGATGAAGAATAGGGCCTTCAGGATGATGTCTCCTAAGGGTTGTGCTATACGCAAAGTGGGTAGCAGCACCAGGTGTAGGTTGTGGTTCACCACTCTGTATAGTGGACACAGACGGGAAATAGCTCGAAGCTGGAGGAGAAGGACTTCGCTGATGTGGATATGAGTATGTCTGGGATGCTGGAGCAGACGAGACCGGTAATATTGAATGAGCAGATGTAGACACGACGGAGGACTCCGGGATGACAGAAAGCTCGCTGGCGTTTGCGCTGGAGCTGGAGGTAGCCATTAGGGATGAGCGCTTGCCCAGTGCACCTGAGAGACTGCTGTGACGGCGTGATTTGGACATCTTGCTCGTTAGCACGAGAAATATCCTTCCTGTCAGTGTTTGGTGCGGGCAACGTGCTTCCGAAGATCTGCAACTCGGCCGTGTAACTTAATAGACAGGATCCTGGTATGAGCAAAAGGAGAAAAATTCTCGCTTATGAGAAATAAGTTTAATGCTTACAGTGAGCTTACGGCGTTGGTGATGGGGCAACGCTATTGGTGGAACAGACAGTACAATGTAAACCAAGACGAGAAGCGTCCTGAGCTACACCAAATGTGGCTTGGGTTTTGACTTGTAGATGCCGGCGGCCATCTCTTTCCTTTTTTGGTTCTAAAGAACCCTTCAGAATTAAGCAAACGCCCGATCGACCAAGCATGCACTGACTTCGAACGCATGTCTACAAGGGCTCTTGGTTCGTTCAAAGGAAGGAAGGGCTTGGCCACAATATTTTCATTAATATCAACATTTACCGGAATTAATTCAAACCACTTCGTTCGGGCCCATCAAGCGTCAGATCGTGATCAAGGAGCAGGGTCGCACTGGGCAAGTCACCGGGTCAACCGAGTACAAGCGATAACCTGCTCGCCACCTTGGGACCATCTTGATTCTTGAGACCACATATGACAGTCACCAGTACGGCATAACATTTTGAGATGGTCAAGACCCCATACGACCATAGGCCGTCTATCACCCAATCATATCGCTTCTCTCCGCCTTCCCCGCCACGGCAAGCGAGCGCCAATCACCCAAGACCTGCTCCGGCATTCGTGATCACAATATTGACCTCACACTCACCCATCACAGGAGCCGGCCAGTCAGACATGCACTTCGATTCACGGGTCAGCAACTCGTGCTCGAATATAGAGTGTCTGGAAGACTTGTTCAAAAGAGCACCGATAACCTCAGTGAGTACGTATACAAAGAACAACTTCGATAAAATGTCGTGCGAGAATCGAAGAAGAGGTGTGTTCTAGGTGAAAGAACATGATACACCATTAACACAGATGAGACCTTGTGAGTTCATCGTTTACGTTTGGCGTGTGTACGAAGACACGTAAGTTCGTGCTTCGCTTCGCGTATTTGCGCGTGAATTCTCTTTCACAGCGAGTGCATATAGCCTTGACTTTGCGGAAATGAATGTTGTCCACATGGCGAGTATGGCTATCTTTCTTGAGAATACTCGAGTATCCGGGCCACGTACACTTCACTCTCTCCTGACCCCCAAGCACGATGGAGAGACACAAATGTGGGTAACGTCTGGCTGAAAAACCGGATGTGGTCAGCCTCTCTGTAGCATGCCCATCTACGAATGACTGGAAGGGCGGTACGATGTGGTTCATGGAACCAGCGACCATTAGATCTGGGCGTCGTATGTGGTAAACGTTTGAATGAAAGACTGCGGAGATAGCGAATTCTACCTGGGGAAAGTTGTCCGACAGGAGGATCTGCCGTGACATTGACAACCCCGACAGATTCTTGCAACAGAGGACCGTACTCTTGGGGTGTTGCCAACGACGGAGAAAAAGTATCGGGATCAATGTCTGCTGCAGCCTGAAGCCCAGTACTAAAGATGAACTGCAAGTTCATGATGTTATCCATGTTGAATTTCGCGGGTAATGACGTGAGCGCAAAGAATCAGTAAAGTAGATGATGCTTAGCTGCGTGGATCTGCGTCATGCCATAATTCAAGGGCTCTTTTATCTTGAGGATTGACTATCAAAGAACGTGAGTTTGTCTGATATGCATACTAGTACACGCGAACTTTGTTTCAAAAGATCCCGGAGCTAAACTTCCTACCCTCAGACAGCTCATTATAGATATCAGATCTTCAATATCGCATCAACGTTCACCGAACGTTCTGCGGTGGGGTGGCACTCTAGCGTTGCCTGCCATCTAAAAATGAAGTTTTGAATAGCGCGGCACGGGTATACGGTTCTGAGTCACCCGGTCACCGTGACGGTGGGGCGGTAGTGGGTAACCAATTCTAGAATCGACACCCCGACATGCGCGGAATATACGGATACGCCACGGGCACTTGCCAAGAATTCCGACAACTGATGACCATGCGAAGGGATTGCCGATGGCGGATGGCAGACTGGGAGATCTGGTTTGAGGGTTGGTGAGGCAGGTACCGAACCGCCACGTGCCAACTTAGGTCTCTGCTGCCGACTCCGAGTCATGTGTCTTGGCTTGTAGACTGGGTAGCGCGCTCCGCTCGGAGACTGTATCATACTATCGCGGTGCGCAGAATTAAAAAAAAACCCGTTCATGTTACTTCGGGGCTTGTTTAGGATGGAAGTGACGAGTGTGTGTGCGAACTTTTCCAAGCGAAGGAAATGAAGACAGGCGAGGATGCAGGTTACCCTTGGGGGAAGGGATCGTCTCCATTCTTCGATAAAGGTCCATATAGAGGAGACTAAGATTACTCCGACGATGGGAACGAAGGAAACGTCGAATAGTGCGTTCTGAAGTACGAATGCATGTGGTGGACATTCGAAAGTAGATGATGCCGACAACTTGAAGCTCTTGAAGGCTTCCAATCGAGTCGTCGAACGATCGAAGGTATAAAACATGGTCTTCAAGGTCGACGATAATACCCTGGTGGCATAATAATTCAATGTGTTCGATGCTGGAGCGAGCGACGACTAGAAGTTGTGGTTGTGCTGAGCCTGCTAGTAGTACCATCAATCAGCCTCAAGTACGCGTGATCTGAGGGAGTGATATTGTAAAGGGGCAAGGCACCTTTTGCGATGTGTATTTCTTGTTCCAGGAGAACACGAGAGTAATTTACTTCGTTTTTTTCAGAAACGTTTGAGTTGCATCCGAGCGAACTTGAAGTCGATGGTCGTTGCTGCATTTATAAAGAATTATTTACAGCAAGTATGACTCAATAAGGTAAATGTAGAAATAACGTTAATATTACTTTGTTATCACTGTTAGAATATTAGAGAGAAAGTCAAGGGAGAGTCGAGTTGAGGCATGTATATGACCGGTAACCGGTGAACCCACGACTACAACACATGTATCGGATCACAAATAGTTATCAACGCTGTCCATGTAGCATAAAATTATCGCTTGCTTGAGATATGTCCGCATTAAATTAAATTAATCATAACTCGACCCCTTGACGAACGTTCACTTCCTGCGCTTCTGGACCTCTTTCAACCGTCGCAACACCATGCCTGCAGGATTTCACACGTTCGAAATGCCTCGCAGAGGCATCATCGCGAGATAGCCTGATGCAACATACCGAGCAGCACCATTTCATCTTGAGATGGGTAACGATGACATGTCGGATGACGTTCTCTCTTTTCATTACCTTTCCACAGCCACCCCAGAGGCAAGGGACCTGCCTCTCACTGTGTTCCGCGTGAGCCCTGTGCCACCTCTGTATATGCCTTGCCAATCGTATACGATCGCCCATGACGTGCATACCGCATTCCTGCCCGTTGTGCATCCAGCGACAGAGATAAGTGATAACGAGACCGCCATTAATACTCCTAGTTTCCTTGACGTCTTCTTCATCAAGGACAATCCCGTTGCAGAGCAGAGCTTTTGCCGGCCGGTCGGCATAACTCGACCATGAGGCTCTGCGTCTCTGACGCGGTGATTGGGAAGCAGGTTCATAGCCAGCTGACCCCGTACCAGGAGTCTGTGGACCTATTACAGCGGTTTCATTATGCCGAGAGACTGAACCTTGAGGTGTGCTTTCGTGTCGAAGAGCCGGTGGCGTCGGTCTCGAGTGGAGTGAAGGAGATTGAAACGCAGCGGTCGCGGAGCTGCCTACAGCCTCTACTTGAGGATACCATGAGCTATTGGGTGGTACTGGCGCCGGGGATTGTGGACTTCCTTGCAGCATTGCGGTCCTGCGGTCTTCATGCAAGACTTCTAATGAATGGACGGTCCCAGTATGGACTGGTCCATGCACAGGCCACATGAAAGAGCTGCTAGCTACCATGTGCGAAAGAGTTGAATGAATTGGTTGATATGAATTGTGAGCAGATGTCTCGAGTTCCGGAGGTAGAGTTGCAGAGGCACTGGTCAACCAGGCACCGTCAGTAGTCTGAGAAACCGTGATTGATGACACTACATTGCCAGGGGAAGTCACTGGCAAGCTATCATCATCGTGCCTCAATGCGCCATAATCAATGAATGAGTCGCCCTGAAAATTCTGATGGCTTCTCGCGAGAAAAGGATCATCAGATAGTATTATCCCAGTTCCACTGTTTCGTTCATGAGAGACGCATAAACAAAAAGGAATCCTGCTACTCACGGTGCAGTAACCTCATTTGTGTAGGACGAGGTGGGGCTAAACAACAGTAACATTGATCAGCTGGGGAACTAGCCAAACGGCAAAGAGACCTAGCGTACAATGACCATGGTGGTTCAACGCTGAAAATGGGCGAAGATCTCCGGGGAGTCAAAGACATTGTTTCCTGCCTAGGTAAGAAATTAAAGGGTTTCCGACCGCTGTCACAATTCATGATGAGCAACTCAAGGAGATAATAAATAACTAGGCAATGAAGGCGTACTGGGAATCAGAGAAAGGTCCCTCTTTGAAAGACATAGAAGTAGAAGCGTGGCCTTGGTTTTCAAAATACCACTAATGAGGAGTATTTGTGAACCAGTATGAGCCAAAGCGGCAAAGAAGGAGCGCTTTATACCTGTGAAGATGTGGTTTCTAAGCCACACTCTGCGATGTGTGAAATGCCAAAAAAGCACTATTTGGTCCATTGTATATGTACTTTCACTTCCTGTACGGAAATGGAGGTTCATGTATCATGTTTCCACTAGTAGTGCGGCCACTTGACAAACGCTCGGGCGGTCCTGTTGTAAAGACATGAGTCGACTTTCAATAAAATGGAGCTGTAACCAATGTAATCCGTAGTGCGCAAGACTGCGAGCGATCGGTGTATAAAGTTTAGTCATGGTGAATAGCGAAATGTGACGCACAGGAGGTTCATAACGGCCATTTCAAGCTGGCTGACATGCCATAAATATGAAATTCGAGGTCTGCGCGCGATCACGTTAAAGCCGAGGCGCAATGCCCCCCACGTGGCAACATGTACATGTGTCCGGCTCGTGCTACCCCAGAAGTTGGCCTGATGATAGGCAGCACAGCAAGACGTACGCGATTTAGGAGGTGCTGATGGCCATTCGTGAGAAGCACTGGATTTACAGGAGAACAAGATATGGAAGAAGTGGCAAAGCGCCTGCCGATATGACAGCGTCCGAACACTGTAACGTCCAAATAAGATGAAGCGGGAATAAAACTAGTCCTTCGCGTAGAGTGCCGAGCTTGCACGAAAAAAAAATTAGGTAGATGATGCTGGTGGACCGTGGACGGCCCTTTTGAAATCATCAACGTTGTTTGGCAAAAGCTTCTGATCCAAACAACCGCAATTAGATTGTGGCTGCAATATTCTCACGCTACTCGATCCACTTTGTTCAGTGAGTGAACGAGTTTAGATCTTTTGTCGAAAACCCATGGCCTCAAATCAAGCTCGGAGGAGTCGAAGCCGGTCTAGAAGCCAAGATAGAAACACTTATGACAGGAGAACTACGAGGAACAGAGAGTCCTTTACAGCAGACAGAAATATTTCTGGTCATAGCCGACGTTTAGGAACGGATACCGAGAGGGACGCACCTCGTCGGTCTCGATCCCCTCTTCGCTCGCGTAGGCGCTCAAGATCACGGTCTCGCAGCCCCAGGCGTAATCGCCAATTGCCAAGGTCTCGGTCCCGCTCCCGTGGTCCCGAACGCTCACACTCTAGGGAAAGGCATGAACGTCCTAAAGACAGAGGAAAGCACAGGCACAAGCGTTCACGCTCTCGTTCAAGTTCTGCGTCAAGTTTATCTGACACTGATTCGGAGCGAAGACGTCGTAAGAAGAAAGACAAGCACCGCAGTCGTGAGGAGAAGAGGGAAAGAAAAAGAGAAAAGAAAGAAAAGAAAGTGAGTAGTCCTAAGAATTATAACCATCAGCGAACCCGTTTCTCGCAGAAGAAAAGGCATGGGACGGCCTCTGGTGCTCAGTGGGGTAAATACGGAATTATCAGTGAAACCGAGTCAGTTCAATTGCAACAGCCGCGGCTGTATGGCTAATTTTGTCCCCTAGCTTCTACAACAAGACCCAAGAATTCCGCACATGGCTTCTGGAAGAGCGCAAAATAAACCCGGAGGCCATATCCAAGGACCAGGAGCGCAAAGAATTCGCTGTTTTTGTTGAAGATTATAACACTGGTGTGTGATTTCAGATAGCTTTTTGCCGATATCGTTTAGCGTTTGGCAGCGACCCTCCCTCACGAAAAATACTACCACATGGAGGCATACGAGCGACGAATGACGTCGTTACGAGCCGGCGAGTTCGTTCCACCGGCAGAAGACTCCTATGATCCTGAGGCTGATATACGGGCTCACTCTTTACGACACAAGAGAGCGCCCGCCGAACACGAAAGTTATCTAAGCAAGGAAGAGCTTATGGAGTTGAGGAAGGTTCAGAGCGAGAGAGTTGAGGTAAGTTGTTTGCAATACAGACAATGCTGGGATATCAATATCACATTCGTTAGGTTGGGAAGATGAAACTCTTGGGCATGGAAGTGAAACAAAATTTCGGGGTTAGGATGGATAGAACCATGTTCGACGATTGATTGGTATTAAGTAGAGGCTATCCTAACTCTAAGGTTCCAATACAATGTGTACATCTTTACTGTATTCTGCAAAAAAGTCGGACATTCGCGGACAAGAAGTGTTGAGGCGGTCACGGTTGCTTGTACGACATCTGGAATAGCCGATTTACTTACGTATACAGAGGTAGTACTTGTACGGGTACGCACATGTGACGCGCATCACAAGTCTCCTTTGCTTCTCATCATGGTCGACATAGTTGTTCTCGGTGCCACAGGTATGGTTTCACATGTTATTGTTCACCAGCAGCTAACTAGTGGTCCTCAAGGCTATACTGGTCGTCTCATAGCTCAGTACCTTGCCACGCATCCGCAGCGTTCATCTTTCACGTTTGGTCTTGCTGCACGGTCGCAGTCAGCGCTCGAGAAAGTTTTGAAAGGACTCAACCTCTCGAAAGATGATGTACCTGCATTCATCATGGACGTTACGAATCCCAGTGACGTGGTTGCTGTGGTACAACAGGCCAAGGTTGTAATTAACACCATTGGTCCATACTGGCGGTGGGGAACTTCTGTTGTCCGAGCTTGTGTACATCATGGGAAACATTATGTGGACTTGACTGGCGAGGTCCACTGGATAAAGGATATTATCTTTGAGTATGTGGAAGCCTATGTTGATTTTGAGAAGTACCAACTTGACCGCTTCTAGACTTGATTACGCAGCTGTCAAGTCGGGTTCAATCGTGGTCCCTTGCTGCGGGTTAGACTCAGTACCTTCTGATATTCTTGCATTCGTCGCGAACAAAACACTGAAATCCTTCGGTGGGCCGTCTACCACAATAGACCTCTCCACCTCGGCGTGGAAGCTTGGTGGTGCTTCTATTTCAGGAGGCACTTTCTCCACAATCCTCACTGCGTTGGAAGACGTTCCAAAGCACAAACTGCTCGCGATAAGGCAGAATTTTGCTTTGAGCCCAGGTTTATCTCGCAGTATTGAAGGATATATGGTAGTGGCTGACTTAATGTTGTTTATCAGTGGAAGGAACCCATTCTGCTCGACCCCGTATGCTTTATACCTTGCCGTACTCCGATCGACCCGTCTACGGGGCGTGGTATTTCATGGCAATCACCAATTCTCAGGTCGTGCAGCGCTCGTGGGGTCTGTATGAACTCGCACGCCGTCTCAACCATCATAATGCGACCGCTGTCGCTCCATTCTCCTACGGTCCGAACTTCAAGTACGAGGAGTTCGTGATTCTGCCAAATGCACTATACGCTATGATATATTCAATCGTATTCGCCGCGATAGCAGCATTGCTTGTTTGCTTCCAGCCTGTTCGTTATCTTCTCCCTGTCCTTGTAGCAGAAGAAATGACTGTGTGTGGATGACTTCAACAGGCAAGATGGTTGGCTCGCAGAATAATGCCCGGTCCTGGTGAAGGCCCGTCTGAGAAGTGAGTGCGATTGAATTTATTGATCTCACAACTCATGCATGTCATGACACACGCAGACAACTACGGAGTGGCTCTGTCAAAATCACTAATATCACTACGTCCAGTCCCAACTCACAAGGGGAAAAGATCGTTGTACAAAGTATTTTCCGGGGTCGAGGTGACCCTGGATACTTCTTATCGTCGGGTAAGTTCTATTTATACTCCCAGTGAACCATCAATCAAGTATTCATTCAACTTTTCAGTAATGATTTCGGAATGCGCACTAGCGCTGGCTTTGGACGGTGCAATCTTGCCTCAGATAAGCACAGGTGGCGGCATTTTGACTCCCATGACTGCTTTTGGAGACGTTCTCGTTGAGAGGTTGAGGAGATCAGGATATGTCGACATCGAAAGTGAGTTGTTAGTGGGGACAGAGGCACGTAAGACACGTTGAGTATGGACTCTGGTCGTTACCTGGTATTACTTGCGTTCCTTCGATAAACCTCATTCCGAAGCACATTTTAATTATTTCTGTCACATCTCCGAATTCACATTTATTTATATAAATTGCATATAAGTAAGTCATCGCTGCGAGTCAGTTATTGGAAACCACACGAAACCGCCTGAACCGACAGTTCTGATCAAGTACTAAGCTCAACCTGGAATTGTCAATTCAGCTTAAAGATTGGTTACAGATTTTGGGGCGCCTCTTCACACACTGCCTATGGCTCAAGCTTTCAAATTGCAAACTTGAACGGGTCGAACCCCAAAGCACATGTGTTACGGTGTCGCTGAGTATAAAAAACTCCGCCTCCTTGCTAGTTAATTTGTAACCTTGGTTGAACGTCCACTGCCAGATCCCAAGATCCTGTAAAGGATGATCGGCGATAAAAGTTCACCTGGAGCATCAAAACATCAAAACACAAGTTCGATAGATATTGTTGAGATTTAGATCTACAGCGGAAGAATCAACGACGAGTAACTGTAGGACAGAGGAGCCTAGCCGTGAGTTGCTTTTAAACACCGCGACTGGAGGTTTGTTTTCTATACCTCTTGCTTGGGACGTGTTCTTGTGTTCGGCTCCAACATCATGGAACCCTAGCTGACGATTAACCGGTAGTATTGATATTGAGTGTTGGTGCTTACAGTTGATCCTTGAAAGATTCCTGAGTTTGGGAGAGGGGGGGGATGGCGACGTGCTGATACGCATTTAGGCCCTGATGATGTTCTCATCGACCGTGCGAGACGACACGAAAGGATTGAATGATAACGGATGTAAATGCTCTTTGGTCAAGAATGATGTAGATTTGATACTTATCCTAGGGTGAACACAATATATGTGTGTTTGAATCAAGCGACGTCTGAATCATGTGGTACTAGGGAAATGACAACAATCATTTTGTGCTGAGCACACATATCAACCACATGTCCGCGGGGCGTGACCACTCTAGCGAAGAGCTTGGTTGTCCTTGTAGTTGTGGAAGGAAAAGGTTTGAATAAAAAAACTTCATCGCTTTAGTCTCCCGTAGTCAGACCTTGATAGAACAAAGACAATATCCGTTTCTTCTGTCCGAATTATCGCTCATTGGGCGCTAATCGGCCGCTGCAGTGGTTGTGTGCCATGAGTCGTTGCAAACTAACAAGTCTCCGGCGAGTCTGTTTGTGAACATCGAGCAAACTTATAATACGCATTGCCAGACATGTAATATGATGACAAAATCTGTTCGAGTTTGCTATTTTTTGGGTCGCATCGATGCGCGGGCCTTTAGCAGGGCGCTTGAGCTTATCGATGGCGTTCTACTCTCACGACCGAACCGTAAAGTCGGCTAAGATCTCTCAGTAAAACTACCATCACAGCGTCCATCTGATGCATTTTTCGCGTTTTCTTTTTGATCTGTCGTTGGATATACAAGTGGTAAGTGCTACTTGACCCGCAATTCATGAATGGCAAGCCCGATAAGAAAATGACTCAATTCCATAGACGATGGACCACAAATGATGCTCTTTTTGCGTTTTCTTTTTGATCTGTCGTGAGATATACAAGTTGTAAGTGCCACTTGGCTTGCAATTTATGAGTGGCAAGCCCGATAAGATGATGACTCGATTCCACAGACGGACTAGGTCACGCTCCTGGCGCGTTGCTAAACCAAGCCGGTCGGCATGCCTGTTTCGGTGATGATTAGTTTTTGGCAACCACCACAAAATGGCCGACCTTCAGCGTACCTGGAACCCCGCAGTTAGTGCCAGCCATGGCCGAAAAACCATGACCGCTATCGCGTATGAGATCTGGGACCCTTCCAAGGGTCCAACCGTTACTAACCTCATGTCCCCACCCTACCAGCTGGCAGGGACAGTGGTACATAAAATGCGGGCAATGTTTCGTTCAAGCCAGAACATCCATTCCATATGACGAGCCGACCGATGCACAGATACAATCAGTCCCAGGATATCGACGGATGGGCCAATTTGCACTGTAAGTAACCATTAGAGGTGTTGAGGTTTTTTCAACAGCAATATAGCAGACATCCTGGACGCTTTGATTAGTGAAGCCGGTAATGGCACACTACTTCACCTCATGGAGGAGGTGCGTGCATTATGGGGACGAGCAATATTTTCAGTTAAATGTTTCCTGCAGGATGAGGGGCTCGCCTTATTTCTCGATAAAACATTCGTCCACAACAAAGAGATTCCAATTGAAGAGGTGTCAGAAGCCGCCCTTCTGCAAGCGTTGGAGAAATATTTGGCAATTCCACCCACTGAAGCCAGCTCGGGTATCGAGGACCACCCTGAACCCTCCCAAGACGATCCTACGGAAATTGGCGTCCCAGATGATGCGCAAGAATGCGGCTGGATGAATGACGCCACACATGAAGTGTGCTCTGAGCTCGTACCAGCAGGTCGACCACCGATGCTCTTACATCTGAACAAGGCGCACGATATTCGTGGTCCAGAGACAACCGAAGTGGAGTGCATGTGGGTTGTACTCAAGTCAGGCTACAAACTCCCATGCGGGAAAAAATTCCAGCGTCGCAATATTCCTCGTCACATAGGGACGCATCTGGGGTTGCGCTTTCCGTGCGAGCAATGCGAAAAAAGCTTTACGCGCTCAGATTCTCTGAGGAGTCATGAGCGTGATAATCACATGGTCCAGGACACTAGTACCACAGATGCTGAATTGTACAGCTGGCCCGGGTAAGCGTTGCAGACTCATCATGTAAAGCAGTCGAACTTACTCATCACTAGCCAGGTTTTATGATGTACCAAGCACGTTGCCCCTATAGCACACATGTAATGAATGGAACCGTTATGGATGCACCGTTTTTCGTCAGAGTTTGATGACCTAAGCTGCTAACGATTTCAACATATGTTTAAAAATCGGCTTCATCACCCCCAATAGTTCAATAGACGCGAGAGCGCCGAACTCGGGATAGTCCACGATTACCTGAACCCGAGTAGTGAAGATAGAAGATACAAGTCCCTGGTTATCATCGCTAGTGAAAAAACGGGTTTTTGACCACACGAAGTTGGACGACCCAACATATATGAGGAAGCTGAAGTTCAACCTGCAGCGGCTGAAGGCTGCCTAGTAATACTAAGCTTTTATGAATGGAAACGCAGCTAGGATCGCATAACTGGGCCGCAAGATGTAGGTTTGTGAAGACCGCAGCTCACAGCTGCCAAATACACGGGCTAGAGCCAGGACGTACGGCGTACATCTGACAGCATTGGTTGAGTTTGCCGTTTACTGAGTACTGAACGCTTCTCCGATAATCGCACCGACGATTTTGTGTTGAAAGATGTCAGCTGGTGACGTGGCCACTGGCCAGTCACATGCCTTCAAACCATTAACATGCATATCGCAGTGACCGTACTAACTGCAGTACTAGTTATGCATGCCTCGTACACGCGTTGGCGCCATTGTCGGATGACTCGGATACCATTTCTTTGTCGCCCATAGTCTGAAAAACATGAAACTTGTCTGGCAGTCGAATTCGATGGAGTACTAGTAGGACATGAAGAAAAAATTGCACCATCCCCTTAACGTTAGTAAGCTTAGTAATGTCCTCGACGCAGCGCCAAGAGCAAAGGGCATGAGTGGAGCTGAGTTGTCACATAGGGCCAATGCCACTATACTATATGTCGATCTTCAGACCGACGAAGGCAGAAACGACGAATCCTGCATCAAAACGCGGCGCCACGAAATCCGGAGATTTATGTAAGTGTCGAGGAACCAGCTGCCATTGACAGTGCCATTCAAGTTGTATGCACAAGTCGTTGCTAGTTCAACTCGAGCTTGAACACTACCATCATCTCGCGGTGATGGCGCATATTGGCAGTCCACCTCAGCGTGTGTGTAACGTGTTTTTGTATGTTTAATGTCATCACTAATTTTTTGAATGGTCTCCTGCTGCCGCCGAAACATGCGGCCCCTGCTCAGCGCATTAATCTTGCTAGTATAGCACCGAAGAATGATGGAGTCTCACACAAAAGCCAACGACCGTCAAATACGCCGGACAGTGTCGAGGCCTACGACTTTTCAGATTGGACGGATATGTAGTCTTGAACAAATGTACGCTGGGTGTGTGACACACCAGGCCCATCGTCATTGAGGTTCCTAATCCACAACGAAAAGAAGTAGGCATGCTGCCCGAATCAGCATATAGAGAACAATGTTCATTGGGTACGTCTCGACTGATCACATGGGACTTGATGCCAGTTTGTGGACCTTAGCTTATTCTCCATCTTAGGCACTCCGGGTTGTTTGCTCTCTTGCACGATCGATCGTACAGCAGCACCAAAAAGGCCCCCACTGCAACGCCAACGGCGCATGTAGTCGTCTGTGTTGCGGATATGCCACGACTCATGTTCTGTGATTAGATGAGCTATAGTCACCCTTGAGAGAAAATGAGACCATAATCAAGACAGCTGGTGACGACCGATTACTGTCGGGACTGGGTTCATGTCCACGAGGCACCGATGACTCTGCACCACCTAATGAGGTGGTAAAGGCGAGTGAGCTACAGGCGGTTTGCTAAGTATTGAATGTCGAGAATGTCGACCGTAATGCCGAAGAATCGACATTTCTTCCGGCATCTCGATGAAAGAATCGACCTAGGACTTTTTTGTGATAAAGGGTTTATGCCGTGAATGCATTCAAGTTGAGTTGCATTTTATGGATGGGAGTTTGTGTAGCTGAATATAGATGTGTCGTTCGATGTCAAAAAAAGGTCTCAACCTTCAAGTAATCAGGCGCTTATAGGTGAGCCATTCGAACGGGTCGCATATGATGTACTCAACTCAACTCTCACACTGTGCGACACCAAATTGCCTGAATCCCGATGTTCTGGTATACTCAACCTCGACAGGTGCGCAACCCATTTGGGCCGTGCAAAAAAATTACTAGGCTCCGGTGCGACACCCAAACACAATTCAAAATGCAAACCCAACGCCGTTCTCTCTGCTGCATCGACCCTCCTGGAACTGCAACCGATGGTCTGTCTTCCTTGTCTTCTACCTTACCAATCTGTTCTACCAGTTGATGAGGCCAAGGCGGCGGGGGATTCATATCTTTATCAGCCTGTACAGGCTACCAGGAGCCTACAAATAGAGCCACATTGACCCTTGACCTACCTTTTCAACCTCCACTTCCCGTGATTACAAGTTACAGCCTGAGAGTTATCATAAACCTTTGCCTCATGTCTATTTCTTCACCACCATGCTATTCTATAATATCGAATGGATCAACAGTTATACGCCTATCAATGCAAACCTTTTGCTCCTGCCACATTTCTCGTTGATGCGCTTCACTTTCAAGAGATTGAAAGGAATTCAGTGCATCGCACTGCAAAGCGACATTTTTCTCTCTTTCTTTTTTGTTCGTTTCTTGCGAGTGAATTGTGTAGAGTTCGGGTTTATTTGCAAATAACTACAACTGACAATTTCTCTTGTATTGTTCTGGTTTCCGGGTAGATGCAAGCTCCTACTTTTGGGACAAGTGCATGTCTTCGTTCGCCATATGGTCTATCTACTCCCCGATTGTAAGTTTTGCCATCTCGTTATGCTTCTTGTTCCAACATTATGACTTATTTTCATCAAGCAATCGAGGCATGAGTTGGGCAGTCGACTTCCTATAGTGACCGTGACGTTCGCGCAGCACCAACATACGAAGCAATCGATATCAGCCATCTTCCTGTGTTGACTTCGTTGGCATTACGTGCCTTACATAACACTGCCAACGGCTCCAACTTCTATTATTGGCCTGGTTCATATAATTATGGCGTTGGCAGTCTCATATGAAAAGCCAACGCCGGCCAAGCAACACGTGGCTTGGCCGCCATCACAATGGCGTTCCATGGCGTTCCATGGCCATGGCTGGCCACGGCCCTGCGTATGTGTCTCGCTATACTATTTTGTGCCTAGCGCTCAACCCAATATGGTCGATCACGGAAGCCAACCGTGGAAGCTAGCCATGCCGCGTGATCCTGCATGTGCCAACGGAGGCCAGCAGGCCAATCATCGATGGGAATGGTGAGTGGCGTGAAAAGCATGTTATCCTGGTGCTGACATGGCGTTTGGCACTCTCCAAGTCCTCTCCATATCCGTTACACTGTCAATTAGCGATGAGCCAGGACAAGCCCCATGCCATATTTCGTACTGGGCCGCTGAGCGCCACCACCCACAGCATCAAGCATTAAAATAGGCGTGCGACAATATTGCGATTTACGGTCTACTAATTGGCCTTTCGGGACCATTCGAGGACTCGGCCAACTCGTAACCTGGCCTTTGAAATCCGATATATCGCGCAACCCCCACAGTCAGCAGTCAAAGTTTTGACTTCTGGATGTGTTTTAGATCGGAGACGTTTCTTAATTAATCTTTTCAGTTTCCCAAAGAAGCCAATTTTATAAGATCATTATTCGGTTAGTCACAATCGATGGCCAGGTTTACACGTTCTAATGAGGTATTGGTTGGCCCATCGGAAGATGGAGCCAAAGGCTTCTCTGGAGTTTCCCGCAGGCCAGCCAACCAGCCATTCTATCCGATGATGCGGCCATTATGGGCAGATATAAAGTCTCGGTTGGCAGGTATCCGTACTTCAGAAACACAATCAGATCGAAATGTCGACCCACAAACTCCTTGTTACCTTGCACGACACACTCAAAGCTATCCGAATATCAGCCAAGTATGAATGATACTTGCACTCTCGGAACCACCTAGTCTTACGTTCTTTTCAGGTTGCATGCTGAAACACAGGAACAATCAAACGCCTGCCCTTGCTATCCTGTAGTGCAACTTTTTCTCAACTTGACTGAGTCTATCCATCAGCGGTTCGTCTGGTCACCAGCCTACGTGAAAATGCTTACTGAGGGGTTCTATTCAGGTCGTCTCTTTCTGAAACTCAATGTCACGGCTCTCCCTCGGTCATTTCCAGTGAATGGATACAGGACGGGGATTCTGTTCTGAACATGTTCAACACGACAACGAACAATGTAGAAGCACCTTTTGTATTTGAGACAGGGTCACCCGGTTTTAGCGGTCCATCTCTCATGGAGTCCGATTTCATTCATATGCATCAGCCCCATCCACACACTGCTCTTGATCCAGACAACGGAATGCATGCACCTTATCTTAGCGGACCTGAATATTTATTCAACCCAGAACCTTTTGCCAAGTTTCCCGACAGCTTCCCTCCAGAGTTCTCCATAACCCCCTCTATGGATGACGCTTCATCCCAAACGTGGAGTCCCCATGCTCTCCCGCAGTTGCCTACTACATCATCTTCTAACGGGAGTTCACCTTACGATTATACATGCCAGTGGGTGAATGGGCACGCCAACGATTGTCATATCGAACCATCATTCAACGACATACAACCTCGCGCGCAGAACTTCGGCAATGATTATCCATCTAGTTTTGGCATCGGAGTTGATCTTCATTCACCTACACCATCGTGGCCGGCGGAGAGAAAGAGTGACTGTACATTATTGATGGACGATACGAATGACACCTCAAGCTTCTGCGGCTGGGATGGTGGGTTCTGCTTCTCACCTCTGACTGTCGACAAGTCTGAAGTGGCGAAACACCTCCAACTATACCACGGTATGAAACCTGGCGGCGATAAAGAAAAGATTCCATGCCGATGGGAGGGCTGCGGGAAGGAAATGAAGAAGGAGAGCATATCGCGGCATATCATTGCGGTTCATTTGGACAACAAAACGGAATGCGATAGTTGTGGAAAGAAATTTGCTCGGTTAGATTCTAAACTGCGCCACCTAAAGAATTCAAACCGAGAGGGGTGCAGAGAATCCGAATCCTATGATACTCGTGCCAAACGCCGTCGTCTGTCATTGCCATAATTTTTCTGTCATACATTCTTGCAGCTTATCATGCACAATACCGAAGATTCCAGTATCGTCGTGTGTGTATACTCGGTTTTGTCACTTTAGTTTGATATTGATCCGTGGACGTATGTACTGCCGAACCTATGCTTATATCAACTTCTATCCCTCCAACGCACTGCCATACAAAAGCAAGCAAAATGACTCAAGTTGTAGGGGTCAAATTCAGGCCTTCGAAGGTGGTTGGATGGGACTGAAGTTTTAATACCTTGGTCCTGCAGACGATCAAGCAACTTAATGGTCGACACCACAACGAAATCCAAGGAAAAAATACATAATTTCGAGTACAAATAGTGTAGATCAACTAAGTAGGAGTATACGGTAGGACATTACTAATAACGGACAGGAGCTATAGGGAGATGCATATGAGGTTGGAATACAAGGCGATACGGATGTCACTGTAAGATAACTATAACACTGAGGACTATATCAACATGACGTTCTGGCTAGCTGACCAACCACCGTCAATGTACACTAAGTCAATCACTTGTGATCCGTCCCCGTAGTTAACAACGACTTCCGCAGACTGACAGTCCGGTCGTTCGAGCGAATGCCGTCGAAAGGCGTCCTCCCGCGAGAGTGAGGACTGACAATGCGAGCAAATCCACCGTACTCCAAGATGGCGCGTCAGGACATGACGGGAGAGATTGCCTGGTTTGGTATGGGTATCAAGACAACCGCTCCAAAGACATGTAGTTTTTTCCGTGTCCTCGCTGGTGGCGCTGGTGTTGATACCATGATATTGCTTAAGGTGTTTAGAAACCTGCTTGAGCTCCACAGGAATGTGCATCCTGCAGCCCTTCCAACCACATGGGCGCACTCTGACCTCGGTATCGTATTCATGCAGAGCATCCCGAGCGATCAGGATGGGATTCACCCTATTGAATTCCAGGAGCATATCTTGGACCATGGACTTGTCCGACGAACTAAAACAAATAACAGTGAGCCACAAAAAAGATAAAGAATGTTATCACTGACCGAACTGGGTTCATATTTGAATCAGAGAGGAGTTGGTTTACGTGGAGTTGGTTTATGTGTCTTCTGGGTTCTGCAGATGGGTCGCCTTTATGGCTTTTAACTTGCCTACTCTATGGCACTGTTCCCCACCGCAGCGTGACAAGTCTTAGGCGCGAGCGTTGGCTGGGATCGCCAGATTTCCACCAAGCTCTCAGGTTTGTGAAATTTCGTTACAATGGTGGTGGAAGAGATACATTGGTTACGCGCTGTGTCGTTGCAACCTTCAAACAGGTAAGTTGAATGAATGATTCTGGTCAGTATGCCAATGTTGCTCAGCGGATCAACACAAGAGACCGGGTTACCAAATTGATTTCATGTTGGAAGGTCTTCGGAGTGAACTATGTGACGAGGGTCCGGAAAAGCCTTCGTGGCACCCGGGAAAATCAACTTTTGATCCGTCGATTGAAGATGTGATCAGCGCAGCCACTCGACTGGCACGTCCCTTAAAAGTTCACTAACAGCGACTGAGATTCCAAGGTGGGGTGGACGAAACGACCAGCTGCGGATACAGTAAACAGACATAGACAAATCACCTGTCTCTCTCTCGAGCAACTATAAGCACGCATCAGCGAAATAACGAGGAGTTTGTGTTCATATCATGTCTCGCGTATGCGTGTTATAACGTCTCCAAGGGGCCAAGTGTACCGAAGTAATCGGGATGGTGGAGGGATCTGAATTCAGTATGAAGCTGGCGACCTGTAATCATAAAGATCGAGATATGTATCCATCGGAGCAGGGTTAGACCGACGAGGCCAGGCCCGACAAGTGACTGCCAGTACTGATGTGGGTCCGACGTAATACTTGAAGTATGAATCACAAGAACCGGCGATACCATATCTCTCCCTCCGATTCCGAAACCGTTACGCTGTGGAGATAAAAGATTTTCAGTCTACTTCAATCGAAAGTGCTGTGGTAACCTGGCCTTGACAGTGGGGAATTCAATGAACCTGCATCAAACCATAAATGTAATGTCGAGCGCTGGTAGTACCAGCGAACCGTGGCATCATGCAAGCATGTGAGCATGCCGCGGAACCCTGTCTCATGGATGTGCTTCTATTATGTAAGGTAGCACCGCATGGTGGACATACACGCGTTCCAGAACTTCCAGTGTATGAGCGTTTGGCAGAAAGATATTACTTAAATTGCGGTGCTGAGCGCTGAGGCGCGCAGACGACAGAACTATCGGATAAGATTCAGAGGCTTGAACAGCAGGTGTGATACGTTGCTAGGAAAATAATGGGCTGACCTGAGGCATGATGCATGAACCACCAGGGATCTTGTGGGTTTGGCAACGAGGCAGACCAACTTCAAGTTGAAACAAAAGGATTCGGTTGATCACGTGCAAGCGCCCGGCTGTGCAGGCCTCGAGTTCATACTACTACGCTACCACTAGTGTAGTAATAGTACTAGTATTGTACATGTGTTCATACACAATTACAATAAATTATTTTTTTACGTGTAGCCAGGCAGTGCCGCACTAGATGACCGAGAAGGCTCCACGATAGAGCTAGGACCGGTCTCACTCTGTACAGTAATCAATTCAACCATTGCTGTTTGACTTTTTGACTGATGGGGCCTGATGCACACGGTAACCATAAGCTACTCCCACGAAAAGACTTAACAAGTCAAAGTAAGGGTCTTCTGTGAGAAAACGGCCAAGGTGGCATGTTCCTTCCTTACTTAGGCTATAGTACTGGAACACTTAGAGAGTATGGATACTGTGGAAGCCAGCGTATAACTTCAACTTTGAAAGAGGTTCGTCTGTCATTGAATGTTGACCATTGTGAGTAGACTTTGAGCGCAATTCACAGTATCAGACAGCTCAAGACGATAAGTGAGCAACGTGCGTCCTCGACCACCGCATGGATAATAACCTGTGTGGGAATTGGGCGCGTACCATCGTGCAAAACCCATCCGAGTCAATCAACCATCATGCGGTTCCGAGGAATACTTTTTCTCTCCTCAGATCAGCAGACCGTGACTGGGCGCTTGTCTGCTGATAAAGGCTCCTCGCAACCTCTCTTTTAGAAAAAGTGCTCTTAGATCCAACCGCCCCTTCTGGTATGATTTTGCCTGTTGCTGTTCTTCTGGGTCTTGCGCTCCGCGGTGTTGCTTGCGCGGGCGATCACTTGCATGCTCGTGACGTCCATGTTCATGAACGTTTGAACAAGCGTGAATACCCACAGGTTCCAATCACACCTCCCTACCGTCCTCTCGTCTGGGGAGATTTCAATGTGATCCACACCACCGACACCCATGGCTGGTTACTCGGCCACCAGAAGCTGTCATTCCCTGAACCAGACTATAGGTGAGTTTCAAAGGACTTAATCTGGGGCATAGCTCAACCACGTCACCCTGCGCATATTATAGTGGGGATCTTGGAGATTTTGCCAGTTTCGTAACGCATATGAAGAACATCGCCATCGTTCGTCCATCAGTCTAGATCCTGACTTTGTTGTATATATTTCCTATTGCAGAAAAAGGACGTCGACCTCCTTTTGGTAGACTCGGGGGATCTACATGACGGTATGCATCGATTTAGCATTTATCGAAGACACAATCCAATCTACTTCTCAGGAACTGGGCTTTCTGATGGTTACCCCCCCGGTGGTGTCGACGCGCACGAGGTCTGCTGTTCTATTACTGATACATATCTCGAAATTGATACCTTCTATGTGTCTTCAAAAGTCAAACAAGTTTCTCGAACGCCTTCCATACGATGTCATGACTATCGGAAAGTGAGTATTGAGTTTTCGGTCCTCCCCTATTCGCCCGGGTTGTACTGACAATTTTACCTTGATAGTCATGAACTGTACATCTATGCGGATACATACGACATGTGGGTTCTGAATATTCTGAGGAAAATTCAGACTGACAATGTCTTCTTCTGCATCGATTTTGTTTTCCTTTGCGATGTCTATATTTTGTTCAATCACCACCTTCTGTTCGACACTGCACACACATGGCTTATACTTGCAAAATGGACCAACCTCCCCTCAGGTACACGAACTTTGTCCCTCATCTTGGTGAGCGGTACTTGTCTTCTAATGTCAACATCACTGTTTTCAATTCGGATGGCGAGCCTGAGAGTGTTCCAGTCGGCAGTAAGTTCGAATTTTAAAGTTCGTTTGACTACTGTCGATGTCCCCTCTGCAGACCGCTTCACCAAGTTCACCACACGGAAGTAAGGGTTCCTGTGAATTCAGGGTGGGACTTTATTCATTCGATGTAACAGAGGCCGTCGCATCACTTCTCTTGGAGTCCTGTATGATTTTACTGGAAATGACGTGAACACGACTGTACAAACTGTGGCTGATATGGTCAATGAGCAATGGGTACGTTATCTAAGGCGTCTAGGTGACCGAGAAGAGATTCTGATCGATCTTTGCAGTTCGCCGAGGCCATCGCGGAAGAACCTGATGTGTTTGTACTTATTGGGTAGGTTGATCCGATGGTTTCTGAGAAAAGATTTTTAATGCATTTCAGCCACATGCCAGTTTCCTTTGATAACTGTAGGCCAGCCAACTACAGCAATTGTAAGGTTTGATGATACGATGAATTGATTTTATAGGGCCTACTGTGTTTGACGCTGTTCGAGCTGTGCACCCTTTGACACCCATCTTAATCTTTGGAGGTGGAGGCCACGCATTTAATGTTTTCAACTAACTTTCTCACCGCGGACTTAGGACATAGCCACATCCGTGATTGTCAACAGTATGATAGTCGTTCTATGGCTCTCGAGAGTGGACGCTACATGGAGACAATCGGTATGTGAGCATCAAAGATGAGTTGAGTCCAGTGTCTCACGTGTTCTTTTAGGCTGGATGAGTACATTGTTTAACAAAAACAATATTTCAAAGATCTAACCAGGAACTCAGGTGCGGATCTTGAAGCTGCCACGGGCAACGCCAACAACATTTCTTTCACAAGGAGATATCTGGATCAGAACCGTGTGACTTACGAGGTAAAGTGTGCTATCAGTTTCTCAATGATGTTCTAAATCGCGTGTCACAATCAGTACCACACCCAAATGTCAAACCAAACATTTGACACTGCCTACGGGCGCTCGATCACCGATGGCCTGCAGGAGCTTGCGGTCAGCTTTGATTTATCCTATCTGTATGGAACATCCCCACAAGATTATACCATCAACCAGTGGGTACTCCGTATATATCGCATAAGCCACCAACTCAATCGTATGCTAGGAACCCATATCCCTCTAATGGATCCCTTCTATCTCTTTTTATTGCAGATGTAAGACCTGTTTTCCCAGAAACGTTAATTACTTACGCTTTTGTCAGGCTATCCCATACGCTCTCTCCATCAACAACACGCGTGATTCCATCCCAGCCATATTTATCACCAACTCAGGATCTCAACGCTTCAACGTCTTCCAGGGACCATTCACCAAGAACGATCAGCTCACAGCTTCCCCATTCACGGATTCATTCCTGTATATCTCCAACGTCTCATTTAGCATCGCAAACCAGGTCCTTCCAGCTTTGAACAATGCGGGCGCAGATGAGAAACGGAAGCGAGATGAGATTGAAAAGGAACTTTGGAGCCGTGGGGTTGTTGATACTCGGTACAAAGCCTGGTTAGAGGAGATGGATCGACGTGCTGGAATTGGTAGACGAGAAGCAACGACAGGCAATTTGACGCTTGGATATGTCACTGCTGATGTAAGTGGCCCATCCTCGCACTCGCTCCGACACACTCACGATAGTGACTTAGTCATGCCCTGGTGCCGGAGACGACACGCTGCACTTGGCGTTACCCTACTATTCGGTTCCAGACTTTATCGGCTCGAATCCTCCTAACGTGGCCGACGACACGCCTATTGATCTTGTCTTCGTCGACTTCATTGAAGCACAACTCCTTGGCATTCTCAACGGCTTGCAGAATGCGCAGAACTACACCACCGCTGATGTTTCGCTGTACAGCCCAACGCTGGCTAACGCAGCACTGGGCATGTATGCTCAAGGTGTGTGGAACTGACTGAACGGCCAGTAGTATGCCTATGCTGTGATCGTATTTACCTCTTCTCCACAATCACCTGGCATCTTCTTGTTATCTACAAGAGTACATTCTGAGTCAATGACACTTGGGTTGTATACCTCGAAGCCTTGCACATTTCATGCCAACTCCCAGTATTCAATATTCAGTACTTGAATATTGATGGGCGCGCTTTGAGATCGAAAAAATGGGACCGTACTCAATTTTCATTCCATCGTTCATCTATCTGTGATGACTGAAAGTATTGTAAGAAAGCCTGTTCCTTTACGCACGGTCCTAACGCCAACCAGTTAGATAAGTCGTGCGTGAAGGGGCTTCCCAGATCTTGAAGCTTCTCATGCGCCATCATATGATTCTGCAGCATGCGCCTGAACTCCTGTTCCAGCATTCTCGTCCTAAACTCAGGAGTGCGGCATGGCGGGACCGTTGGCATCACACCATCCTATCTCATGTCATTCGGGACAACGTGGAAGGTCCAAATATAAGGATCGAGCTGATGAATATAGATCTGTATCAATTGAATGCGGGCTCAGAAAATCATGAACATAAGACTCCTTGTGGTACCTGTTCACAAACTATAGACCGGGACAAATGCTGGAAAGAACTTGAAGACGATCAAAGAAAGGATTACTTACAAAAAGCTATGCGCACCGGCGACCAAACCCACAGGGAAAGAATGTGAGCGAAAGATGGCTCTGTGCATCGAGCAGAACGCCAGAGATTTGGGACACGACGGCAGCAAACGGCACCCCCAGTAGAGTTTAAATTTAAACTCCGTTCAATGTTTTGAACGGCCAATTCATGTCATTGAATACGCCTACTAAGCTACATATGCTGCATGACCTCAACTCTGCCCGCTCCTCCTTGCTGCCCACTGCTCATTAAGTTATTTTGTGCCCGCCAGCCCTCTGTTCTTTGTCCGCCGACCATTTCAGAGATGCCTTCGCATCGGGCAGCCTGAGGTACATCTAGAACCTCTGCTTCCAGTCGAAAATGAATGCAATGAATTGATCATTGATGACCAAGACGAGATCCGCTCGGAGGCGCGTTCATGCATGCTCCAGCGAGATTTTCCACCAAGATATCTGTGCAGGTTCTGGTATAAAGTACGGATTTACTCGTATATGTCTAGACTTGTTGACCACGTTGTCTTTGCAATGTAAGAGGGTCGTTGATTTCCGAATGGCATGGTCAGCGAAAGCGCGGAATTTGAAAAATCTGGTCATACTGATATTGTGGAAAGCCAGAGTACTCTGCTTCCAATGCTAGTAACTGGGGCATCAACCAAAGTTTTGGAAAATGCTGGGTTTTGCCAACAGCAACATGTGTGTCAAATACTTCTCGATCACATGTTTCTTGCCTTGAAGTCACTGAAACCTCATCGATGCATCTTCCACGCTGGCAGGACCACCTCCAAATCTTGAACAAAGACGAGTTAGACACGAGACTAGAGCAAGGATAGATAAGAGGGGTAATAAGACGTTCTGATGAGGCTATTCAGTCGTTCTTGGAGCGGAGATCTGCGTATATATAAGGTGAGGAAGTTATCAGGATATCGTTTTCGCTGTGAAACACTGATCCCCCGCAGTTTGCCATTCTGCCGGATTCTTCCAGCGGGATTCTACTATCTGCCGGGTAGAATACTAGAACCGTTCAACCGGTTCTGCCAAACCGGCTGGCAGAATGGCGGACTTCTGCCCGCAACACTATGATATCATCCAGGGTTCAGTCACTCTCCTTTGTAAAAATATAAAGGCTTGCAAATCATTTGCTCAGCCTTCCATCACCTTTTTCACTCTTCCGCAAGCTCCCTACAAATACTATGGCGATGGCCAACAAGGCAAAACTCGAGGCACTCCTGACTCTGATCAACACATCCGCACGAGATGCCATCACGTTGTATGAGCAGTATGGTGACGTACCCGCCATCGACCAGATGGAGCCCCACCCGTTGGACAATGCGATCGATCAAACAGCTTTGAAGAGTGCTATTCGTACTCTTGAAGGTGCTTGTGCACAGATATGCGCGACACTTGCTCCACCTTCCCATATTGCAATTAACGTAAGAACTTGGATGATGTAATGGAATTTCCTCTCACTCATCAGATTGCACGCAGCTTGTCCAAGTGTATGATCATGCTTGCGTGCGAGTAGTTGCTCGGGAACGTGTTTCGGACATTCTGCTGAAGTACCCCAAGGGTCTTCATGTCAATGACCTCTCCAAAAAAATCAACATTGAGCCAAAGAAACTAGCCAGGATAATGCGCCTCCTGGCCACGAGAGGTTGCTACAATGAAGGTAAGGAGCCATTTTTTGCCTGGTTTGATTTCTTAGACTCTGCCAGTCGAGATGGACGTTTTTGCCAACAACCGACTGTCTCTGATCCTACTCGACGAGCATCCTGTCAAACACATGATCTTGCTTCACGTGGAACCAAACGCCAAGGGAGCAACCGTTTTCTACGAAACACTCAAGGATCCGAGGATTGCCTCCTCGTATGAGCAAACGGCTGCACCTGTGATGTACGCCATCAACAAAGATGGAACCGAAGGAACGGTCTTCGACTTGATGGCACGGGATGTATGTTTTAAAATATTGCCCGTCAGAAAGCCTCACTCACATAATTTACTCGTAGGACGACCTGCGCAAGGTGGGAGTTTTGGTCCCTTCGCACGATCATTCTGACATCTTTAGTAGTGCTTTGATACATCGATGAGAGGTCTGAACCATATCATGGGCTCCCTCGCCATCCTGACCCGTAAGTATCTCAGCACGCAAAGACAGGAGAATTCTTTGCTAACCTGATAATAGATTTCCCATTCGAAAAGTACTCAACAGTCGTTGATGTTGGAGGAGGTATAGGCGCATTTTCTCTGCCTTTGGCTAAAATGCACAAAAACGTCAAGATCACAATCCACGATCTTCCGGAAGCATTAGTCCCGGCGAGAGACGTAAGCCAGTAAGCCAATGTGCTTGTCACCAAATTGATGGAATCTAGATCTGGGCGAAAGAATGCCCCGAAGCCCTGGCAGAAGACAGAATCGAGTTCGAGGACTTGAACTTCCTCGAACGAGTGCCCGTCAAGGGCAAGGACATCTACTATGTAAGCGCTAAACTCTGGGCGACAACCTGCGAAGTTGACAGTGACCGTAGCTTAGAAATATCATTCACAACTGGAATGACCACGAATCTACGATCATTCTTTCAAACATTCGCAAGGCGCTCGGTCCAAACAGCCGCGTCCTCATCCGTATGTTAAATATAGCGTAATCATCGTCCTACAGTCTGACGAATTTTAGATGACTACGTGCTCCGCCAGCTCAGCCGTAAGCAGGCAGTAATAGAAGCTTCAGAGCTCGGAGTTGTTCTGGTGTGTTTTGCCCGTTGATCTACATCAATATTTGCTCATCCCTCATCTAGGCTCCTGAACCTCTTCTTGCAAACTTTGGTGTTGGAAATATACGTTCATACCAGCAAGACATGACTATGTTGTTCTCATTCAACGCAAAGGAGCGAACATTGCACGACTTCCTTGCACTCGCGTGAGTAACGTTCGATTGCTGCCTTGGTCTCACCTGATTGGTTCGGAATAGCACTGCCGCCCGTCTGAAACTAGAGAAAGTCTGGGACCTTGCTGAATCATGCGTCATGGAGTATTCTGCCGCATAATGTTTTGCGAGCTAATTAATGTGTTCATCCACATCATGCCATCCCCTTTTTTTCGTCGCTTAGTTATCAGTTGACAATTTTGATTTCTTGTGTCATGGCTACTAGTTCTCGTCGTCTCATTCCGTTGGTGATGCTTTGGCTCGTCCCGTCGTTCTGGTGGTTTCGGATCAAGAAATTCCTGATGATGGAAGCTCCGTTGTGTCGACGTGCAATTTACGTCAGTATTTTGTGTATTTTGCGGTTACTCGAGGTCACGCCGAGCAAGGCAAAGTGGTGAATTGAGCATAGCTAAGCACTGAGTACTGAGTGGCTGACCAAGCCACTAGAACAGCGGCTCTATCTATCAAAGAACCATGACAAACCAGGACTCCGACTAACGACTTGGGCCAGTCGTAACGTGACGCTGACGGGCAAAATGAGCTCGGTCTATGGTTTCTACCTCGCCTCGAGATAGTAGAATTTCACCATGTTACATGTACGTGCTACGTTTGATGATTTTGGCTCAGGCGGCAACAGTTATGTTCACCTCGAGAACTTGAAGTTTGGGAGGCTGTCTTGGATGAAGCGTGAGGTCGCTTTTTTCGTAACTTTTAAGTGAAGGCTTGGAAATAATTTCAGTGCCGTACCTGTGCGTTGTTCCAGTGCACTCGGACAAGGTCGTACCGTAGGGTGTGCTGACTAGGCAGTGCGGTCTGACCCTTGCATAGTTGAGAATTACAATCACGACACCGTTCATCTATCAGATATATCAAGTATGGATTGATCAAGGAAACGCGCTAGAACTGTGTCGAGAATATAAGTGACAACTACATAAGCATAACACTAATAGTAAATGAAGGTGTGATACATATATATAACTTGAACTGAAGAATCAAATTAGTAGATTCGGATCCGGAAATGAATGGACAACACAAGTATGTATGTCAATAGATAGCAATAAGTTATGGGACGGGCTCTATCAAGAGGTTTGAGAGGAGGGGTATACGGGCCCTGGTATCCATGTGGAAATTAAAGAGAGAATTAGAAAAGATAGGCATATTAAGAAGTGATTAGTGTTTAGGTAGGAAGATTATGATAGATGATAGATAGAATGTTGGGTCTGTGCGTCCGCGACATGTCTTTTCTTGGCGGGGGGTTCACAAGTCGAAACCCTCAGCGCAATAACTCCGGTACCGTGGACAGGGGCTATTTGCATCCTTTGGCAATCTGATCTCGCGTTCGCGTGACTTCTCCTACACGCATCTTCCCGCGCATAGTCGACGTTGCAGGCGGTACATTTTATTTTGTAGCCGATATGCGTGACGAGGTGACGAGCGATACTCGTACCTTTCATAGCGGTGCGCTTTTTTGACGTACATCCATCCCAGAGACAAGTGGTATCCCCTTCACCGCCAGTGAAGCCATGAAACCTGGCGAGATGGTCTGTGACGCTGGCCTGGTCACCTTCGATATGCATACCACAGGGGGAATGATTTTTGTCCCACTGACATTCGTAAACGTACAGTAGAGGCTGTCCGCCGATCCGCACAACAGACTCGTCGACTAGGTGGTCATCGCAATCTACCTTTTTTGGCACTGATTGTCGATGACGAAATGGCTCCACGACGGCACTGACGTTAACGTGCTGTGCACGGAGATGTACAGGTGGCTGGGCACCACGCGGTGCTACGACTGTACGATTAATCCTAGATTCTGAGCGGGAATCGCACGCCTGAGGCAGTGCAGTTATCGTGGTGTCCCGATCTGTAAGGTCAGAATCCGAGGACCTTCTCCTCAATCTTTTCCCCAGAACTCCGGTACGCGGGGGATCTGCTGAATAGGGGCGAGGTGGTAACTCGGTGGGCCCCTTGATGTAATGTGATGGCCGAGATAATCCAGCGCTTTCACGAAACATGTCAAGCTGCCCGAATTCTTGAGCATTCAACTGAGACGAGTGATAGACCGTCTCTTGGGCGGTGAAGGAAGAAGATACGGGAGAGTAGTCGGCAAGAGGGAAAAGCACTGCGGGAAAAGGATAACTAGGAGGATGCTGGTAGATCCAAGGGGGACGCATGCTGTCATGATCATCCAGTGAAAAGGGGGGCGATGTAGGATGCGTCATTTCGGTGTTATCGTCGTTGCTTAAGTAGGGATGATCGAAGGTAGTATCCAGGGATAGTGCGTCACACTGGTAGCCCTGACCTGCGGTCCTTGAGAAGCTGGCAGTCTCGATGACTTGGTCCTCGTTGCTTCATAGAGTATCAGTAAGAGCTGGAATAAATTTAGCAACGGACAACTTACGAACAGTGCTCCCCAGGTGCCAGGGGCATTTCTGAGGATGGATATGGATATGTCGAACCATATAGTAGGGGTTGATGCTTTATGACACATGCAATGGGCGGATCTTGAAAGCGGTGTTCCTGATAGACATGAGCTGATGACGTGTCGTGGATCGCGAAGCCGGGGTGGGCAGGGATACAATTCTGAGGCATATTTGCAAATGAAGGTAGCGGAGAAATGTAGTGTGCGTGTTGTAGACTTGTATCAAAGGAGTGATGTATTGGAAAACTGCGGCGCCGAGTCATCATAATTTCAATACATTGTATGATGACGACAGCTATTGTGAATGATCACCTCGTGGCATCAACGTCATCTAGATTTCGCGCTGCATCCGCCTGATTGCGTGGCGGAAAGGCTTCCTGTTCCGCAAGAGTGCGATTTCGTGAAGCGACCTTGGTCGTCGTCGACGAACACTGCATGTGCGCACCCAGGGCATCTCTACAGTCCAAAGAACGACGTCAGATATATATGCGACAGTGACTCCTATCAACACACCTGATGGAAAAGGTGGAATAATCTAGATCCATCGCCGAGCTCTGAGAAAGGAAGGCGAAGAAGCAGGGAAATGAAGCTTCTATATAGCTACTCGTTCTACAACTGTGTGAACCCCATGATAAATTCCAGTTTATATCTTGCATCGTGCCTCGAACACACCCCTCGGGGAGTATGTGAAGGCTCAAAAGGCCAGCCGCATGCTTCAACAGCAATGATTCAGGATCAGGGTGACGCAATAGGCGAGGCGAACAACATAAGGGCAAGCGCTCCAACCACGCGGCTGATAGGTGTCGACTAGGCAGTGTTATAACCTTCTACACTGACATTAGCGCTCGCAAACGCACCTAAATGACTGGCAAGCGCAGCGAACCAATACTCCGATACACGGCATTTGCAGCGACGATAAGGGACGGTCGAACACACTCAATATTGAGTGTTGTGGTAGCTCCACTGGTATTGCGACGATACATCAGTTCTGCCACTGTGAGTATGTTCTGAAACTGAGGTAAAACAAAAAACGCAATCTGATTGACGATGCGACGTATCGCTTGCAGATAAGCACGTGTCCTTTGAACACGTCATTTGACTGATGGGTTGTGAACATGTTTGCAGCAATGCACATCAAATATTGCGAGGCGGCCGAAGTTGGAATATGAGTCGCGCCCGTGGCTATAAGCACACATATTCGGATACATGCGAAACGGTTTTAGTAATAGGTGCATCAATTTCAGCGGAATCCCGCACCACGATGCAGGACGGGTCATTGGTAGACCAAGACGTGTTTTTCATTTCGCATAACCAAAGTGTGAGGCGGTGGAGGAGTAAGACGTCTTCACCCGACCAGTGGCACTAAGTCCAAGCGCATTGGGCCATTTAGCTCGGCTGTATTTCAAATTGAGATAACAACCAGCCGCCGTCCGAGAAACAAAGGCAAGTAAGGGTTTGCATGACCTAAACGTCTTCAAGTCTGTAGACATCATATGCAACCTCTTCGTACGGATGAACCTGAAGGTGCCACATGTCAGGGCGTCCACATCCGACTATTACGAAAAATATATCTTGCCGCTTTCAAATGACTTATCGCATGCTTGAGTTGTACTTTGTCGCCTTGATCATTGACCACAATTTCCACCCTATCCTCATCCACGTATTCAAGCTTGCCAGGCTCTCCAGTAAGAGGCCGAGCGCCAGGCCCTGGCTTGAACTGTCCTATGGATGACCTCAGACAAATTGCCCAGACGTAATCAATTGAAAGTCACTGCCTCAGTAAGACTCACCGACTCCAGGAGTGATGAATGCGCATTCCTCATACTGACCGATCTTACCGAGTACATTCGGGCATTGTTTGAACAGCGTGCTCAGGATCACCGCGGTGTGAGTTTTGGGGGTAAAAAACACAAGCTTAAACCGGAGTGACATCATCAAAGTTGAAAACAAGGGCTTTTCAGAGGTCACAGATGAAATGAAACACGTCTAACGCCAGTAGGCACTAGTCTTAGCCTGAAAGGCCAATTTCATAATTTCCTTTTTTGACATAGTGCAATACTCGGATGCTTTTCCCAAGTAGTCAGTATCGACGATTTGTTGGCCACGTCGATAAAGGTTGGTAACCGCAAAGTCGCATCTACTGAGAGCAAGGCTAACGTCGTGTGTCCCACTTTTGAAGATGAATCTGTCGTTATACAGCGTAAATGCGTTCCTCATCTTAGACGCTGAAGGACATCGTGTCCTCGCCAAGTACTACCGACCCAAAGGTCATCCCCAGGGCGAGTCCAAGGATCTTCTGGCGTCGAAGGACCAACGAGCATTTGAGAAGGGTCTATGGCAGAAAACCAAAAAGCCTGGAGGTGCGTAGCCGCACGTGTAACAGGAAAATTTACTCACAGGCAGTCCGTCGATGCATACGTATTCAGCTGATATCATACTCTATGACGGTCGTCTCGCAGTCTTCCGGCATACATTAGACCTCATCTTCTACATTATCGGCGGTGCAACAGAGAACGAAATCATGCTTTACTCTGCTCTCACTGCGTTCTCTGACGCAGTCCATTTGCTAGTTGCGGAATCAGGTTGAGAAGCGGGCTGTGCTGGAGAACCTCGACATGGTCCTTCTGTGCCTGGATGAAACAATCGATGATGGGTAAAGCGTTTCATTGATTAATGATCCAATGCATATTCACATCCGCTATCTCAACAGAATTATTGTAGAAACAGATTCGACGACAATTGCATCCAGAGTTAGTCGACCAAAGGCCGACACAACTGAGATTGTAATCAATGAGCAGACGATTTTGAGTGCGTATCAGACTGTCAGGGAAAAAGTCCAGCAGAGGATACAACAGCTGTAGATCCATCATTTGTAGTCTGTCCATCATAGAACATTTGCATTTTACACGGATCCTTGCTCGACCAAGCTTGAGAGAAAATTGCGCTTTCAAAATACTAATTTTACAACATCTAGATGATAGCAGTAAAGTAAAAAGCATTGTATCACGTAAGAATGATGGAGAAACAATTGGCTGACACTAGTACAAAAAAATGACCTAACTGATGATACATAGCGGTTCAGTAATGATCCATATACCGGATAGAGAACCGCCTGTAGTAACTGCATATAACCCTACACCGTTAGTTCCTCTTACATCTAGCTTTACCCTCCGGTCCGATCCAGGGTAAGCTCGTCCCCTGCTTCTATTGAAGTCTTCTATGCTCTAGATCATACAAATCGACCTTCCGACGATTGAACAAAAAACGATGTGTTGTGTTTGCTGGTGCCGTGAGAGTACGGAACACCTGAACATCCGCCTGAATCGTCCCAGATCTAAAGAAGTGTCGAACTGCGAAGGAACTCAACGACCGAACCAAAAATCAGTTTAAGCACGACTAACCTTCCCTGCCCAGTACCAACGTGGGCGATGTACTCATACACGGCTGCACTGGATGCAGCAACAGCAGTCAAAGCCGCTGCAATCTTTCGCAGCGTTGATACAGATTCAGCGGAGAGGCTGAAATCGGGGTGCTCGTAGATGGCATATGGACGCATGATGGCTTGTCTGTGTAAGGATTGTCGAAAGCGTCAAGGGGTTAACGTTCGGATATCGATGAACCACAAGAGCTGCGACAACCCCGAGATGAGGTAAAATGTGAGGCTAAGAAGCTACTGGAGATAACTCACCAAGAAGGGGGCCTTTAATACTACAAGATGTTGCCGGAGCCGACTTCGGGTTAGCACAATGCGATGACTACAAACGTTATCCTTGCTCGGATGGATATTTGAGGAACCGATGCCATGAGCGGTGATCCTTATTAGTATGTCAATCTCCCCGGATATACATAATTTTAACGGCCGTGTTTCAACTTTCAAGGGCCGGGAAATAAGCGTCATAACCGGAAAGATATTCGTGTTCGAGAGCTGGCCAGGCTTCGAGTTTATCTTCGAACTCGGATTTGGTTGCTGTACCGGGCACCCTGCATTTTGAGTCTTTGGCAGAAACAGCTGGTGTAAATGATTATGAGACAAAGGACAACTAATTGTTGCCCTCCTTTGGAAGTGTTACAGTATTAGCCTCGAAAGGATACGAGACTTGATGAACACACTAGTTTGGATACGGACTGAAACACGCACGAGTCTGCACAGCCATCTCGAGATGAACGTTAATGTAACGCAACTACACGTGTCGTATCGTCGATAATGCATTCCATCGAGATTTTCCCTGAGAAAACGAGAACAGAAGACGACCTAGTGTGGAATACTATCCCCCTACATTCATGAGTCACGTGGGTTTACCATATCACATCTCCAAGCGAATAGCGAATAGACCGCTACTAGGGGTTAGCAGCTGTACCTATGTATAGCGGACTTCAATGCCGCCCATCGATGTCACAGGGTGCAGCGTCATGGGAATGATATTCAGGATGCAATAAGACTTCAAATAACAAGAGTTGTGATGTAGGGCGGAGAAGCTGGGGAAGATTATCAGATACATTAATGCTGCCACTCACACGAACTTATCGGTGACCTGATGCTAACGTCCACGGATCAGTGAATATTTCCACCAGTAGATAAGGTCGACCAAAAGATTGTGTAAAAACAAAGAACCTCACGAGCGTCAAGGGACTCGTTACGGGTATGAAATCAGTAAGGAAACATAGCAGGTATGTGAAGTAAGCCAAAAGAATGATGTAAATGCAAAGCGCGCTGAAAGCGAGTGAGAGGTATATGACTAGAACAAACACACGAAATTGCTTGGGAACACGTGCCTACCAGCCTGTCGTCTAATCTCGTCAAGCAACTCTCCACTCCACCACCCGTCCTCTGGGGTATCAGTTACAGCGATTATATCGCCCGCTTGGAAATCAAATTCTTCGTCAATGGTTGCTGCATAATCATACAGTGCTTTCACTGTGGAGTACGAGTTATGTTATGAACACACAGATATACATCTTCAAGCCACAAAACGTACCGTAAAACAGGATGGGGCGGCCATCATCAGTATAGGCACCTGTGGGAGGTGGTGGATGACGTGGAAGCTGTGGAGAAGGTGTGCGTGCCATGACAGGACTTGGCGCACGGTAGTTATTTGTGTTATGACCATAGTATGGTTGCTGAGGGTGTTGGTGATTGATGGTACCCTGGCTTGGGTGAGCCACAATCGACGGATTCCGTGCAGGCGGACCGTAGTTGTTGTAAGGCTGCGATGGTGGTGGTGGAGGCTGGTAAGGAACAACAGGCTGAGAATCATATTGAGGACGTTGAGGCGGGTGATTATAGTTGTTGTAAGATTGTGGTTGTGGAGCAGGGGCAGCATAAGTCGTCCCAGTACCGTAATCAGCGCGAGGCTGCGGCTGTGGCTGCCGACTATCATTATTATGATATCCTGGGTATGATTGAGTGCTGGGTGGTTGTGCTTGGACGTAAGGTGGTTGTCGCGGGGGTTGGTGTGCCATATGATCCACAACGACACGACCATCTGGGCCAAGAGCAATGCCAACTGGGTTGTTCGGTGTCACTGGTCTTTGAGCGATTGACGGCTGACGAACAAGTGGCCCCGCCGGAGGTTGAGGACCTAAATTTTGAGTACCAACACCAGGATAACCCCCCCTACTAGTCGGGCGTACCCCATTTGGATCCTGGGTTTGGTGATTGTTAACAGGAGGTGGCGGACCAACAAAGCTATTGGCCCTGCTACGAGACCGTTGTTCTCCTGGGAATACACGGCCATAGTTATTGAGGACTTGCTCAACTGGGAGATTTGAGGAGGGTGGTGGAAGTGAGGGTGGCGGGGCTGCAAGAACGGGCTTAGGAGGATTTGGAGAGCTCGAACGCGATGGTGCCAGAGGGTATGACCCAACCACGACTTCAGCTGAATTGCGGAAATCGCGATTGCCGGAGTAGACCGAAGAGGGGGTAACGAGAGATTCAGTGGTAGCTTTGCGAGGATCTTGTCCTGAGAGTGTGTCCCTGCGAACGGTAGGACGTCTAGCCAAGTTCTGAGCGGCAGTGCTCAGCTCAGCCATTTGCCTAACTAACGGGTCATTTTGCTCTCCAACAGGAGGAGAAGTCCGAGGTTGGCCTCTCTGCTGTTGCGGGTCCTTGTTCGGATCAACATTCCAAGTCTGCCCTCCGATAACTAACTGCGTGTTAGAGACCGCGGGGCCAACTGAATCCCCACGGGGCTCTTGCATAGGCCGAAGAGCAGAGGCTGTACTATCACGCCTCTGTGCCTGGGGCGGCTGAGGTTGAACATCATGGAGAGGGGATACATGCCCGTTGACGCCGTTCGTTTGAGAGCGTGCACTTTGAGATTTTTGGGTCTGACTTCTCGCGAGAGTAGATTCAGCAGGAGAGCTACGACTTCCTGCACCAATTGCCCCTACACCTGCATGGTTTGTATCGTCGTAGTCTTCAGGCTCCGGAGGCGGTGCGCTACGCCCTGCCGATGACCTCTGGGAAATTCGAGCATAGGTTGCAGGACGAGTAGCAATGCGAGTAGAAGATGAGGGCACTGCATCGGAACTGGTGTAGTTGACGAACGCCGGTGCTTCGGGTATCGCATTTCCCGTTGCATAATCGCGAACAAAATTCTCCATCTCCTTCTCCGGTTCCATTTGTTCCAGGGCGAGCCGCATTTTCTCGCAAGACTACACAGAGCGATTGCTAAACAGTGACAGCCAATGGTGGTGAAAGACTTACCTCATCATCCGAGACACATACTGTTGATACGGAATTGGCATAGGCCCACATATTGTCCTTCATAAACTCCATCCGCTCTTCCTCGAGATCTTGACATGTGTCGCAGAATGCCTTCCAATCCTGCTCCCATTTCTGCATAGTCTCTTGCAACACCCGAGTAAACTGAGCGTAATCATTTTCGTTCACTTGCACTGTTTGCTGGGCACGCTCGAGCTTCAAGTGAATCTTCTCGAGATCTTTGCCCTGGACCAGCGTCGACTGAGCAGTGTAGGAGTTGATACGAAGGCAATCAGACTCATATTTCTCCCGAGCTTTGCTTGCATGCTGTTCGCGTGTTTGCTTCACTTTGTACTCCTTCTCGATAGCGGCTTGATACGTCTTCTTGTGGTGTTGCTGCCTTGCGGAGAAAGCCGCGGCCTGACCTTCAAGATCATTCCGTATTTGCTGCGAAAGCTGCAGGTGAAAACCAGCTTGCTTATCGGTTTCCAAACGCAACGTATCCACGGAGTTCCGTAGTTCCCTGTGAGTTGCGATCAGTAATGAAACCCAGGCATAGGCCACACGTTAGATGTAAAGTTGCGCCACCACACAGCTGCACGCTGTGTATTCGACCCGAGTAATGAGACGGGAAATACAAATCCCTAAGTGCTTTGTGGAGCAACGTGTAGTTCTGCAACTTGCAGAGCCACAACTGTGTCATCCCGCCCGCCCGACCAGAGCGGCCCGCAGGGGAAGGTCAGGGTTCAGAGAACTTGAGTAGCTCACCCTATTTCATCCTTGCCGATTGACATTTTGGCCAACTTCGCAAGCCGTTTTGCATAATCTTCCTCGATCGCAGATCTGCAGACATGTGTAAATGTTAATGAGAAAAACATACGAAAGCCAACTTACCTCTCCTTCCAAAAGTTTCTCAACTCCTCCATTGTCCTTGCTGCTCCACGCATTCGAGCAAACAATACATCTACGCCTCCATCTCCAACACCCCAGAAAGAATTGCAGAAATCCAAAGAGCGAATGTTGGTATCGGGCGATGTGGTCCGTGCATATTTGGCTAGAGATGTTGTCGATGACTGCCTCCTGGCAGACATAATTCGTGATTTATAGCGAAATTGACAATCAGGCGAGGTACAGCAACTAAACTTGAAGTACAGAATGTCGTCGTTTCAAAGCGAACTGGGTCGTCGTCCGTTGGGTTATTCTTGAAAGTGCGTATACACGCCTCAGCAATGGCCAGTGGCAGTGCCATTCGGTGCGTGTACTGCCACGCTAATTTGATAATTCAAATCGTGGCTATAGCGCTCATAGAAGGCAGTACACTACACTCCGGCTTCTGGAATAATGCGAAGAAAAATGTTACCAACACTCTAGGATGAATGTTGCGCTTTAAAAACAGCTAATTCCGAAGCCTGATCAAGTTGCAGGCCTGGAAGACAATTTTGAAGCTGCGTTCAGTGGAAATGTACCAAAGAATGGGAGAATGAATAGGCAGGTTCCTGGCCGCGACTGTTGTGTTCACACTCTCCTTCAGACGGTGGCAGCGGTGGCGGAAGCGGGTGCGTAACTGCCAGTAACTATGCATCTAGTCTAGACTTATCGATTTCTGCTGTGTAGACGAAGGTCGAGCTTGACCCTGCAGATGTCATATTCATTCTTTGTTGGACCTCTGGTCAGCTTCCCACTAGTGACATCACATGCAACTCTCAGGCAACAGGTTACTAGTACTTCTTCTCGGCGCTCAGCAACTTAACTTGTATCTCAAAAGCTATGCAGGGGCAGGTAGAACCAGGAGTCTTTCTTCTCTCAGAGAAAGCGTGCGTGCGGTTATTGTTGTTCTGCTGCTGATAATATCTTAGTCTGTAGATCTTCGCAACCTTCTTTCATCTAAAACAACGACTACACACGGCTTTGGTTGCCAGTGAATAAATTTGGTGTCACGAAACAGTATTGGTGCATCCTAATGCCAGTGCTGTTCACTTGGGAGGACACATCACACAGATTTTGCTGACCTAAGACCAACCAAACATCACGTACCTGCATTGATTTCAGGGAGCAATACGATCCTCCTATCAATCCGCAGAATCTCGGAGCAAATGGTGGTATGTAATATATGTGCTATATAATCTGCACGACCGACAATGATTATTTTTGACCTACTGGCCTGATGATTTACTCTCAGGAATTACCGAACGGGAGTATGAAAGCAACACAGTTGGCGCCTATCCTGCGACATCTATTTGTAGACGTTCATGGACGAGATCTCGAAGTAGGCATTTGTGAACGCAGTAGGGTTGTCTGTGGAGGGTTTACAGTTATACTGGACATTTGCACAGGAGCACTTACTGTTGACGTAAGTCACACAGTCTAAAGGACATCCAGAAGCATTGTAGAGAGCCGGGTTACCTGCCCAGTCGCCGCCTGCGCGGGCATGAGCACGACGGACCACTACAAAACAATACAAGACTCACAGAACGTCAGATTAATGATGATGTTGTTACCTTTAAAGTGAGACTGGATGTCACACTCGGTGTTGTTAGGGAAGTTGGCGGCAGGAGTGCCCTGGCAGTCAAATCATATGTAAGCATAATTCAAGAGAGGTGTGAAAAGTATCACCCAGCCGTCAGTATCGATTATCCATGCACCACTACTAACGTCCAAGGGAACACATGGGTCGTGTCTCTCCCAGAACCAAACCTTGATATAGTGAAGTGTACGTTCCATAGCATACCTGCGGAGGATTCTGTAAGCCGCAAGAGTGCTGAAAGTAAGTTTCTAGACCCGTAACACACCATCCTCCGCCGATGCTGTTGAATCCTGGACCAAAACTGCTGTTATCTTGAGCGTACTTCACACCACACCCAACATTGTAAGCGACTATTGTATTTTAGCACAATGATGGGATCAGCTATGGTGACATTACCTGAAGCGTCGCAGTTGGTTGTGGCAAAGGTTCTAAACAGTCAGCATTTTAGCCGGACGAGGTTAAATACAGCGACGGATCAAAACATACCCTGACTGGAGAGTGTTATTTGGCATAGAGCAATCTGCATCAAGTTAAACTTCATAGCAGTTACAAGTGTTATAGTGAACGAACTGTGGCCGGTGTGAAGCGTCGACTGATTAGGCACCACATCGTTTGCACCCTCGAGAATATCGATTTCACCCTGACAAAGGGATGTACGTCAGGATGGTAGAGTTATCACACAAGGAAAAAGAACAAACACCGGCAGGCCAACCAACTTCTTTTGTTTCCCAGATAGCCTACTATCTGTTAGTAATGACAAACTTACTTCATCGGAACCGCCTACTACTTACGGGCCATGTTCTATTTTAAGATGTGTAAGCGACAGAATCCTCGAGCAGATTGAAGAAGCTCACCCGCATCCTTCGGGCATGTGCTGTATGTCAAAGCTATTATTGACAACGGCATCAATCAGTACATAAGCCCAAGACATTTACAGGGAATCAATTACACAACAACATGCTCACGGTGTCGACGATTAGACCGAATCCTAACCGAATTCCGGCCTGTGTCATTGACGCCCAAAACCGTAGTGTCATCTGCGCGCAAGATAAAGGTGTCACTCGTGGCATAGGTCAAGTTGAGTCTCTCCGCCGTTGTTCGGTTGACATACGTCCTGGCATTCCATTAAAAATGAACAGATTGCGTGCATGGAAGGCGGACGTACACGCGCCCGTGGGTGGGGTCAGTGATATTCTCGAAATTGAAGGAGTCGTAGAAGCCTTCACCACGAACACACTCGTCCAGAGTGTAGATCCCGCCTGCCAGAGCAGACCCCACAAGCGAGGCAAGAACGAGAGTCCTGCTGCTGCTGATCTTCATGGTGGAAGCTAGCCTGGCTAATGGTACAACTAGGGAGGGCGAGAGGACGGACCTGTTTCACTCGGTATTTAATGAATCCACCCTACTCCCGAGGCCTGCGACGAGCAGAAAAAAATTAATCTCGCAAGCAACGACGACGTGTCATCCCCGAGAGGGACTCCGAGATTGAGCTACTAGTAGCTGATGCTACCGTAACTCGTTCCAGATCCGATTGGACGAACGGCAGGACCTAGTAGCTAAATAGCGAGTAGACTTGATGACCTGCCACACGCCCCTGCACGACGTCGGACCGGATCGAATGACGCTTTGTGCGAATGGATGCACATATCCTAGAAACTTCGTATTCAATGGCTAGCTGTTCAATATTAATGGCGTTATTTGTGTAAGAACTGGACAATGATATAGTTACATACGCCGGGAAATAGAAAGCACAGCATAACGAATAACGCATTTTAATTGGCTGACCGCGTTACTGATAACTCAGGCACCACCCACTGGAAGTTTATATAAGAAAACTAATTTCCACTAAGACTACTAGAGACTAGTACCGATGGACCAGGCCAGGGGTCAAGAAGTACGATGCGGTAACTGCCAGTGGTCTCCAGTAGCTGACGCAATATAACATTTACATATAGCTGCTAGCAGGTCAGCGTTGTCACAGCAGATCAAAACATACTGTGATCTGAGACGGTAAAACAACTGATGCGAGCCCACACACCGTGGTGTCATTATTTGCTGGCAGGTCTCGAGTATGTCGAAAACACCTGCCAGCATGAACACCAGTCGGTCATTAATATCTTCAATATTCATTAAACTTTAAACCAGGACAAGACTCACACGAGCGCTTCCGGAGACCGCAGGGTAACCCCACCCGAGGCTGTAGATGGACGAATAATATGCATCTACTAATGTACTATCAGTATCAACCACGACTCCAGTCTGTACGACAGGACTCTGGCACGGAGGCCCGCGCCAAACCTCCCCACTGCAATGTAGTAGTAGGCACTGACGAGAGATAGATGAAGAGACGACTACAATAATCTTGTATCACGAACAGTCCATGCTGAGAACTGGACATTGCAGTAGGGTGGTTTGACGCAGATGCTCGAGAGCGCCAAGGTTCCTGGCTCGTAGTCGGTAGTAGTCCTGCGTTGTGCTGTAGTAATCGGTTCTCGCCGTAACCTCCCGCTACAGAGGTTTAGCCTTGGGTTTACCCTGTAGTCCGTGTCCGTTCCAACATGGCTCAAATCGGCACACGTGGGTGGACCACAATTCCATCTTATACTCTGTGGATATACTTGCACTAATTGATGGTATCAGTGTTGTATGTGAGGTGCAGACAATTTGATCTGTTAAACGTCGCTCCGCATTAGATATGACTGAAAGTGTTACAATTGAGCAGGATTCCAAGGGTTCGTGGTCTTCAAGTTACACATCTCACCGACACGACTCGCATTGTGGAATGGGTGCCTCGTACAAGAAGGCCGAGTATCAAGTGCAGCAGCACTGAACAAGTGATCGATCTATAGTGATAGCATGCAACACAAGTGGAAAGCAGAGAACGCAAGGTTGTCGAGAGAAGATATCATCCCACTCTATCCGAAAAATCCCTTGAAAAAATGGATCGCGTCGGATCTTGTTGAACACGATCATCTTTGAGCATCCTGTGCAGAGGAATCAAGACATGAGTCATATTTCGCCAAGAAAGACCTCACCGTGCATCAACTCGCGCATCCTCGCCCTCGACTCCAATCACTGCCTGTGGCGTCTTGGCATCAATGACCTATCAGTAGTGTGATGAGATCTTAATTCACAAGGATGCGATCGATGCCACTTACATAGTGATTGTCGCAGTGCGGGCAAAACTCATCGCTCTCCTCGTAATTCGACATATCCTTCCTGAAGGCCTTCTTGCACTTCTTGCACACGAACACCATCTCAGTTGTTTTCCCTAGCATATGATCTTCCGCCTCTGCATGACATTCTGCGCAATCAAACCATCGCTTGCAGCATGGAGCCCGTATCGAAACTTGAGCATTGAATATATGTTTGCTGGAATTGAGAGAATGAATGCCGCATTGAGATGGACGGAAGACGATACGCTACCGACCACATCACGATGAACAAGTAGAAGTCGCTACGATAGTACTCGGTCTCAGGCTAGAATTCAAAATTCCTAATGAACTTCAACTTGAAAGTCTGCAAGATCCCGATTCCCGACATAACCTTACGCTTTTCCCACGCTATTAGTATCATACCTCCTGAAGGCGGCTCTGAACAAGACAACATGATGGTGCACCCGTAGTCAGATTTTCAGATCTGCAGACCTTGATCAATGGTTATTCCTTCATTTATCTTTATGTATTTTCAACGTTATAATAACACACACCATTGATGGGGACATTGTACAAATCTTATGCTTGATTTTGACGCCATGCGAATTTGCGAAAAGACTTACGGCCGTACGGCGTTGCGCATATCCATTATTGATATTATCAGCATGTACTTACTATTTTTAAATATTGTTAGTTCAGCTCTAGCCTGAGTTTTGACTGGGACATGTTTAGTGAAGTAAAATGAATGATGAGGCAACACATATGCATAAGTAGCTGGTAGTCCATAGCGAGTAAAATGAAATAAAACGTCAATCCCGTTGGTGTATTTTTTTCCGCCAAATCATTTGTTATCACCGGTACCAAAGCGGTGGTTCTTCAACTTCTACTTTCTCCAATCAGCGCCCATCCACAACAGCAGAAACAATGAGGGTCCTTACCAAGTGGTGATCGCCAGTTATACACAAGATGATTTATATTCGACTTCCGCATGACTGTATTATGTTTGGACAGGGCAGCGTCGGTGAGAGTGAAGGCAGCCCCCATTTTCACATGCCCATCCTTTGTTCTGCGATTTGGTTGCAGGGATAGTGACGGTGACATCTCGTACGGCCCATATTTTGTATTTTCCTCGTCCGACATGTCTTCGATTGGGAATTTCTGTATCGAGTGGCCGAGAGCTACTGCCTCATAGAGAGGCAGTTTATATGTAGACACATGTGGATCTCCACGCTGCACATTCATAGGATCTTTTCCGAATGTGTTTGATTGGGGGAATCGGCGGAGCTCGCGAGCTGCTTCCATATTTGCCATTTCCGCCTTGATTGAGCGCGGGAAGAATATCTGAGGTTCACTGCTTCGAATCAGATTACACGACTAGCAGCTATAAATGACGCACCATAAGAGTGATCCCAGAGGATACAACACAACCTATAACTGAAATAATCCCCAATAGGTCTAATCAGAAAGATGGGTTAATAACTCAAGCCTGCCAGGCACGGTGGAGTTGCATACCAGTGGCAAACCTAGACGATAAATTTAGCGTATGACGTTAGCATATTTCAGACGCAGGCACACAACACACGCACATGTTATCATTGATGTGCTGATGCGGTCTGACACCATCGATGCCCAATATTACCAACGGAACTGTGAAGAGAAACCGAAAAAAGACCCGGATACACTTCCATGTACCACATGTAAGTCGAGTAATGATATCACATCTACGCAAAGCTTACGTTGAGCTCGTGAAACTTTGTAAGTTTAACCATTGTATTCGTATCAACATCGGCTTGTTTCTGAAGAGAGTGGTCAGACCAGAACATATTCTTGCCGATCGAAATGAACTAACCAGGCTCTCGAGGAATGTGGGGAATGTCCACAAAATCGGAAGAAACCATATTGTCAAAGAAAAGCTTCCGAGACTCCCAGCCAAGAATGTGTAAGCCTCGCACTAGTAAAAGCTTACAATTTTGGTTTGATATTCAAACATGTAAATGACAGACCTTGTAGGGGTCCTCCCGCGTGAAAACCGTTACAAGGGGCATATAAATGACTGCGACTATAGATCCTGTCGCCCATATTTTGAAATATAGGCTGCGGAACCAATCTTGTTTCGCAGAGCTAGAGCGAATCAGGAAAAGCCAAAAACACAGCTCTACGAGGAGAAAATTGAGTCTCAACTCAAATGTCAAGGCGTGAAAGATAAACCTTCTAGGTGTGTTACCCTTAGTCGAAACGTGAGCCGGTGTCGGTGAATATCGGTTGGGTAGACTCACATCTCTAATGCCCAACCAATTGAGAGAGACAGGTACAGAGGGAGTATTGCGCTTTGTGCACTGTCGCGCCAAAGCTCATACGGAGTGGGCATGACTTTGAAAATTTGGCGTCAGCGGGAGATGTCAAAGTTGCCGATTGGGCTCACTCACTACCCATCCCGGGAATAACAGTGAAACCATAACTGTATTTGATGATGGAGAAACCCATAGCGTAGATTGCGATAAACGGAATACTGGTTAAATAGGAATACTGTGAGATTATGTGAGTGATAAAATAGAAAAGAAGGAAACCGTAACGCACCGTCATGACCCGCTTGAATGTGCCAGAACGCGGTCCATGATTCCACCTGTACAGATGTAGTTCAATAGGGCACTCGTAAATTATGTGTGCAACAATCCACCAACCTCAGACATTTGAAACGATCAAAGGACCAGAGATGATAAACTAAAAAGGATTCAAACTAAACCAAATGGATGTCAGTATTTCTTCCATTGAACAATCGAACACTAGACAGACCATAATTGTAAGCACTGCCCATATAAGATTGACGGCTGGACTCAAGTGGGCCATGATTCAAAGGCGAGCAAGGGAGGATAAGCGGAAAGAAGAAGAGGAGGCCAGCCTGAGTATGAGAGTTGCGCGAAACAATGACTCGGATGGAGACCTATATAGTGCGTAAGTAAAGTCTCGCTCACACCCGGAAGAGAAAGGATCGCGAAACAGAAGCGAGTTTGTTTAGGAGGCACGGTACATATTAATATATGACATTATCGCAACACCACCCGTTGTGGCACGTTCCTGCTGACCACGGGACGATGATCTAAGAGTATATGGTAAGTGATGACAGGTACTAAGGTTGTGGTACCTGTAACGAGTCCGGGCCCGGGAGTGGCTAGTACTATTTGTTTGCGATCAGCGCTCAGCACAGGTTCAATTATAGCCTGGCAAGTCAAGGCTGATTCAACGAACCAATGCGGAGCTCATTCAGTCCTGTACCATGTGGTAGGCGGCAATCGTCATCGCGGGGTAAGTCTGAGAAAATAAAAATTTCAGGCTCGGCGATAGTGGCAAACTACCGGGCCGTCGGATCTCGGTAAGATGATGATTGGGTGGTGAATGAATCTATCATTTTCTAAATCTTTCATGTACAATGGCTACATGGCCGCTGCCCACAGACGATGACAAGGAAAACCTCCTCCTCTCATGTCGATACGATGATCTCGACGACGTACAAGGTTTCGTAACAAAATTCGGCTCAGACGCCCTCTCCAGTGTCCGAGACGACAACGGAAACACTGTGCTACACATGACATGCGGGAATGGACACATAGGTGAGACGCGATCACATCTCCATAGCACGAGAACTGATTCGCGTAAGGCATCTCGTAGACGTGCTGGATTACCTTCTTCCTCTTGTCTCCCCTTCCGTCCTGTCTGCACAAAATAGCGCCGGCTCCACTGCCTTGCACTGGGCAGCGCTGAACCAGCATCTCGAAGTAGCACAGAAGCTGGTTCAGTTTACTGGGGCAGATCTGATTGATATAAAAAATACCGCAGGACGATCACCCTTGGGGGAAGCTGAAATGATTGGATGGGATGAGGGCGCAAGGTGGCTTGTGCAGGAGATGAAACTCGACGAAACAAGCCAACATGACGTCAATGATAACGAAGAAGATGGCCCCATGGCCATGGACGCTGCACAGGATATAGAAGTAGAGATCCAAGATGCGGATGGCCAGGTGGCAAAGATGACGATAAGCGGCGGCGCAACCACCTGATTGTTTTGAATCCAAGCAGGTTTGGTATATCCATGCCACGTGCGAGTACTGTCTTATAATATCACACAGCCATCACGTAGGATCTTGATTCAGTCGGGTGCATATGAAACACAGAAGCGCTCTGCCAAGTCTGGCAACGAGCCTGAGCATTTCACTTTTGGACGAGTACGACTTTCTGAATTCTATAGGTCGCGTGAACGATAACATGGTGATGGCCGGGTTGAAATCTCCGTAGAACAGTGCCATGGAATTGGACTTCATCAAACTCATCTCATAATTTGAGCAACACAACCTGATCATGAAGTTTAGGCGTTCGATCCTAATACGCTACGTCTTCTTGAATCTTCGCGCGATAAACGTAGGACATTGCATGATATAGAATGGAAACGCCCAGGGTCGCATAGCCAAATGTCACCTATGACACAGCACAGCACGAGTCCACAACTATCAAAATTACCATGTGGTTACTGCACAAATCAAATACATGGGGGAAACTGGAAAGAAAACACATCGAAATTCACGTAACATTCAAGGGGTAAAACTCCATCTTCATCACGTTCCGAACGTTTCACATCGACGGTGATCGTCCTTCCACAGGCCATGACAATGCTGCTGCGGAGAGGTGTGAGCGTGTAGTTGACATCCCTCTTCACCATCTTTCAGCGTCCATTGTCCCGCTGCATGCTTCTCCGTTACGTTACGTGACAACCAGTCGTCTGGGTTTGCCGTTCTACAATTTGATTTTGCATACCACGACTTCTCGTTTCCAAATTCATCAATATGTGCAAATTCGTTTGGTGGAGGATTGGCCAAGAAAAGCGCACCACGCTTCCACGCGACTGCTTCCGAAGTGGGAGAGGGAAATTCGCGTGGTGCAAACGGACTCCAAGGAGACAAGGTAGACGAACGAGACCTTGTTTCCAGCATAGGCGACGAAAATCCAGATCTCACGCGTTCCGAACGACGTGGCATGGGCTTTGTCTGCTGTGAGACAGTGTAGACGAGCTCGCCGGCCACACGTCGTTGCGGAGGAACATACTTTGCATAGGCGCCCGAGCGCAGGGTCAGCCCGGGGAAGCTGCATCGACATTCGTCAGAGAACGTGTATTATCCGTTCAGGTTGACATACCTGTCAGCTTGATTGGAGGCCAACGCCGGCGTCCCCGGCTTTGTTACGAGATTATCGTCATGGGGCTGAACTTGCGTCTCACAGGAATTGGGCTGTGAGGTGTGGGCACACGGCGTCTTTCGCGTAGCTACAGACCAGGAAGCAGGACGAGATGCGGACCCACTGGAAAGGTTCCTGTCGGGCTGGTCGCCATCAGTGGCGGTGGTTTGAGACAGGTGAAGTATAGTCCTGGCACCCTTTGGTTTAAGCGGCTCTAAAGTCGTAAAAGCGGCGGTGACTCTCAATCTCTCTTGCACAGCTGTCTCCCAGAACGAATCTGGTCCGTCGGATTTGCGTTCCGACTCAGTTGACAGACTGTAGTCCGGTTTAACCTTGGTACCGACAAGTCCATTTGATGAATGTTGACTGCCTCTGCTAGAAGGCACCGGCGTGCTGGCACTCCGGCGATGCATATCGAATGGCGTAGCTGTGTGTTCTGAATCACAAAGAGAATCGCACTCTAATATATTATCGCGTCTGGAAGTCGACGGTGAAGGACGGGAAGTAGCGTGATTCTCGTTCTTGTTAATGGGTTGTTGTGAAGATAATCTGAGAGCCAATTGATCCCCTGGAGACTCGCTGCAGAAAGACCCTTCCTCGCAGCTGGAATCACTATCTTCCTCGAGATCGGCACCGATACCAGCCGTCTGAGACCAGCTTCGCTTTTTGGGAACCATCGATGAAAAAGAAGTTTGGCTACTCGAGACGGAAAGATGCCCATCATGGTTGGGCCTTGCAGGTATAGTCATTTGAAGGTCGCCATCGCAAGTTGCATCATCACGCTTGCGAGCTGGCCAACGTACATCGTGCGTTCTTGGTTTTTCGCGAGATACGGTCTCAGCCAGTGGCGGGAAGTTGCGAACGAGATGCGCCGGACATAAGGGTTGACGTGGGTCCTCAGGCTTAGCATTGTGGATGTCTAGTTCGAAACCTGCGGAGCTCGACGATTTGAGTGCAGGTGAGACGTCCAGGGACGCCGGATCGTTGCAGGACACAAACTCTTGACTCAGTGTGCGTTCGGTATCGCTATTTTCGTTAGCTGTTTCACGTGGCAATACACATCGATTGTTATATAGGTGTAGGGCTGCGCCAATATTTTTGGGACTGTCCAGATCCTCATGTAAGGCATGTATGTCGGGAGCTCGCAAGATGTCCTGTTGTGTAGCAAGCAAACCTGAATCGCTGTTGAACGTTTCTTGGTCGGGAGTGATGCATACGCTCTCGGTCCCGGATAGCTCGAGTGAAACAGCTGCACTTAGAGATTCGCTGTCACTGCCGAAAATGGTTTCGAGGCTACCCCACGATGGGAGAGCCAGTAGATGAATTTTGTTTTTAAACTGGAGGCAAGTGACAGAACACAGACATATGAGACTAAGGTTGAGGGTAACCAAGACCAGGATGCTGCAAAAACCACTGTTGAAATAAATTAACTGGTTAGAGTGAAGCAAAACTAATCTAAATGTCAGTAGAGGTAACCACAGTCTGGAGTATGGCCTGACCTAGAGAATCCACGAAGTTTGACAAGTAGTGTTTGTGCTGGGAAATCAAGAGTGCATATGTGAGAGTGAAGGATGATGGAGGAGGATGGTGGTCATGAGCAGAGACACGACTGCTTCTATTGCTCGAGGCGAATCCGGCGGGAAGATAGTTTGCCGGAGGATTTGGCCACAGGAAGTTGTGTCTCTCGAGGACCGTAGAGTCTCCGTCGATGCTCCGAACAGAACTGAAGGGATCCAGGGTCGCCAGCAAAGGTGACCATTGGAATAGTTTGAGAAGGGCTAATAACGAATATCGCAAGAAGAAAGTCATGGAACTGAACGCAACAAACGAAAGAAATATTGCATGATCCCTCGCCGATGCAACTTATGTTGCATTTGTTTGTTCGTATTGTTTGAAAGGGCCTTGGGGATTTTGCCGGTATCATACAATTCGTACCCCGTGCTGCTGCACCCTGCAAGGAATTCTGGTGCAAATGAATCTTGGTCACCATGATTGCAGTACTCGGGGAGACCTTCACATGGGTCCCATCGATCTTGGTGTGTGCCAGCATCTTTTCCCCATTGTTCAGAGTCCCTGCACCTGCGGCCGACGAGAGTTCGAACGTTCGCTGTTCAAGTCGAAGGTCAAGCCAGGCGGCCTGGAGTATCGCATTTGCTTCCTCTTCAGGAGTAGGAACAGAGTCCGTCCATGTCAAGTGCTGCTGAGCGATGTTCAGTCAAAATATTTTTGGCCAACTCCTGAGCCCTAGGCATTGGCTACGCTACAATACATAATTTGTAATACCACTTTGAAATTTTATTCTTGCTGATGATTTGAAAATGTTTCAGCAAAGTGGGAGGATAATATGAGTCTCATCCGACGTTATGCACTAGACTACTTCTTTGTGCAATAGGTTTGGGCCACATGTCGGCCGCCCCCCTCACTCCTTCATGACATTTCTCATCTATATTGAGAAGGCTCAATCTGCAAACCTCAGGCTACCATTTTCGATTAAAACGTATCAGCAAGGATCCGAAAAGCTGGAGATGATCCCCAACTATAACCGGGAATTTATTGGCAAACAGGTGACGGGCTTGGACGTGCGGGGTGGACAGGCATGTTTCGAAGGACGAGAATGTAAGTCACAATATAGAATCACTACAGATACTCTTTCTAATAGTGGCCATCAAACGCCGATAATACAGCATCGCCGAACTCTTCGGCTATCGACGCCTTGCGATCATGTTGCAACTCCAGGTGAGTAAGTCATCTCTTTGTACCGGCATCATCCTGACGCGCCTAACCATTACCTGTTGCCTTTCTAGTACGTGCCACCTATATCACATCGCAATGGCAATGGGCACTGCGTCACGACGAAACTATAGCATCCCTAATACTCACCATAACCAACCGCGCCTGCTCCCTCTCCCTCCGTATCTCAAACTCAGGTTCTGTCCCATCGAGTTGCGCGTACGACGGCCAAGGGCTGTTTCGAAGCTTGCACATGGATTGCGCGTGGTATATCTGCGAGTATCACATCAACACACAACGACCCTGAGACAAGGAATATGTCCACAGACCTGTTGAGTCATATCTCTCAATGCTAAGTTTTGACATGTAGCAGCTCTTCCTCTCGGTTGGACCACACGTTTTATTGGGAACCACACTTTCAAACCTCAAGATTAAATGTTATGAAGGCTGTGGGCAAAGTCCACAGCACGAAAGTGGGCAGTTGTCTAAGCAAACGAACAAAAGTGTTAGTGGCATGGTGAGTGGCGCGCGCTTTGCTTCGTCCACAGTTGCTTGTACACTAAGTTTTTGCTTAAATACCTCTTGCAAAGATGAGAAGGCCATCACTCGCTCCTCTCATTCGCATTCTAAAATTCTAGCTTGCATAGGATAGCTCTAGGAATTCTATACTTTGCTTATTGTATAAACATGGAAATGGGTGCGGCACGTTACAACCCCATGGACGCACAGCGTTTCGACCCCCTGCGACGCACCAACATGGTCAGTATTTCCTTTGATTTCATTACCTTGCGTTTTCTTAACATTATTTCCGCCTCCGTTCCATTTTTTCAGAGACTCATCTCGCTTTTCAAAACCGGCAGTTCAAATTTGATGACGAGGCAGGACCCTTGCATCAGGACTGAGCAAACGAGCACGAGTGATGCATGGCGGAACCACAAGGTTGTATTTGATCCTGTCGAGAGGAAAGGTCCTGATTCCGAGGGGTCGCGCCCATCCCTTACGGACACATGCTCCACTTCCCCTACGCCTATCGACGTATACCACCCCGCTGACCTCGTTGTCACACGTACCATCATCCATCCTAATCCCAATCCCCATCGTGGTCCTACTCGTATGCTATCTCGCACACAGATGGTGTTCAAACGGATGTTCTCGCGCTCGCTGTCTCCCACAAGCACATACTCTCCCTCTCCATCTTCTTCATCATCTGCGTCACCCCGATCCACTCCCCCTCCGCGCTTCAAGGGCCTGGTGCTCAACTGTTTCAGCACATCCTCGGCTTTCGATAGCGATGTCGATGATATGGAAATGTACAGGAGGGAGAGGCCTGCGTTGCTGGTGATTGTTAAGGAGACAAAGGAAAGATATGAGGATGATCAGGCGTTTAAGGAGATCGTGGGGAGTGTCATTCCTGCTGCCGGTGTGAGGGGCGGCCGTTGAGCTTGGTCTTTGCATGTCGTGGGTTAGATGCTTGTGAATGGGTTTGCTGTAGTTCTGGACGCCCTATTGCATATATACATATTGTAACGCTAATTATTGACAACATCTGGGGACTGTCTGTACACTTTCATTTATGTGTATTTTATAGTAACTTGGTTGTCATCTATCTTGTATGTGCTTGTGTTCACTATGCGAGTGAGTGTTGCGTGATCAGAAGTGGGAGTTCAACGTTCAACGCTTGAACGTTCAAATTTCAATGTTCAACTGCAAAATCGGCTTCCATATCAAGTCACAAGTAGTAGACAATGTCACATGAAGCTGGATGTGTTATCTGATGTTCAAAAAAGACATACACAATTACAATATGTCTAGCGTCCTAATGTCCGTCGTGTCGTGCACAGATGTCATATATTTGACTTGTGCAATGATATCGTGATCCGATGTGATCCTCTTGTATACCCCACTGCGCTGCCGGGCTAGCAAAAATGCGCCGAACAGCTGTCCGAGGCAATCGATCAATCACAATGTCTGCAAAGTAAGATTTTGAAATCAGTCAACTCCTCTTCTCCAGGCGAGCCGTCAAGAGACTCAAACTCAGACCAGCCTCTCAAGCTTTCTGCATCGTCCGAGTCTGCGAAGTCAGACAGCTCGAGGAGGTGACGATCCCAAGGACGGACAAGTAAGAACGTCCGTCGAGTTGGTTTGAGCCACGAGAATTGTATCAGTTTCTCTTTGGTGGTGATCAGCGGATCATCAAGCCCGTCCACCTTTCCGTATGTGATCAAGGGGGTGCCTGATTGAAAATAACCCATATTGACTTGCCGCTTCAGCATTAACTGCAATAGAAGACTGAGCCAAACGCGAACAGGATCTGGTCGACTAACCATTTTTCAGTGACGGAAGGGGCATGCCATGGCTCAACGCTTATTGTCAGTGTTAGAGGTATTGCGCACTTTGAGCGCATCTTGTAACAAAGTAAATATTGTGACATATCGCCAAGGATGAGATAGACGAGATTCGCAGGAATTTGGGCGGTTTCAATGGTGCGTTTGATTGATAACTTTAATATTGGCCGGTACGGGAGGATTACATATGAAGGAGACACACCTCTTCCTAGTGATCCATGACATAAAATCATGCAAGGTTCAGGCCCGCATCAGCACGCGGTGCTGCTGCTACCGAACACCTTATCTCGGTTCATCGATGCTTCAGCCTGCTGCATTTCTTCCTTCGCCATCATGCGTCATTGCAGTGTGTGCAAGATCGAGTGTGAAAAGCCGCTACGATGCTCAAAATGTCAGAAAACTATGTGAGTACAAGCTGGTACGAGAGATAAAAACCTTTGATCTGACCTGTTATGGTTGGGATAGCTACTGCTCGTACGTGACAAACACCAGCGTTAGCACTTATTAGACTGGGAGTCTAACATTATGATTCTCCTCTAGCGCGGAGTGCCAGAAAGTTGACTGGAAGGTGCACAAACGCAGCGTCTGCACCAAGCCTGCCATCTTACACAAGGTGGACAAAATGATGAAAAAATGGGGCGGACCAGGGTCGACGATGGACACCATCAATAAGATGGAACAAATGGCTTGGGAAGAGCGTCGACGGAACCCGGTTCCTGTGTCGAAATGCGATGGTTGTCTTTTGCGATTCCGCGGTACTCCTCCAGATGAGGATGACGAGGACGATGTGGAGGATGTAGGAGATGCCTTCAAGCGGTGCACGACTTGTGATTACACCATTTGCGAAAATTGTACGCAACCAGATATGCAAGGTACGGTTCATGGTTTTCATCTCTCCATTTTACTACTGACTCTTTGAACCTCAGGTGTGCCATACTTTGATCGCCCACCGGGTACTTGCCGCTGCTTTAAGTCGAACTTTGGTGAAAGCTACTGCTTGTCGTCGCCCTGTTATCTTCACGGTGATGGTAGTAAGCCATACCACGGTGATCGACACCCTGATGTGGCGAGTAGTGGGTATGGTGAAGATGCATTTGAAGCAAAGGAGCGGGAATGCAGGACGTGTGGTGTGATTGCGCGATGCTTGAAGAAAGAGCATCTGAAGGATGCGGTTCCTGGCATAAATTAGCCACGTAAACTATTGCAAAACCTCACTTATGCGAAATTGCCTGTCTTCCCTTTTTCTATGTAGCTTGATACTAAGTCTTCTTGAATAACCATCATTCCAACACTACAAATAGTGGCAAATACACAGCCACCAGACAGAACTGTTTTCATGACCTTGTTCTCAACACAGAACAAACACTTGATAGTATTTTATATGCACGACGCGCCCAACAGCAGCCCGTTCCATTCGCAGCGCCATGGGTATTTGTGCGCATGCTACAAGAGCATCCTGGGAGCACATGTGGAAATCTTAGTCTACTCCCATATTCCTATCTACCTGGGTATGCTCTACATCCCTGTAGTGCTACCCATACCGAGATAGACTCGGACTCCGCCACATGCACAACAATTTCTTAGTGAATCGAAATAGTGCATCCTGTTCTCGTCCTCCGGCGCTGGAAGGAGCAATTTCTCACCTTGTTCTCGCCACTCGCTAACCTAAGCAGTCCCACTTCGCCGCCGACATCATCCACCACTCGTCGTGAAGGTCAGAGAGACGACTGCCATTTCCCGTCCGCTCCTATGTGTAGGCAACACTTTTAATGATTGGCTGATTTGTATCAGCAGGGGCTTTCTGCATCTACACCAGATGGTTCGCTAGTGTAATGCTGGCGCACCCCATATTTTGCACATGTCATATCTTCTATTCGGTTCACGAGCAGGAAGAAATCAAAGAACCTCTCTTTAGCTGCGTCGCCGTCGTCAACCTCGTGGATCCCACGTCAACTCAAACATCTACAAAGTCTTGTGGCGATAAATACAAGAGGCTCGACGGGAGCTTCTACCAAGCCTCTATCCTCACCCTGGGCCCTGGTCAAAATCCAATGCTGTCTTCACTTCTGATAGTTTCTGCCATTCTTCTCCCGATTCTTGCATCTGCAGAATACTCCTGTGACTCAGGAATAACCATGTGTTGCTCCAACACCACGACTGTGTGTCATGATCATTGATTTGGAAACGGCTTTCAAACATGCTAAATCTCAGCAGACAAACACAACAACCGCTGAAAAAATCATCGCTGCATATTCTATCAGCGAGTTTGGGTTGAGCGGTCTTATTGGCTACGGATGCAGTACTATCAACACCACGGATAATGGAAGCGTTTCAGCGTGTATCAACGAGACTGCTTGTTGCACCGGGCAGTACTATGTGAGATACCGACGCTGGTCCTGTTTTACACTAACATTCGTACATAGGGTGGTGGGATTGCTGTCAATTGTACCGCCACCGTGAGCGTGTAAAGGCGCATGAACTTTCCCCTGGAGAAACGTTGCTTTGACGCCCAATTCGAAGGAGTGTAATCTACCTCTGTTGTTTGTGCTCGAGGATCTCGTGTATTTTGAATCATGATTATGATTTATCTCCTTTCTCTTGCGTTACATTTATATCTTGCTGAATTGTTCAGACATGGAAAATCGTGATATGCTCCTATGATACAGTGCACGTTTCGATTACTTACTGCACCCACTAGCATGCAAACAACTTGTCGTCTCGTGCATGTGCAAGGATCCAGAAGGAAGTAACATGGCAAGGAATCTGTAGACAACTTAGGACTCAGGACATGGTTATACCAACTCAGCGGCTTTGAACCTACTGGACTACAACACCACATCCACAAAAAAATTCTCAGCATCGCAAATTGCCTCAATTACCATAAAGCGAAGCGTCGAGAAGGCCTTGTTTCATAAACGGCACAGAGAAAGGCGGAAGATCAAACGGATTGGTGATGGTGGCACTCAGGGCTGTTGCGAATTCCTCCCCACCAGATAGGAAGAGTTTTGGATATGCACGAGAGGGCGTTCCGGGCAGATACCAGGCGGGGTCGGTGACTTCTCCTGTCGGCGTTGAAGGTAGCAATGGCAGATCATATTGAGAGGGATGGTTGTAGGCGTAAAAATCCGCGTTAAATGGGTCATCAGGTGACGGGGAATTGGCTAGCGGCAGCGGCTGAGGCACAGGATCTTCGAGCAAATATTTGATGTGGCTGGCTTGTCCAAAAAGGCCAACCGGAGAACATAGTGGTTTGGGATGCTTCCCATCAACAGACGTGATGAATATGGTAGGTGTGACGTGTGCTTTGGCTGATGTGGAGCGAGCAAACTTGCACAGCCACCGCTTCTCCTGCAGCTGTTGTTTCAAGTTTGCAAGGTATCCAGACGCAGGCGAGTCTTTGAACTTGGCAGACCAATGGGGAGCAGGAGAGACGATCATGTCAGAAGAGGTATTCAGGGATCTGATTGGAAGGATGTTCTCCTGAAGCTTGGCATAGTGACTCTCGCCCAGCGAAAGCTTCTCTAGGGTTGCGCTAAGTTGTCGCACGATGTAATCGCCCGCCGAATGAGAACGTAGGTCAAACATGGACGGAGATGATATCAAGGGAGAGGATGCACCAGACCTGTCTGCGACAGGGTCTACAGGGGCTTTCGGAAGAAGAGCTGAAGTGGTCTTCGAAGGGCGCATACCAAACAATGAACGTGACGACTCCTCCGATGGAGCTATGCTCTGTTCAGCGGTGGTAGACTGGCTAGTAGATTGTGAGAAGGTGCGCGTATTATTGATTCCTGACAGAAGACGCGAATAGCTGGTGTCCCATTCGCAAGGCGGATGCCTGGAAGGTGACAAGCTCATATCAGATTCAGGATGGGGCGATGGGACTGAAGTAGTCTGCTGTTCACCCGCGACCTTTCCCTTCAAACGGTGGTGCCTAATGGACTTGAAAAGGTGACTAAGTTTGATGGGCGAAACATCAGTGCTTGCACCGCGGGTCTTGCGATGGCGTTGCTGCGTTTTACCAGTCTTGAGCTTGCCGAGAGAGAGAGAAGGATGTGGCATTCTGAAGATGTCGTAGAGCACAAGATCAGTAAAGGCCAAAGCGGTCACTGCTGCCTCACTATCCAACATTAGGAAGATAACTGACCAACTAAGCTAGTCATTCCAATGATTTTGGGATGGTCTAGATGTGAACATTTAGTTCTCGGCTGTCCTGGATCTATGCGGCCATCTCCTGCGGTATAAGAAGGCTAAACCCAAGTCCGAATCACACGAAACTGAGGAAATCTCAGTGCAAATATGTTTATGGTGCACATCGCAGGACCAAGTTGGCCTTCTACCATACATGTGATTGCTAGCCAACCTACTTGGTCCTTGATACCGCATGCTCGAGTTTTTAAGAGTAGTGGTGAGAAGAAGAAGCAGGTCAGGGGATTTAGCCGACTCTTGCCAGGTACCCGGTATTCTACGACTCTGGGCCAGTCTGGGGCTCAAACTTCTGGTTCCTAACACCCACATCTATGCCCCATGTTGGATTCCCTTTACTCAAATGCTTGCATCTGGTCACTGGATGTGTTATGTCAACGTCACCTCGACTCTGTCCTTGAAGCTTGAAGGTCCGTTTTAGTCCTTGACTTCATAGGCAAGGTCGGACGGCATCAACGTGCTCAAACTTCAGAGCACTTACTACTCTTTGTGAGGCGTGAAAGACAACAAAGGGATCTTCAGGAGCAATAGCCTTTCATGAACGTTGCATTGACAATCGTTTGAAGCTCCGTCTGTATTGTATATAAACACTGTCTTCACTTCTGTCGTTCCCAATATTTACTGAACATACTTTCTACCATACCCAAGATGCCCGACGTAACAGTAATCAATAACCTTAGTGAAGAAATCCATGTTGCTTTCTTCGTAGGCGTACCCGCCAATTGGAAAAATCACCTCAAGCCCGGAGAACGTTGGACAACGCACCTAGCCAGCCTCCCGCTTCACTTTGAAGCACGCTCTGTGACCGGGAATCGCGAGTTCAGCCACAACGAATCCATGGAGATGCTTGCAACCATCGGAGGCACTTGCGCTGCTGGTACTGCTGCTTCGGTAGTTTCAGCAGGTGCATTGTTTGCCAGTGACATGCTTGCTGGCATACCCGTGGTTTCGGTGCCACTTATGGCTGCTGCGAGTGCTGGTGAATTTTGAGGTATTTTTTGAATGTCATGATGTTGATGTTGTCCTTTGACTCCAGGTGGCACGAAATACGGTGAGTGGGGTGCAGATGTGAGGAAGTGCACTGCGAGGGTGTGGGTGCCGCTGTGGGACCAGCCGCAGTATTCAGTTAGAGTGGTTGATGGGAGGTGTGTTCTGTGGGATGTCGATGCTGATAGAGTGGTCTGATAGCTATGGCTGACGAGCTGTATGACTGACTCTCATGATGCACGTTCCATTTGTAAGTCAAATATTGTCATTGTACATATCAGTAGCTAGCCAGGTCCAGGGCCTGCATGAAAAACTACGCCAACGTCCTGTTGGTAACTCTATAGTAGAGTTTAGTAACGCCTATTGCATAAATTTGGCTCTTCCAAAATGCACCGAGATAGTCTTGGATGACACAGGCAAGTACATCTTCCCACGCCGAACCTTGTCGATATCGCCTTCAGCGACCAGGTATCCGAGTTGCCACCTCTGATTACTCCGTTACTCCCATTCTACAAGTGTCATACACATCTGCCATATCTCCGTTATCCGCTCTCCTCCAACACTACACATTTGAAGGACACGCGCAGCTGCTGGACCATTCTCAACGGCTACTCGTTGATAATCCTACCCACCGCTCAGCCCATCTTCGTTCCTTGTCATGTCACTGCATCACCCGCATCATCATGCCTGGTAACTTAGAGGGACCGGTATATCAGACTGGAAGAGCTTAGGTGAGTCGCTCTATATCATCTTCATGTGCAACAGAATACCTGGTTGCACCTTACTTGCCATGGTAAGCAATTTTCATTTCATAATGGGATATGAACTCTGACGCAGCTCGTATACTGTGTATCTATCAGCATGAAATATCACTGTCGGCGATGATTAGACGCCCAACGAAGTCATCCAGCATGCAACTGGACTGCGATTTTCACGGTTCGAGGACGTTGTTGGCACTCTGTGGGAGGTCGAGGACGCTGTCGCGAAACACGTCGTCGAATCGATTTGTACGAGAATACGTTCAAGGACTTGGAGAATGGTGTTGTCACGGACTCAACAAAGCGGCCCAGGGACTCGAGCATGTTACATGCTTCCAAGAAGAAAATGCTCGGGAAAAGAATTGTTTTCATTGGTATTGGTATTGGTGCGTAGTTGTATTGCTGTCGTCTGTTACCGGTAATTGATCATGAATTCTCTATTCTAGTGTACAAATTACCTACATACTCTTGTACTTTAATCCTCATACTTTCGATATACCTCACTTTCGTGTTCATCTTACTCAAGTCACGATGAAAATACTACGACATCGTCTTCTGTGTGAGTGTGAGTCGACCTGGTACTTCTGACTCAGTCTTCAAATCCTTCTGCACCTCAACCTCAACTAAGCACTCATTGTCGAACAACCTCCGAGTCGAGATAGAGGCGTAACTCATACACCAACTCACCTACGCAGAGATCCTCATCCATCAAGTTGGCTGTTTTGTCAATGCCTTGGGTGCGTCTGCGTGCTTGCATCTACTTGATGACAAATGTAACTCACATAGACGGGGTGCTATGACGTCAGTTTGGGAAACATGGCAAGTACCACTCAATCGACTTGGAAATATGTTTCGTCTCGTATGTGCCACATTCGCATCATTGTTGTAATGATATTTGGTGATTAAAATAGTGATTTCCACAGGACAAGAGCACATTGTGCGACCTAGAAGGAACAATAACTCTGCTATGGGCCACCGGGTCACAACTTGTGGTCCCAGCCACAATTGACGAGGAAAGTATTAAAGGCAGGCTCCTTCTCACCAGCTTAGCATCTTACTCTTCTGTCATGAAGTATCCTATCCGCTCTCGCACTGGCAACCTTCCTATGGAGCTTCTCATTCCCATCCTCAAAGATGCGGCCCAGCTGACGTTTTCCCCAGGGGGGGACCGTGTCGATAAAGATTTCTATTCAACAGCCGTCTCCCTATGTCGCGTCTCTCGACTTTTCAGATGCATCATTCTCCCCGAAATGCTGCGCACGGTATTTCTCCGAGATCATGGAGTGATAAAGTTCGCAAATGCTCTGCTTATGCAGAAAGCGTACGCTGAGAAAGAAAGTGACCTTTTCTTTGACTATACCTCTGCTATACAGAGGATGTGGATCAGTAACTACCGGACAAGCCTCTCCGCAGGACTGTCTGAGCTCAAGCTGAACATGACCATACTGCATCCGGTCATCCTTGCTGTACCAGTACTTGCACTTGACTCTGGGCATTTCCAGCTTCTTGCTCAGACCGTGGAAGATGCGTGGACTTCTCACGAAGATCTCAATATCGACCACGAATACTGCCCTTTTCCTGGAAAAATTCAGAATCTGGCGGTAATGAGTTCCTGCGGCTCCTGGGCTCCCTTCCACTATGATCAAAAAAAAAAAATACCCAATTTCCTCGCATCAATCCCCCGTCTCACATGCCTGCCCGATTTAGAGGTGACTTCAGATGTTTTTCGTGACATCAGCAGGGGCTTGATATCCCCCGAATCCTCGCTGCTTTATTGGATGGAAAACTTTCCGTGGGCTGAGATGACGAGCCTTCAAACCTTTTCAGTGGTCTATCCACATCTCGGTCCCCCCTTCAGCATGCGTTCATACATCGATCCTACAAGGGGACTAGACCTGCATGTGGAGCGGCTCAATGTGTCTGCTCCCCTGTACAGGCAGGACCCTCGTTCCTTCCCGTGGGGAACACCGCCGTTTTCTGTGACTAATCCTGGAGAGAAGAACATTCGAACGGATGGTCTTTCCTTCGAGGTCACACGTAAACAGACACACTTCTGCCGATTGTTTTTCTCGTGGGAGACTGCTTGGGCCTGCGGATTAACTGATGATGAGGGGTACAAAGAGGATTAGTATATGATATGATATGGGCCTGTTCGCAATCAGTTTTCCCTCTTACTGTACAATTACTAGACTTTTCATACCCGGACTCTTACTGTACACTTCTCATACCCAACGCTTAGGACGCAGACTTTATGATACATGGGTCATAAGCTAGATCATCGAATCTCAAGTTTGCAGTATACATAGCAATGAAACACCCTTACGATGTCTCTTTAAAGTTGCGTACTTGCGCGTTTCGTTTCGACGAATTTACAATTTTTATGTCGGGCCATATCAATGACACTAGGTATATATGGATGTATCATCAGTCGAACATCTTCGACAGCCAAGGAACGACTAGAGAGATTCACTTAACAGCATATGTACGACTTTACTTTAGTGGCTGCCGAACCTTGTACGATCACATCCAGCATCTTGATGAGTGGTCATATGTACAAGGTAGAACGTAAGCATCAGTACTAATTTGTGTTACTCCTGTGTGCCGGTTACTGGTTCATGGAACGAAACGACAAAGCTGTGAAAAATCTGGAAGTAACAAGGAAATGCGATCGAGTATGATACTTTGCACTCATAAATCAAAAAGTAGGCATTACCAGGGTTCGAACCTGGGTTCCGGGAAATCGTATTATCAAAATCCCAAGTGATGACCACTACACTATAACGCCGGCGGTCTTTGGACGGAAAGTTACGTAATTGAATACATCTGTTTCAAATACATGTTCTAAAACGTCTGGGCATCGTTATTCCCCATTGCTACTACTGACGGCTGATGCTGTCCTACCGCATTCACATACTCCATATACCACTAACGCGCCAAAACTTGCGCACCTCCAGAATCAAGCTATTTCAGTAACTTCGGCACCAAGAATCACAGCGGCGCACAGGTTAATTTCCCAATCAATACCTTGCGGGTATTGAAGCATTCCTCGCAAAACATATAACAGGTATGTCCGAGAAGTCTGGTCGACTGCATACCCAGTCAAGCTCCACAGTGGACACTCAGGCTCGTGAGGATTCTTGTGAGTAGGTCATTGTTCGCTAATCGGATGCTCCAGGCCCTCAAATCTTAAGAACACGCGCATAACGCTGCAGGCAAGGTCTGGTCAGCTAGAACATGGATGGAGACCTCGAGCGAGCGGAACCTAGTCCTAGTGCACAGCACACAGATGATGGTATGCACACTATAACATTCTATCAATCTGGCAGAATGCTCAAGAACTATGTCAGATGGCCGACGTGAAGAACAGGTCCGCGTCATGACTAGAAATGATTCAAAGAATGCTACAACAGTGTCAGGAGATAGCTCAGCGCTTGTGGCAGTGTGGATGCAACGACTCCAAATGCTCACCCTTATAGTAGGTCATTGCTCAGCACTCTGATTACATGCTTCTGGAATAAACCATCAGACGACATTTCTCGCTTCGATCGATGGAGACCTTTTCGTGCTTACCTCCACATCGTCGCAGACGACACTTGATGCCCAGGAATTTATTTATGCGTGTTTTACTGGCGCCCTCGTTTTCCATATTTGTGCTGGTGAGTGTCGGGATGGTTCGAGGAAGTGCGAGGTGCTCACGAGCTGAATTAGCGATTCTGGGATATGTGGCATCTTTTGCTCTCATCCAGTATCAGATTGGTGATGTAGCTCCTTCTGATACAAAGAACACCGAGGTGGGCGAATTTTCTAATCCCGGTTTGTACCAACCTGAGATCATGCATGGGACGCAGCGGATGCTTATAACCATTCCTCCTTTTGATGGCCTTCTTCAGACGCCCTTGAATTCGGGGATCCAGGTTAGATCTAGAACGTCCATTCCCCCACTGGATCTCCTGACCCGGTGCTATTTTACGACTTTGGCGTTAGGTAGTGTTGGCTTTATTTTGGTACTTCTTGGTATCGCTGGTTACGCATGGGTGATACTGCGGCAGGTTGTAGGGATATTCACGGTAGTTTGTCTTGGTGTTAGCATCGTGGCGTCTGTGTGGGCGGTGCTATAAACTACGCACTTTAACCGCAGGTCTAGATTTTCCCCAAGTTTGATAAAGCTAGTAGGTGTCGGCACCGACAGTCGACTTCTCTAATAACCTGCAGAGGATGTCCAGGAGCAGATGCAACATACACGACCATCGTAGCGTAGATAGGCGAACCACCCTTCTTACTGTACAGGACGAGGTGTCTTGAATCTGCAGCTGAGGGCTTGCGCGGCCGCCCAAAAACAGCGGGGCGGCTTGCCGATGCTATTCTGTCTAGTGGTGCTCGCAGACATCCTGAGAACTTGCTTATATCCGCTAAGGAGCGACTTGTGATTGTCGGGTAGATGGCAGGCACTGGGCAAGTCTGGGCCTAGAGCGCCTTACTGCAAGTTCCAAGCCCATGAGTAAAACAGGTTCTAAAATGCTAGTTGCGGGGATTGCCGGAGCCGGTGACATTCTTGGATGAGCATCTAATTCTCAAGTTGTCAACGGCGAACGCATCCGAGACAACTTTGAAGCTGGCGAGATAAGTAGCAACCGGTCGCTCTCTCAAATTGTTTTCATTTCCTCAGCTATGGGGAATACTACGATATCTCCTAGCGCTAGCGTTCGTGCAACCATGTTGACTGAGCACTTGCTGTACCGACTTTGAGGCTTAAGTGCTCTATGTAGTACGGTCGCTCTACGGTACGCAACCGTGTTCTCAGACTTCTAAATTAATATCTGATGGGCCTTTCCTAAGTTATACATATATGCATATATATACATCATAGTATCTTCCATTAACGCCTCGTGGCCATAGCGCCGCTAGGCAAACATTGGTTAGCGTGTTGATCGTGATGCATTACGGTTTGCCATGATCAGACGCCTAGTCGATGGCTGGTGGCGACGACTTATCTGCTCGTCTTCGATGGCGACCGAATCACACTGATGGTGACTCGGAACTTCGCACTTTGTGTTCTTCCGAACTACTAGAACACAGTGTGATAGCAGACAAGTCATTCTAATTTTTCACAAATATTCAATGCGCCATGGATGAGCGATACGATACGCGCTTAAGCATCGTATCATGATCCGTAATTGTCTGTGGCCACAGGCTGACACGGACACTAACTAGAGCACCGGTCAGCCTACTTAGGCAGGTACCACTGATGGCAGCGTGGGGATCCTCGTGGACCCCATCGAAGCTTCCTCTATGTCGTTCCCATGTTATATCAACGCCAACTTGAGATCCGCAGGGCGCAACCGGTTGATTAATCGAATTCTTTGAGAGTCGTGCGCAATGCATATATAAGGGTGGGTCCCAGATGACCTGTCGATTCAGTGGACACTCTGCAGTGCTCAGTGTTGCAACGTTGCACTTCGGTGAGGAATTTTGTGACCAGCTTATATCCACTAACTGGATCTGCAGGCAGCCAACTTGTAAGGATACCCGACACGCAACTTTGTTCTCCCACGAAAATCTGCAATGTCCACTCAAAGAGATCTCGAACGAGCAGAGCCTGGACCTAGTTTTGGTATGTATTTGGCAGCATTCTATTAATCCAGCAGAAATATTGAGAATGCACAGACGCTCAACGAGATGAATTCCGCGGCAAGGTTCAAAACGATGTACAGACACCCACGGGAGACGATTCGGCGATTGTGGCAGCGTGGATGCAGCGGATCCAGACACTCACTCTTATAGTAAGTCATTGCTCAGCGACTCTGGTTACATGAATCTGGAACGACCCCTCAGACGACATTTCTTGCTTCCATCGACGGAGAGCTCTTCACCCTTACCTCCGTATCGTCGCAGGTAACAGTCAATGCAAGCTTGGACTCTCAGGAACTCGTGTATGCGTGTTTTACTGGTGCCCTCGTTTTTCATGTCTGTGCTTGTGAGTGCCGCGATGTTCGGGGAAATACGAAGCACTTATAGCCCGTGTTAGCAATTCTGGGATATATCGCGTCTTTTCTTCTCGTTCGATACCAGACCATCGACACAATACCCCCTTCCGATATGAAAACTGACGTGCTGGGAAAGCTTCCTGATACTGGTTCACCTCACGAACGCCTTTATGGAAAGCAGCTCTTGCTTAAAGCCATCCCTCCTTTGTATATCGTACAGTCCCTTCTTCAGATACCCTGCGGGGTCCGATTCCAATCCAGGACGTCCTCTCCCCCACTGGATCTTCTGACTCGGTCCTATTTTACGATTTTGGCGCTAAGTGGCGCCGGCTTTGTCTTGGCACTTCTTGGTATCGCCACTTATGCATGGTTTGGACTGAAGCGGGTTGTTGGGATATTCACGATAGCCTGTATAGGTGTTAGTCTGTTGTCAGGTGTGTGGGCGATGGTGTACTGATCCACGTGCCTTGGTTACGTGATTATCATGTTGTTGACGACAATACGAACTCATTCACGATTTATTTGAAGCTGTGCACTGAGTATTTCGAGTGTTGTATTCAAGATTCATCGGTAAATGTCGTTGTGTGTTCAACATCGCAAACGGAGATCATCTCATCATAGTTTGATTATAGTGCCCGCCAACTTATTCACGCAACTTTTGCCAAAACAAACACTTTGCACAGGTGGTTCCCGTAGTAAGAATTTGCAGAAATTGAATCTGTAAACCGTACTGAGTACTGAGGGCCGGGCCCAGGTCTTTGAAGGGCTTGTACAAAAGTAGCGATGACTGAGTGATGCGCACCATCAAAGGCGCGTCAAATATAATTTCCGATACTCCTTTAAGCTTCAAATTCCACAAATGCATCTCAACCACATCGTCAAAATACTAATGCTAAAAATCTATGCCATGGCATTCTTCTTGTACTATAACAGCTGTCGTTCAAACCACAAATACTCAGCATAGCATGTGAAATAATGATTTATCATGGCGCATGCCATCAGGTGGCCCATCAAAAGCTCAGCGCTCAAGCTTGCTAGCACTGCAGGCGATGTCGATGATCCCTTGTTTTACTAGTCGCCTTTTACGGCAGGTGTTGTTTTTCTCAGTTTGTTCGACTCTTTGACTTTACCACAAGCGCATCTTCTTCCAAAATTTTCATTCCGAGGTTGTTTTAAATCTCCCTGTCGACAGTCCCGGCCGCATTGGTGAAATACATATGATGACATTTTGCCATAGGAGTACGAGACATGTTACAGGTACACAATTTGCAAAAGGGACCAGTGGCCCATGTGCTTACGCTCAGTGAATGCTGAAAGGAAGGTTCAGATCGAGTTACGGTAGTACAGACCTCATGTTGCTCAAGCCCTACTCAGGTCCCGGATGATATTGCGAAACGCGACAGCCTTGTCTCCTCGGCCACATCCGCACCACAGATACAAAGATAAAGGGTCTCATAAAGGTCTCTTCAAGCGCATGCAATCTCTTTATATTGTAAGTGCAAGTGAACTATCGCTTAGCATCCTTCACTTGCACATATTATCACTGTGCGCCTCTCTTGCTTTGTGCATTCTGTGCCAGTGGCTCGGATTTCTCCAACGACTTCCTGGTACATTCATTTTCCAGAAGCCCCACAACCATGGCGCAGAAATCTATCTCATTTCCGGTCTTTGCCATCCTTATCTTTGCTTACTGTTCGTATTTGAATTATCGTCTGCTCCACTTTCATTTGATTCAAACTTTGTTCAGTATCCCTTCTTGCATGTGCAAGTCCCATCCCTATCATTCTTCCACCCAGTGAGGGCATCACTCTTTTCAAGGATGTCATTGCGGTAAGCCATCTTTTCGTTTTCTGTAAGGTCTTGAATGAGAAGACGTGCAGCGTGATGTTTTGCTCGAGGTTAACATATTGAGACGCGAGCCTGCTCTACTTTTGGAACTGCATGAAGCCCCCGCTGTCTTGGTGCGAGACGAAGACGCAGGACTTATCGCAGAAGCCTCCATACCCGTCAATGATCCTGGCGATGCTCTGGAAGCACGTATATGTCGTTATGGATGCCTTTGAATTTTTTTAGTAGGCACGTTTATATTATATATGGCTAGCTTTCTAGCTCATCCTCAGGAGTACTAGCAGCATTCCTCGCGCTGACGGGTTGTATATCTACTACATTCATTGAGTCCGGTATTCTCTGGAGAGCTCGTGTCGTCTCTCCGTCCGCTCCTTTCTCGGTTTTCTTTCTGTCTTTCTGCTATGTATTTTTGATGGCCTATCCTCTGATTTGGTATGGATGGACTCTCGCTCGATGCGACTGAAAAATACTATATATTATTATATACCCCTGTCTTCATTGCTGGCTTGTGTAAAATCGAACTCAGTGTGCTCTCAATTTACCAGCTCATATCATCTATCGTCCCGACCCTTGAGCCCACGAATCGATAACTCGCCACAACATGCCAAGACGCCCATCGGATCTGCCAGCAGTATGCAGAAACTCATGTTGATGGTACCTTCCAAAATGGCATGCTCTTCTGCGATTAATTGCTAGTTAGCCGGAAGGCAGAATTTTGCACACAACCGTCAGGATTCTCTCGAGCACCGACTTGAAGTTATCCCCTTGATCCCAAACAGGCAGGTGCTGTAGATTAACTAGCGCTGGACCGGACACTGACGCAGATTTCTACTTCTCTTGACATCCAACAAGGGGACATCCAAAAACGTCGCTCATCAGGGTTTTCATATCAAGGTTATCGCCGTACGGATAGAAGTGCGTGCAAACGGAAGAGATAATTTAAGAACCAACTTGAAAGTTGACACTGACGAACAAGCTAACGTCCTAATTGGGATTGAAGCTACTCCCCAAATGCGGTCGTTAGCTTTTGGACCAACCTCCTTTGGCAATATCAAGGAGTCCGAAACTCACAGAAGCCGGCTCACGCAAGGTGGTATAAAGACGTTATCGAATGAATCTTATGACTGTGCACTCGACTCTTATTGTTCTGCGCTCAGAATACATTCTCCATCTAGCGCTTTCATCTGAACCTTTTTCCAAAAGTCAACAGAACAATAAAACCACTTCCCAAAACACTATGTTTGTCAAATTCGCTCCCATCTACGTTATCGCATGCTTTGCTGCTTTGGGTGGGTTTAATTGTCTCCTGATATGTTCGCCATACTGACGGTTTATGTGATCTGTAGCATCTGCATCGCCCGTACCTGTTGCAGCTCCTGAAGCTGTTGCCCTTGCAAACACGGGGATTCTTGCTGTAAGTCGTTTTAGATTCGACAAAAGATGAACAAACCGCTTACGCCTTATTTTTGTAGCGCGAGGCTCTAGCAGCAGCAGAAGCTCTCTCTGAACGCGAACCTACTCCTGAAGAGTCAGAAGATGTCGAGGCCAGGGTCTGCCGCTATGGTTGCCTGTGATCGAATCTGTTCCCATATCACTTTTCGCGCTATTGCGATTTATCAGCGCCCCACTGTCCTTCCTGCCATTACACGCGTCTGCGGTCCAGCTCGATGCGGACCATCATTGACATACCCAGCCGCAATTTGACCTTCTCCGATGACCATTCCGGACAATATTCTGGATACCATTTTCTTACGCACGTTACGATTTTGTTTGTTTTGTTAATCGGCAGGGTTCTGTAACTGTATTACTTGAGTCATAGACGCTGTATTGTTATTCCTTTGCTTTCGTATGTTTTCTGTTATGGAATGTCCACATTCAACACAGCTGTTGTACAAAGTACTTAGGTACTTACTTCGAGCTACTACTTACATGGTGCCCGATATTATGAAGGAAAGCCTGGATTGGTGTACACCACGTGATATTCGAGTGAGCGTTGAACAACTTTATCCTTGCGCCGGGCACTTCCACCGCCTTCATGTTTATTGCGGAAGCGAAACACAGCAAACCCACTATAAGCTGATAACGTGTGAGTACTGTTGCACGAAATTAGCAAAAATTGACAACATCCAATGATATTTCAGGACCCCAATGATTTGCGTGGTGTATTCATACTGACGGCAGATGAATCTGCCGAGGGTCACCATAGTGAAATAACTACAGATTGCAATGTCAACTGGGATATCACATTCATACCGTATGCTCCACAATGGACACATCGATTTACTGAACTTGAATGCTCTTCAAGTACTCCAAGCGGTAGGGGTTAGCATCCGTCTGGTCGCCACGGTTATGCGCAATCCACTTAGGCTCGTCCTGGAGCACAAGGGCGGTAAGAATACGAAAAAAGAGAACAGACTGAGAACATACCTTGAACAGTCTCATGGTCCTGACGCGGTTGCCCATATCGAGAGTGAAGCGGTGGTAAATACCCGCAGGGAGGACTAAGAGGTCACCAGCACCCATGTGGCAACGAATCCAGGATTCACTGGACTGTTCTGCATAGCGTAAATTTCATCAAAAGCTCCAGGATTTCAAGCTGTTACATACCACGAACGTCAAAGAAACCGGTGCCTTCCAGAATGTATCGGATTTCTTCATCTTCGTGCATATGCCTGAGATTATCAGATACATAGCGGTGAGTACACTACGGATGGACGAAGACATCAAGTCTTACTCGTGGTAGAAGCTCTTGATCTTTGTTTCAAATTCATCACCAAGGCCCTCTTTGCTGATTGAAACAATATCGTGGTTCCTGTAACTCCTTTCCTTCGCAACAGCAGTAATCTCCTGCTCATACTTGCCCTCAGCATCAATTGGAATGTGCCAGTGCAAGACGCCAATGGACTTCAAGACCTCATCTGGAACGTCCATGCCAGAGTCATGTGGGAGGCGTTGGTCACCCTCAAGGTTGTCAAAGTAGTAAGCACGCATATTATAGTTAAGAGGATATCAGATAAGACGCGGATGGAACTAAGGGTATTCAGACCATGACGAGGCTATTATATACAGGGCCGTCAGCTGACCTCATAGGCGTATAATGATAGATCACTTACTCCGAATTTTCTGAGCAGCTAATTTCGGATGGAGGTAGCCACTGGACCAAACCCGTATGACGTGTGCAGATGCTCGATATAATTGATGAATAAGCCTATGCATCAAGGTCTAGGGTGGAGCGGGTGCTCCGTACGTTCCGTAGGCATCTGAGTCGGCGTCCCTTTCAAAAGTTCTAGTCGCGGCCATCAGCTGGTGTTGGCCGCTCCTGAATCAACAAGTGGCACTCGTTTGGGTGTGGCAGATTGAGGACAATTTGGTTCCTTCCGATTCTATACTCGGAGAACCTAATACACACGAGAGAATACAAAACAATTTGTCAGTCACCTCGAGGTAGAACACATCACGAGAAACTAGTGTACGTGCCCATCACGTGACATTCGTTGAGCGTTGAACTTTCTGTGACGTTAACGTTGATTCTTGCCAGGTTCTTGTACACTCCTCCATCCTGGACTATACCTACCCTCTCGATAATGGCGACTGCTGAGAGTCCAAAGAACGTCAGCAGGTTTGAAAGCCAAATTATTATGAAAACAATTGGCTAATCTTGCTTTTTCCTAGACACTCGGATCTTCTGACTACTCTCCCAGACGTTATTCTGAGCCATATTCTCTGTCTCGTTTTTGACGATGTGAACCAATGCACTACCAACGCGCTCATCATGAACCGGCGTGTTTTCTCATTGGCAAAACCTATATTCCTGTCCACGATCGTCTTACACTCGGAGCTATCAGTCTTACACCTCATACACCGTTGTATTTCCTCAAGTCAGACGAGCCTTACAGCTGCCGATAGGGAATACGTCAAGTGTATCGAAGTCAATTTCTTACCATCATCTCAACAGCAGACCCTCGCGGCACCCAGCGTACTCAGCGCTGCTACCCCTTTTCCAAACCTTCGCACTCTGAGGTTTCGTTTTAACATTGGAGTCCCGTTGATGTCGAGCTTGCCTACTCCAGAAATTAACCAGCGACTTGTCGCATATACAGCCGCACACGCTCGTTGGCTAAGGGTGGATTCGCCATTATTCGATCTCTTATCGAGCTTCAAGCCGCAGCGTTTCGAATGGATTTCTGAAGTTTCTCGTGGCCGATCTAAGTTAGGCTCACGTGTGGAGGGAATCGCAGCATCTATGGTCCGACCTATTCATGTTCTTGGTTTTCACGGTGCTTTCCGAGCTCTTATCAAGCGCTGGGACAGTCTTACACACATGTATCTGGATGGTATCTGTCTGCTTGCCAAACACTGCACATCGACCTTTCACCTTGCCCTCCTCGCAAAGCATATGCATATCACTGTGGATTCTCATCGGGACACCTTGCATCTCTTTTCTTCAGCTCCCCACGTTTTTTTGGGATCTCGCAAATGCGAGAGTCTGGTGGTTGAGCGTCCTAGAGCGAAGAAAGATCGGACATCCATCTATAATGCCGTTCTTAGACCTGGAACCTTACTTTCTTTTCGCGGCTTCTCATCGGCTCAGTGCGCATTGTTCAAGTACACGTTTTTTAGCACAGAGGACCATCGATATCTCGGGCCGGTACCGCCAGAACAAGTTATCCGAACCGTCAGGGCCGGGGTCCGCGAACTACGGGGGTTGAACATTTCTTGGCCCACTTCAGGCATGACAACTGTCACTCGCCCTTCGGGAATTGCCTTGTCTCCTGACGAAGCTACTACTAGCCCTCCTACGCCCCGACATTCGAAACCACGCCCTACCCTCGCTTCTGTCGTATCAACAACTAGCTACTCCACCTACATCATTGGCTTCATCGCTATCCCTGTCGCTATTTCCTTCACCATCTTGTATTTCATGTCATTACCCGCTATCCACTATCTCCAACGACGTCTTAATGCTGCCTCCACTACGACTGCCTCTGTGGCTGCCTCTGCGCCTACCGCACCTCGGGACAGACCTCGATCACGCGCAGCATCGTCCCTTTGATACAAACCTGAATGCATAATTCTCGAAGTAGGTAACACACTTACCGAGCGAGATCCGACAGCATGATCGTTTATTTTTATTCTATGTAGATCTTCCTTGAAAATTTCTGTCAGTTTTACTGTAAGAATCGATTTGTAAATTTCAGCAGATGTGCCGTTGGGGTTTCATCTGATTGATTGGCGTTGACATTGAGCGCTGAGCGTGAGAAGTGACATCCCCGCCATGAAGAATGGAGAATGTAATTTTTTTACCCCGTCGATTGCGGATGCTTTTGACCGTACATGCATGTACTAATAATGCAATCTAGTGTCCACTATATAAAAACACAACAAATTCACTACACAAACATGCCAAAATTGCGGACTACACTTTTTCTATACAAATGTCCACTATATCAAAACACTACACATTGCTATACAAACATGTCAAAACTGCGGACTACACTTTTTCTTATCTAGTGTCCACTATATCAAACACTACACTTTTGTATACAAACATGTCAAAATTGCGTCCATAAAACAAAATGTCCACTATATCAAACACTACACTTTGTTGCACTTTTCCTTACAAACTGTCCACTACATCAAATGACTACACTTTTGCTACACAAACATGTCCAAAATTGCGTCCATACCCAAATGTCCACTATATCTATATCAATCACTACACTTTTGTATACAAAATTGCCAAAATTGCGTCCATAACAAAATGTCCACTATATCAAACCGGACGAAGGTGAAGTTCATCCAATTCAAGTTTATATCCATTTATCAGTGATCATAGATGTGACATTTTGGTGCTTAGCCCATGGAGAGGTACCAACCAACCGATCTGGGGATCTCGGACAGAAGAAAGAATCGCACCAAGTGCTTCTAGTCATCAGCGAGTCAATGGTGTATATACGAGATCATATAAGGTATCCGGGCACCAACACCAACAGTACAATGAGTACAAACGATAATCATACGACATACAATAAACATCCGATGGATTCTGTTAGTAGGCAGCAGTACTAGATGGAACTCTCTCGAGTCCTTTGGTATTGAAAGTTCACCTTACCTCACAAGGAGAGGTTGGCCCATTCTAGGACTAGAGCTTTGCGCGAGGTTTCAATTGTCCGACCGCAACATCGGCATCAGGGAAAACCTCCCACGGGAATTTTGAAAATGTGACAACAATTCTCGAGAATTATGGCAAACTTTCATCAAATTTTTGTAAAAGCTTGTAAATAGTTGATAAATAGTCACATCCATAACGCAGTCAGTGAATGCACTGAAAAAGATATCTACAGGGCTCTAGTTGAACCTGCCATGAGATATGTAACTAATTACTAGTATATCAAAAATGTAGAGTTCACGCAATGCAGAACGGGGATATATTTAAACAGGTGGGAGGGAGAATTCGGAGGTGTCTGCTGCTGGCTACATAGAGCTCGCTCGAAGGGCCTTAGCCTCAGCGACAACAAGTAAATTGAGAAATTGAAAATCGAACCACCAACGATTTAATTACTAATCACAGGGCTCCCACGGTTGATTTCAATGAACTCATTCAAATATTCATGTTTCACTCTGCAACTTACACGAGCCGCGGCAACCACTTGCACACCCTGTCACGTCGTTTTCTTTATGTTTTCATTCTCCCTTACGGTTACTGTTGGGGACTCTAGGTGAGAGGCATCACCACCACAGAGCTAAGTCTCGCTCCGAGCGGGCGTCTGAATTCTGTTGTCGCATTCATCTGTGCGTGGTCATTCAAACCAGGTGTCTATGTAGGATTCCTTTTTTTCTCTTCTTTTTGGCGGTCCAACCGGCCTTCCTGATCTCTCCCAGCTACAGGCTCAATTTGGAGCATACACATAGCTCAAAACTGCATTCTGAGGGTGAGTCATGTAGTTGAATCCTGGTTTCACAGCGACCCGCTCATGCTCACTGTCAGAATCGCAAATTCCCTACTCGAGCCGCAGCTCAGGCCAGAGCCGGGCCACTGCATTCTGAGGCGCGCAGGTGAGTCATGTGGTTGATTCCTGGTTCCTCCCTACCCGCCTCCCCGTGGTCCACGGCTCTAGTGTGACGACTGAGCAGGATGAACATCCCATGGTCTTGGGCCTCACTGCTAGCCCTATGTTCGGTGGCAATCCTACTGCAGCCTTCCGGTATGGTGCTCGGATTGGAGACTACGAATATTATTGACATGCTTCCAGGAAGTTGGAAGCCAACCTCGACTGCGTTATTCATAGTCCTCGAGCCAATCGGGATGAGCTCTTGACTCATGTCCACTGTCCGATCTTCCGACACGTGTGCTACGATACACCGCAATACTCTGATCATAACTATACTTCTAAAAATTTATCAGCAGTCGATGCCATTATTGCTACTATGAACATCGGATCCCGAATTCCATGGTCTCAGCTGTGGTTACTGTGGTGCATCTTTTTCTAACTGTTCAAGCACTATCTCACTGTGTTCTACCAGATTTTTTCTTCCCTACTTGATCTGAAGTTGGTTGACTTTGCATCCGCTGAGTTGAAAGCAGCATTTGCGCGAATCGATTTCGATGGGATGAGTAGGGCATTCCTGATAGCACAGGGACTTTGCGTTACACGTTTTGTCTCATTTCCTCATTTTCATATCTTGTGATTTGCGATATTCTAGTATTTAATCACATTATAATCATTTTGTTGTATTCGTGTGGATTTTCATAAATTTTCACCCATCCGTAGAGGGACTTGGAATATTTTAATGTATTTTCAGAAAGTCAGAAAATTTCAGAAAATTTTACAAAATCTTCGCGGGAGGTTTTCCCTGATGGGTCTTCGCACGCTCACGAAGCTCACGACGAAGGATCTTTCCAGCGGCACTATTATTTCGCCGCATCAGCCAGGTGACAGAGCAAAGAGGCAACAGTGTGACCAGACCTTTTCGGTACCTTGTCGATGATCACAACTCCTCCTCTTAGTTGTTTGTGTGACGCTACACGCTGTGAAACCCAGCTTTGGACACCTAGTGCAAACGAAGACACTTCCTGGGGGGAAAGTGGGCGAGAAGGCGTTATGTATGCGCTTCACAGTGAGAAGCTGTTAGCTTGATTCAAAAGAAGACACTCGTGGGCTCACCGAGGTAATTCCGTTGCTTCCTCCTTACTCTCAATCCCAATTACGGCTGCGTCTGCGATCTCGGCGTGCTGTAACAACACTGACTCCAGCTCGGCCGGAGGAACTAGCGCATTAGCTATCAGTTGGGCGGTCGCACGGAAGAAACTTGAATGTAGGTTCACCTTGGAAGCCCTACGTGCGTGACCAAATGAGAAATGACAGCGGGATGCATCGGAGCAAAAAGCTCGCCTTATATTTAATCAGCTCTTTTCTCCGGTCCACGATTGTGAAGAACCCATCCTTGTCCCGCACGCAGATATCACCAGTCTTGAACCACCCATCAGGCGTAATAGCTTCAGCAGTTGCAGTGGGGTTGTTTAGATATCCCTGATGTGAAACCGTGATCAAACTGGTTTGAAGAATATTGATACACGGAATACCTTCATGATCGTCGGCCCTCTCACCCATACCTCACCAGCACCTGGGATATCTGTGTGCGGCTGTAGGATTCATCATTAATATTGACCTGTCGTAGATAAGCGTGAAGGAAGAAGTACGAACTTCGCCTTCAGTTTCGCCAACAAGTCTGACCTCCAAATTTGGAAGCAGAACTCCTGCCGCCCCAATATGACTGCTGGCGTCAGGAACGGGGAGGAGGAATACCGTCGGTGATGTTTCTGTGAGGCCATAGCCTATGCAAAGATTTGAGACCCAGTACTCCCAAAAAGTGAAACGAGAGATGAAAACACACCTTGTAGAATATCCAAATCTGCGCCAATGCTCTTCATGCGCTCCATCACGGCCAAGACAAGCTCAGCGCCGAGAGGTGCGGCGCCTGAGAAGAGAATCTTGAGGGAGGTGAGGTCATGTTTTTGGATAGCTGAACGTAGGATTGTGTCAGAAGTTAGAATGGAGATAAATGATAGGGGGACAGGACAAGTGGGTATATGTGCACACAACGGGCCCCAAAAAGGAGCATTGGCACTTATATATAATGATGCGAGATAGGTCGATATATGCAGTTAGACCGGGAATTCAGGTGATGTGAGAAAAGATGTGAAGGGAGACCTGCCTGGGTGTCTCGCAAATACTACTAGCATTGGAGGGACAACAAAGCTAATAGTCACGCGGTATCTTGCGATAGCAGCACAGAAGCCATCGGGGTCGAACCCTGCCATGACAACCCCGGGTACGCCTAAGAATAACGGCAAATGGAGAAGTTTGACTCCGCCATAGATGTGATAATAGGGCAGACACCCGAAGAGGACATCTACACCACCTTGTGCAGGGATGGACGGAGTAAGGCATGGCTTGGAATTGGGCCAGACAGGTTTGAGTATCTCGAGGACGGAGATGATATTGTAATGTGTGGTTTCGACACCCTTTGGTTGACCTGTTGTGCCAGAGGAGTAGCAGAGATAGACAGTCTCGTTTGACCGTTCACCGTCGAAACTGACTTCTTCTTTGAGCTCGCCGCGACCAAGTAGTTGAGTTATGGTCACGAGATCTTTCAGCTGGTCATCTGGAACAGACACGTCCCTGGCACCCATGATCCACTGAACTCCAGCCACGATGATACGGCTCCGTATTTCTTGCTCGGAGCATCCAAGGGATCTTAACATAGTCCGGGCTGTCCCGACTAGCGAAGGGTGGGCAAATACAAGATGAGCTCCTGCATCAATGTATTGATACTTCAGTTCATTTGGCGTATATCCGCTGTTTGCAAGCGTCGCGCGGAAGCCAGCGGCCACCACACCCAACATCATGACAGGCCATGTGATTGAATTAGGAGAGAAAATGAGCACTGTCTTGGTGCGATTTTCTAGGGGTGATGGGAGGTTGTGAAGGGAGAATGCTAACTGAAGAGCATATGAGCGACATTTCCCGCGAGAAATTGTTGTACCGGAAAGAGCATCTATGAATGCGGGTGATGAAGCGGGGAAGCCACCGACTGTGCCTGGGGAAGATGAAGAGACACCAAGAATATGAGTGAAGATAGAACGACGACAGATGTGGACGGACGGATAGGCCGACGTGTAGATGGTATCCGTCATCGTATTGCTCGTTGTGCTGAAGCCTCACTTAAGGTGGGAGTGAAACTGTGTAATTCCCGTTCGGGATAGCACTACACCGTGACTATTAGTGCAAAGTTCTTTGTCAACCTGCAACAAATCGCGATTAACAGCGGCAGAGTTCATGAAAACAACGGCTTTTACGATATCTGTCAATTTAATTGATGCATTATTCCTACGACCATGGGGAATATGCGTCAGGCAACTTGAAGCGCTGCCAACCGCCAGGCTAAGGTTTCATTCGGTCCAAATCGGCAGTCAACGTTCTGCCAGTGGTGGTTGTGCGTTTTTATTAGACTGCTACATGAACAGAACTAACGACTCTGACATCAGAAAGTTTAGATGATTTCGAGTCTCAACTGCCAACCGCTCGGTGTTTCGATAGCTCGTGTCGCGGCAGTCCTTCAAGTTGGTCCATATGGTAGTCCAGGAATATGCCATCACCTGACGACGGATCACTGGGATTCGGCGCTCAGCCAGGGGCGTTTTAAGTATTAAACCAATCTTAGCTTCAGAAGCTAAGCTAGTAATAACTCGGAATTTTAGGTCTCGTAATGATTATTATTGATCGACACTATGCACATATGTCAGTACTACTAGTGGCATATCTGATGGAACTGTTCCAATACCGCCCATATGTGCGCATGGAGCTTGAATATACATGTATGCCATCTTATTGCAATATTTCAGAATTGACCATCACAGTTTACTCCGCAACTCGGGGATCAGATCGTTCCCTTGGCCATCACGAAGGAAATCTCTCAAGTTAGTGAGCGCACGAACCTCCATGTGGCGCTGAGAATCTTGGTTCTCTGTCCCCATGTGGGGAAGGAGCACGTTTTGTGGGAATTCAAGTAAACGCGGATTGACGAGAGGTTCATTTGGGTATACGTCTAGGCCAACAGACGACAACTGTCCCAGTCGCAAATTTAGAGCAGGCAAAGAGAACAAAAACAATCTGACGCACATGACCATCTTCAAGAGCGCGAATCATCGCCTCCTCGTCAATGACCTTTCCACGCGCGGTATTCACGATAATGCTGCCTTTCTTCATCGTCCGAATCTCCTTCTCACCCACCAGATGAACTGTCTCGTTACGTAGAGGGACATGCAAGCTCAGAACATCACTTTCTCGACAGAGCCCTTCCAAGCTGTCGATGTACTCGCACCACTCTGGTGCACTGGCAGACTTATTCCTCGAGTAATAGACAACGCGCATAGGGAATGCGTGCACTAGATGAGCAAGTCTAAGACCGATACCACCGAGACCTAAGATACCCAGCGTGCGTCCCGTAACATCATGAGCCCGCCCAGGATCGAGGCCCGATTTGAACGTCCCTTGGCGAAGGGATTGTTCGGCCCAAGCGTAATTTCTGAGACAAGAGATGACAAGGTACAACGCCGTAGTGGCAGTCGCATCATCAACAGCGCCAGGGGTGTTAGACACGCTGATACCTAAATTGGATGTGAACCCGTGAAACGTCGTTGATGGAGGACCCAACGGATGCAGGATATGGAAATCACCTTTGTTTGCGCATCGTGAGACATCGATCTGATCGTAACCCGCACCATTATGCGCGATCCACTTAACAGTGCCCGTCTCAGCCAGGGCATCGATAATCTCTTCATCAAAGACACCGATGCGGTCTGCGGAGGTGTTGTGCCGGTAGATGCCCACGATTTGATCGTACTTTCCTCCTGATTTTAGCCCCACAAGGAAATCTGCGCGATTTGGAGAATCCATGACCTGGGACGTGTGTTAGATGCGAATAACCCTTTATCGAGGAGAAATGATCATGATAAACGTACAACAAGATCGGCGAGCCCATCAAAACACTGTCTGGCCTCTTCATGAGCCCAAACAAGGTTTCCTGCGAGTGCCGATCCTGTAAGTATATAGAAATGTGGCTGCGACGGATCAGGACTCACCACAAATCAATATACGAGGTTGGCGAGACGACATTGTGCGAGCCTAGCGGAAGTGGGGGAGGCGAACAGGATCAGGGAATGATGGGCACTTGTTTGAGGATAGACTCGAACTTTAACATCATAACGAAATCGAATGGGGTCAACTGATCAACGAGGAGGTTACGGAGTCGCGGACCGGATGTCCGGGTCTTATCTCGATGACCTCTTATCACCATGAGGTTGGTAGCGGGCATGCTATAGTTTCAGGCTGCAAGCCTACGGCAATAGCAGCAAATGAAACCAGAAGCAAACGACTGTCCTCATTTTATAAGGTCTGACTAGCTTGCTAAGGAAAGCTAAGGCGTAGCTGGCTAGCCCAAAGCTAACCTTAGGTTAAGTTCGTATCAAATGCGAGAGTTTGCATAAGCTTCTATCTTCATCTCGGTTGTTTCTCGTGCGCGTGCCCAGGAGTCCACGTGTAGCATCAAGATCACCAGGTGTTCTGAGCCTCGAGAAACTCAAATAAACTTGGGCTCACATTCGGTTCGTCACGGAACACCAACGATAGCTAGGGAAAAAATCATCAGCACGTAGCAGAATCATCTAGTGCCCTTACTAGCAGCACCTCTTCATCGACCACCTTTCCCCATGCCTCATGGCACGAATCTGCTACTCACCAATGAGATTGACGCCGTTGCGTTATCAAGTCCAGTACTAGTGCCGGACGTGTTCGACGTTAGTACGACTTCCTGAATCAAATAGTGAGGAAAGGGCCCGGGTGAGCAAAGTGGAACTAGTACGGCACAGAGTCTTGGAGGGTGCGGCGTCAGGACGTGTTATCAATGAGATGAGTGATCACAGCTTGATGATTCGTTGTGAACAATCATTGGATGGCATCATGCAAGTTTATGCATTAGCAAAACGAGTTAGACGATCCGAAGATAGAATTACGAATTTGATTACGTTGTTACTCAACTACTCGGCCCCACAATACGCGCTGGCCCATCATGATGAGGCAAGCATTACGGATGTATGTAATAGTACTACTGATACAGGGGAGGAAGATATAAAACGATACAGGTAACAAAGATTAGTACAGTAGCTGACGAGGCACAATAGTACGAAAAAATACATATTAGGCTGGAAAACCCATCAACAAGTACGAAGGACAGCTTTGAAAGCTACTCACTAACTGCCCGAGACAGCTCGGCTTCAAAAACTCTCATATCAAATGCCTTCTTGAATGGTTCAAATAATTTACCGGGAACAGCAAACACAACTTCTTCAAACGAGTCTTTGAACGCCGCACGTGGGACAGTCGTCTTTCCATCTTCACGATTCTCTTTGCTTTCCCCGCGTACAAGGAGGTCTGCCCAGATCTCCGCGACCATTTCAACTTTGTTCTCACTAGAACCGCACCCGAACGCACCGAGGACAAGAGCTCGGTCACCGCGTGCCTCAAAGATGCGAAGTGCCCTTGCCATGCGATCCCGCATCTTGTCACGTATGCCGTTCGCAAAGATATGAGCAGTTGATGCAGTGATGGTGTAGTTTTGATGTATTGCAGCTGCGTTAACAGGCACAGCTGAGAGAACATTAATAAGATAAGGGGGAATGAAGTCATTTGACGACACGGTCGTGGGTGGAGATGCGTTATCGCTATCATCTTGACGAAAGGCAACAACACCTGGGCTATATATCATGGAGTGATCATTGAGACCAGCCCCGTCGACATTGAGAAATTTCTTGTGGGTGATGTAGAACTCCTTAGCTTGGTCGGCCTGAAGACTAGCTACAAGCGATGAAGACCTAGCGAGAGTCTCTTCTTGCTCATTACCGCCGTGCAGATAGCCTCCACCGGGACGTTTGGGTGAAGCGAAGGAAAGGACTCCAATCGAGGTAGTAGAGAGCGAATACGGCGAGCTACGAGTAAGATCTGGTCGCCGCTTGTGTAGTTGCCGAGCAGCCGTGAGCGTAGAGCCAGCAACAAACGAAAAAATAGTTGACTTGGTTCTGGAAGGAGGGGCTGCATGAGGCTTGCACCAGTCAGCCAAACAATGAGGGAAGAACGTTGTTCCCTGCTTGCTCAAAATGATTTGTAATGATATGTCGTGTGTGACATGCTTTGTGGTCATGGTGTGCTGTCCATGAGATTGAGAAGGGTTGGCTTGTGACGAGGCGTTATCAGGATAAGAGACATGGGTAGGGGATGTGATACATGAAACAGAAGTAGAAGAAAGTTTCTCTTCGACGTACTTGCCATCCCCAAAAACAATTCGTCGTGTCTCGTGAGCAGCTTGAGCCCAGCGTTCACGCCTTGCCTTTTGAACTTCGAAAGCGAGCCGCCTCCGCTGCCGCAGTTCTTCCTTTAAGTGCTGGCGTTTGAGGCCAAAAGATGAGCCTGCGGATTGCTTGATGGTGGCGACAGCACACATCGGAGTGCTTGATCGCATCTTCGATGCTGCCAGCTTGCGGTTAGTTTGACGAACCATAGATCTGCAAATAGGTTTCTTGGTGTTGTTCGATGGTCGTACTTGGTGGTTGTAGAAATCTGAAAGAAGGGCTTCAATTGTTGGTCTCGCCGGTGATAGTCGATATTTGTATCTGTTTGTTGTCTTTCTTCCACTCCATTCACAATTGCAGCAGGCTCTGTGGCCACGACTGTCCACGGTGCCCACCATACTGGTTGCACACAAGGACTTTGTCCTTATCATTGGCAGGTTCCAGCTCACGTATCAACGCCGCTTACTAACTTACTTATCAATGGAAACCAGTTTCAATACCTCGTTGCGTGTCAATAATTGCCACTCCTCTGATGTGAATGAACTTTTTTTTTGATGCACTCCCTTGCAAATTCACGCAGTAGACGAAGAAGCGTAGTCCTGAGAAGTCTCACATACGAGCTTTTTCGAGCACCTTAGACGGTCATACAGATGGTAACAGTGAGATTTGATTGCCCCTCCCCTGATCTTCACTCATCCTGAACGATGAAAGGAGCGTGGCTGTCATTCTCAAGCTGCGGCCGTGCGTGCTTTCTCCTCAGCTCGGCTTCTTTTCATAACCAGGTGTCATTTAGACTCGGAAAGGCTCCCTCAACATCTTCTCATAGCTCATCTACAAGCAGTTTGTCGTGAGATGCCAAGAACTGAGGGCTCTGGATCTTCTAACCTGCACGGATAGAACTCAGGTACGAAGATGCCTACCGCTCAAGACGTCTAAAAAGATTCTACAGAAGTGGTCGCGTACGTCATATGGCAACAGTCCTTGCATGTTCAAAACGCTGACCTCCAGTGTACGACACGACTTTGTTTAACTTCCGTTTCAAGCGGACCAAAAAGTGTTGTGTGAGTTAACATGCTATTCAAATGTGTGGAGTAACACAATCATAGATCATTATAGCACGATGTGTACACGTATTGCCGATTACGCTCTCCACTTTTTTGTACGGGCCTCCGTTTCCAATTTTGCAAGAATGGAGAACGAGCCAGCTGACATGGCGTGTAATCCGGTAGCCTACATTCGTTTGCTATTTCCACTCTACCATTGACAGTGGCATTGCCGAATCTAACAAACTCAAAATTTTCACTGGTTTGAACAGTTGGTGTGAACAAGTAATCGACTCACCAGTGAAAGAGGAGCCTGGGTTATCCTCGTGACTGGCCTCATGACATGTGTCTCCGACACCATATCGTCAGGGGTTCGGTTGTGTGGAATGTCTTCATCCCATCACCATGTCCAAGTGCGTGGAGTAGAAAAAATAGATTCATACGACAGGGACGTTAATGCTGTCGCCAGAGAAGATGAAGAATACATCACGTACCCTGAGATATGCCAAGCTACTGAGAGGAGAACGCCGATTGGCACAGGCACATCTTGCAGAGGATGCTAGCGAAGCCGATCAATATTCTGCCAAAGTTTCGTATGTACCCTTCAGCATAATGCATGAAATATTATTAAAATATTTTCTAGGGTATTCGATTAAGATGGCCATGAAGCTTCCAGTATGTGCTGTGTGCTGTTTGCAGTTGCTAGGTCTGAGTTTCGTCAGAATTTTCCCAATGTAAGCCTTCCACACTGTACATCTTTCTTCTGGTTTTTATACCGCCAAACCAAAAGGCCTATACGCCTGAATATATTCATGGAGGGCCTCAGTCTTATGAGCACCCTCAGATATTTGACAACTGCCACTTTTCTAATGTTTGCACAAGTTGCTTGTGGCTCGCTCGACAAACACTTATCACATATATTTCTCTAGTCCTCCACGGATCTTTACTTCTATTCGCACCTTTGTGTCGGAGCATGGGATGTCGGTAATTATCTTGAGACTGCCTCGATCTTGTTCAACTCATCCTTGTACTTTATAGATTAGATAGGGGAGCTCTTTTTCCATCAAACGGCTTGATGATACGTGGTGGAATGGACACGTACTGCAAGGGAAACAAGGCAAGACCTGTATGGCGGGAGTCTACAGCTTTTTCTATCGAGGACAGACTACGACACGCGCGAGGACTACCGACTACGAGCCAGGACTCCTGCCACCGCGCCAGGACCCTTGCCACTCCCGACCTGTCCTGGCAGAGCGCCCCGCTCCAGTGGTCATGGTCGGCTACATCAGTTCCCTATCACCCATGGTGTAGCGGGGCGCTCTGGCGCGGCAGGTCGGGAGTGGCAGGAGTCCTAGCGCGGTAGCAGGAGTCCTGGCTCGTAGTCGGTAGTCCTCGCGCGTGTCGTAGTCTGTCCTCGATAGATAGAGCCGTAGCCTCCCGCTATAGAGGTTTGGCCTTGGTTCCCCTTGCAGTCCTCCCCGTTACAATGGCAACTGCCCGGAGGTATTTCTCCATGTTTTTAATGGCCACCGGGTACTGTAGTATGTTTAACTTATCTGAATTAGTCACAGCGGTCTGCGTGTTCTTTAGGTTCTACTCTAGCATCGATCTGGGAGGCTAATGCGATTCCACGACCACCTGCGAAACGGATTTAATAAACGAGTTTGGGGTAACATAAGAAAACGTGTAAGCATTTTATATATGCTACTCTTGATTTGTGCCCTAATAATCATTATTCTTAGAATGGGGGTTATACATTATTACATCTGGAAGGCAAATTAGAGCCCACAATACCATAAATATATGATTGTCGCGTTATGCGCCCGCCGCCCTTCCACTTGCAAGTTTCCTTAGTTTTGGTAGGTGTGCAATAGTGACTCATTATTCCATGTTTTTAACTTCCATGAAGTGACACGTTGGATGTTGATCCCCTCTCACAAGCCTGTACATTGGAACATACCTGTACGCTCAATCACACGTTCCTGGGGGAATGTTCCTCATACCAGTAAGAGTCTGGGATGTCCATACATTAAAGCCTGGTCATTTCAAAGCAGCCGTCGGAAAGAATGCTTTCACTGCTGATCCGAGGTGTTCCTGCCTCTGTGTGGGGAAACGTATTTTCCACCTTGAAATCGATCAGACTCAGCGATCATATCACACACTCACATCTATCTGATGAAAGATTTACCCCACAAGTGTCGTTCCAATTCATTCCCCGCCGTTTTTTCCAGCCTGTGCGCCACAATCGAGGACCGCCGCGGTTCAGATCTCTATTCCGGGGGGTGCTATTTGCACCGTGCGGTCATTTGTCTGGTATCGATTCAGGCTAAGAACGCTCAATACGATTTTTTACATATGTTTCCTCCACCCATCAATATCTGCGGCTCGACGAATTTGGTGATGGCCTCTTGCCAAGACTGAGCACGACTCGCCGTGAGCATCACTTGGGTTCAAGGTGAAAAACAATATGTGGTCAGTCGAAGCAACCAAAATAATTTCGGATCTCATCCCACAAATACATTGGAGGATCAAATCTAAGCATATATCGATATTGCTAGTTGTATCTTGTTCAACCTGCCGCAGCAACTTATCATGTCGCCATTTCAAACCCTAACCCGTCCTCGGACGGCGTTCCTGTTCAACATATTGAGTCGGCTCGGTGGTTTTGCTGCGTTTCACAGGGTGCGCTGTTTGCGATCACTTGTGTGTGACAAGGCACCACTTCAGTGGAGTCAGATGACGAGCTACTTTTTAACTGTATGAGACCTGCGGGACAAGACGTCAGCTGAAGATCCAAAGGCTAAAGAACCCACGGTTGACCCCAAAGGTAAATGTAAGGCAAACGCTCCAGGCGGCTCAGGATTCCCAGCGAAGGGAAGTGGAACGCAACAGAACTTGGCGCTGGTGGACACTGTGATTGCGTGAGCCTGAGGGCCATAGTAAGCATACACCAAACATACACTGTGGAGACATTCAACTGCAGCCGCGCAATCTTGGAATCAAGTATTGTTCTCAACAGCGGATTGGAACATCACATTAATAGGCTACTATCACTTCAAATATTGTGGCAGGTAGTACATGCATAAGCATTGACTCTCATGTATCGTGTATGCGTAAATAAAGCATTCAACTACATCGTGTGAAAGCTATTTGTCAGTCAAACTGTAGTTGGTGCGGCCTCGACGTGATTGCCGACTTGCGAAACGACCCTCTAAACCGTTTGCCATGTAACTCTTGTCCCCTCGTATCCCCGCCATGGTATAATTAGACACAAAGCTGCCGATAATTCTTGTACATGCTGATATAGGGTCACGGAGTTGGTGGGGTGAGTGTCACTGGCAGCCTAAACATATTCCCTGGTGATGAGTATTCTGGTCGTTTTCCACTTCTGGACTGAGCGGGTTCATTTAATTCATTAAAGGTATCACGATAACGCCTCCAGTGACCCTAGTCCCCGGTATAAAAGGCAGCCATTTGGGTGGCTGGATTACCGCGCTAAGTCGGCGTAACCTTTCGTTGATCTTCCCTGCCCTATATGTCTATCCAGGAAGAGAAGAAATCCGATTCTTTTACAGAAAATGTTGTCCCAGTGCCGGATGACGGTGATGACTTCAGGTTGTTGAGTGCAGACGCGAGGAAGGCAGCAGAACGGGCACTGGTGCGCAAATTGGACTGCAGACTGATGCCTACTGCTGTGGTCATATACCTCTTGAACTATATTGATGTATGCACACATCCATTTATGAATCTCATTGTGCTCATGTGTACTATGCATAGCGTGTTGCTATTACTGCTGCGCGGCTGCAAGGTTTAGAGCAAGATCTCGGATTGACAAGTGAGTGAAGTGGACCACCGTATTATTCATGCTTAATCGATCCACTAGCCGTTCAGTATGAAACCATTCTGGCTATTCTTTATGTTACTTATTGCCCGGCACAAGTAAGCAAATTTTCTGCAGACTCATGCGAACTTACTCATAACATCTCATCTGCAACCAGATACCTTCGAACATGGTTTGTTTGTGTGCTATTATCTGTGAATGTAAGACTGATTTTGATTGTCAACAGATTTTGAGCTGGATTTCACGGTTGGTTGTGATTGCAAATATACTGATCTGGTCGATACTAACGAGACGTGACTTAGACCATCTATTTATATTGGGGCCTGCGTTATTGGATGGGGTCTTACCAGTGCTTTGACTGGAGTAAGTTTTGTTGGGAAGTTGCAACTGCGATTCGTGCTTGCTAACCGCCGCGCAGGTCACTACTAATTATTCGGGCATCATGGCTTGCCGTGTATTCATTGGTCTTCCTGAGGTAAAAATTTCCTTTTGATAATCATGTGCGCCCTGAACGAGTGCGGCTTTCCATAGGCTGCGTTCTATCCTGGTGTCATGTATCTGCTTTCGCGTTGGTATACCAGGAAGGTGAACATCATATTTTTAGAATCATAGGTTGCAACTTATGCAACAAATTTAGGAACTCGCCGTGCGGTCAGCCTGGTTCTATTGTGGTCTTTTAATCTCGAATGCATTTGGAAGCGTGAGCGTGTTGTCGTCACAGGGACTGCGACGCCTTGATAACGATCCTTTTTAGTTGATTGCAGCTGGAATTCTCGGAAAAATGCAAGGTGTACTAGGACTTTCGGCCTGGAGATGGTAAGACCATCTGTATTCTCAGGAACAGTGCCCTAACCGGGGTTTCGTATCGCAGGTTATTCTACATAGAGGTATATGTTATGCAACCCCTGGATATTGATCTTCTGTGCTGATTGGCCACTTTCTCGGCATAGGGCGCCATCACTATGTCCTTTGGCTTCTTGACCATGTGCGTTTTTGCGAGTTTCTATTTTTACTCAAAGTTAACAGCCACGGTTTTGTCCAGGTGGCTTCTTCCAGATTTTGTAAGCAGAACATCTTTAGAATGAGTTCCGGCCGGTCTGACATGACGTCGCATAGCCCCACAACACTCGATGGCTTAATGCAGCGGAACGCCGCTTGGGTCAAGTTCGCCTTGCAGAAGATGCAGGGGAGGCCGACAAGGATTCTGATGACCTTACGTAAGCCCAGCTCGAGTTCCATCCTTTCCTATTGGGGTTGCTGACAAGGTGCTACCTCATACAACTTTTGTTAATCGGAAAATTGTTCGGAACATCACAGCATTTACGATGGGTTGTGGATGGCTCTCAAGGATCCGAAGACCATAATTTTCATGTTTATGGGCTGCTCGCAACTTCTAGGCCTGAGTTACATCAACTTTTTCCCCACGTAAGTATATGAACAGTCTTGTAGCTATTGCGCTAACATCTACCGAGATAGCTTGACTGCCACGCTTGGTTACGACAATACTATTACATTTTTAATGGCAGCGTAAGCATGACATCCCATTGTTACATGCACAGCCGTGGCTCACCGTCTGATCGCCAGCCCTCCATGGATATTCGCATCAGCCTGCTGCGTACTCAACGCATGGCACGCAGGTACGTCTGATCCCTGGTAATGCAACACAGTCATTTTGACAGAATGAATAGATAAGTCTGGAGAGCGATTCTTCCATATCACTTCCTGGTGGTGGGTAGTCATCCTTGGATATATCGTCTCTCTATCCACCATGGCTACGGGCGGGCGGTACTTTTCCTTGTTCCTGATGACCACAGGATATTGCGGCAAGTTCTGATTATAACGCTGAATATAAGCCTGACACGTTTCCAAAAGGATTTGCCTTGACATTGACCTGGGTTTCAAACGCCATTCCTCGTCCACCGGCAAAACGCGCCGTAGCCATGGGTCTTGTCAACGGGTTTGGAAACCTCGGTAATATGTAAGGCTTTCATGGTCAGCATACTGTCGGATCGCTTGACAAGATTTCATAGGATGGGCTCGTATGTCTGGAATGCTTCGTGGGGTCCTCAATACCATCAATCCATGATCATAGCATTGTGCAGTCTCGTTTTGTCCACAATCCTGAGCCTTTGTGAGCAAAGTCACAACTTGACCGTTCTGATGTACTCACCTATTGATAGTAATGCGGTGGATATTAATCAAAGAGAATAAGAACATGGATATGGAGGAGAAAAAATTAATGGAGGGCCCTGGCCGTGCACGTATTGAAGAGGCTGCTAAATTGGAGGGGATTACATTCGAGGAGGCTATGACAAGAAGGAAGGGCTTCAGGTACCTCTATTGATTATTTTTTTTGCTTCAGATTATAGTGCTTCGGGGTATTGTTGGACATAACTCGTCATAAGCCCTTTGTGACTTTGTCTATTGATATTTAAATTTTGCACCAAACACATACAAATATGCTGTGTTTCGTTGAGTGAACTTTTTAATTTAAATGACTAGTCCGCATTATGCTGCATGAAATTGCTATCGCGTGGTCTTGCATCCATGCAGTTACTTCTCTGCCATGAAATAAATATGTTTCTGCGACCTGCCACGCTGGCAGAACCTGCCAGTTCTGCCGGCAGGACTACATCCAAATGATAGTTCTGCCCACGGTGACCGGGCGTGATGATATCTTATCATCGAACCAGCCGGCACACTACGACCATAACAATAAACCCGAAGTAGAGCGGTACTTCACGTTTTGTTGACGGTCTCCACGCTGCGGAGACGTTGCGTCAGACCCATCCTTACTTAGGCTTGGAGCCCCAGCTTCTGACACAATCGGCTATCGCTCATCGAGATGTTGGACAGTCACACTACACCAGAATGTACGGTATGTACATCATGAAAGACAATCATTTGATAGCATTTTGCTGACAAATTACCGTTCACACATCTCTTGGTGGCAATTGGGCGTTCTGTTGTGCAGAACGGTTCAACCATCATGATCGTTGAATTAGGGAGAACATATAATCATTTGATAACATTTTGCTGACAGGTCATTGTTCACACATCTCTTGATGGCAACTGAGCGTCTTTTGTGCAGAACCCTCCAACCATGTCATGGCATTGCCACGGCCTCAGGCTTCCAATAATTGTGACTACTGCAATTTTGGAAACCGCTCGAAACTCAAATATCGATGTTCAGTGGCACCTGACGTTCAGAACCCTGCTCACTTACTGAGTAATGAGGGCATGAGCTTGCACAATGCATTTCAAACAGCCAACCCATGGCATTGCGGCAGTAGACTATTTGGGATTCCAGGGTTCTTTATCTTATCAATTCTCAGGAGAATCCATGCACGTTGATTTCTCGGGCGTACGCCAAGGACATGTGCCATGTCTGGCAGCCTTATGGGGATGGACACTGCGAAGGTCTGCACTGTCAATCTTGTGATAAGCCATTGAGCCTGTGGAATCAATCTGACTGGATGCCTGGGGCAGGCCACCTTCTGGGAGCATCAGAAGCTGTCGGGCCTGTAGCCGTCTTCTGGCTAGAAGGACATGTCGCAAGATGGAAGGCTTCAAGGAGTAAAGCTTTTGGTCGCTTCCCTGTGGAAAAGATATAAAGGCTTGCGAATTGATTAATGATTGCTCAGCCTTCCATCACCTTTGTTCACTCTTTCGCAAGCTCCTTACAAATACTATGACTATGACCAACAAGGCAAAGCTCGAGGCACTCCTGACTCTGATCAACACATCCGCACGAGATGCCATCGCGTTGTACGAGCAGTATGGTGATGTTCCCGCCATCGACCAGGCCGAACTCCACCCGTTGGACAGTGCGGTCGACCAGGTGGCTTTGAAGAGTGCCGTTCGTACTCTTGAAGGTGCTTGTGCTCAGATATGCGCGACACTCGCTCCACCTGCCCATACTGCGATTAACGTGAGAACTTAGATAATATAATATATTTTGCTTTTGCTCATCGGATTGCACGCAGCTTGTCCAAGTGTATGATCATGCTTGCATCCGAGTGGTTGCTCGGGAACGTGTTTCGGATATTCTGTTGAGGTACCCCAAGGGTCTTCACGTCAACGAGCTCGCCAAAAAAATCAGCGTAGAGCCAAAGAAACTGGCCAGGATCATGCGCCTCCTAGCCACGAGGGGTTGCTACAACGAAGGTAAGAAGTCATTTGTTGCCTGGTTCGATTTCTTCTCACACTGCGGCAGTCGACACGGACGTTTTTGCCAACAACCGACTGTCTCTAATCCTACTCGACGAAAATCCTGTCAAATTCATGATCTTGCTTCATGTGGACCTGATTACCAAGGGAGGATCTGTTTTCTATGAGACGCTCAAAGATCCGAAGATCGCCTACTCGTATGAACCGACGGTTGCACCCATGATGTACGCCATTGACAAAAACGGAACCGAAGGAACGATCTTCGATTGGATGGCGCGGCATGTATGTTTTCAAATATCGCCCGTCAGAAAGCCTTACTCATATGATTTACTCGTAGGACGGCCAACGCGAGGTCGGGATTTTGTCGCTTCGCACGATCATTCTGACATCTCTAGTAGGCTTATCACACATCGATGAGAGGTCTGAACGGCATCATGGGCTCTCTCGCCGTCCTGGCCCGTAAGCATTTCAGCACCCAAAGATGAGATAATTTTATGCTTACTCGATGATAGATTTCCCATTCGAAAAGTACTCGACGGTCGTCGATGTTGGAGGAGGTATCGGAGCATTTTCTCTGCCTTTGGCTAACACGCACAAAAACGTCAAAATCACGATCCACGATCTTCCGGAAGCATTAGTCCAGACGAGAGACGTAAGCCAGTAAGCCAATGTGCTTGTCACCAAATTGATGGGATCTAGCTCTGGGCGAAAGAATGCCCCGAAGCCCTGGCAGAAGACAGAGTCGAGTTCGTGGACTTGAACTTCTTCGAACAAGTGCCCGTCAAGGGCAAGGACATCTACTACGTAAGTGCTAAACTCTGTGAGGACAAACTGCGAAGTTAACGGTGACCGCAGCTCAGAAATATCATCCACGACTGGCCCGACCACGAGTCTACGATCATTCTTTCAAACATTCGCAAGGCGCTCGGTCCAAACAGCCGCGTCCTCATCCGTATGTCGAATATAGCGCCATCATCGTCCCGCAGTCTGACAAATTTTAGATGACTACGTGCTCCGTGGGCTCAGCCGCAAGCAGGCAGCAATAGAAGCTCCGGAGCTCGGAGCTGCTTCGGTATGTCATATCTGCTGATCTGCATCCACCTTTTTTCATCACCGCATCTAGGCTCCTGAACCCCTTCTTGCAAACTTTGGTGTTGGAAATATGCGTTCATACCAGCAAGACATGACTATGTTGTTCGCCCACAACGCAAAGGAGCGAACATTGCAAGACTCCCTCGCACTCGCGTGAGCAACACTCGATTGCTGCCTTGGTTTCACCTGATTGGTTTGGAATAGTACCGTCGCCGGCCTGAAACTGGAGAAGGTCTGGGACCTCGCTGAATCATGCGTCTTGGAGTATTCTGCCGCATAAGATTTCGCGGATTAATTAGATGTGTTCATCCACATATATCATACTGTACGCCACATCCTTACCAGAATACCCCTCGATGATACACCCCCTTATTCCTCAGATGCATGTCTGGCCTTCCCTTCCCTGGCTACTATTCGCGCTCACAAAAAAAGCAGTGAACTCCAGCGATACGCATACTGAAGATCTTTCCGCCCCATTTTTCCTAATTCACAGAATTAGAATTTTCGATATCCCCAACTCCATGTTCGGGGCACTCGGTCACATTGAATTACAGTTAAGTCACAGAATATAGCGGAATTACACTTTGACAATTCTGTCGGTTTTCATTGCAAACTAATCTTTTTTGGCTGCTGGACTTCTTCAGCAGTGCCAAATCGCAAACTATGCATTCATTATTGCTATGTAAATAATATAATGACACCTGCGCTACTGTTGTCTCCAATGACGAAAACACATGGCATTCTCTTTCTCCTACAAGTTATTATAATGGTGCAAGTAAAGACAACAAACGAAAACAACAATTTGAAGTCACGGAGAATGAGATGAATTCAATCAATTTCTATCTTCTGAACAACTGGCTGAACCTTTTCAAATCAACCTATCGCAGATCGCTGATCAGCGAGTCCGTCTGGACCTCGGGCTGTATGGTGCGACAAGTACCCCAATGGCCTGATGACAGGAAACTGTGTAAAGATTTCACAGATAATGACGTGTCTGAGCTAGCAGATTAATGACTGTGGCTGGCATTGCACGAACCAGTATCACAGATCGGACATAGTCAGGAGAAATTTAGGGCGAAAAGGTTTTCCAGATGGGCATTGCAGGTATTTGATTCTTTATTTGTTAACACGAATAGAAGTTAAGGAGAGTGAGGTTACACGTGCATCTGAGGAATAAGGGGGTGTATCATCGACGCGTGTTGTGGTAGGTATGTGGCGTGCAGTATGATATATGTGGATGAACACATCTAATCAGCTCACGAAATATTATGCGGCAGAATACTCCATGACGCATGATTCAGCGAGGTCCCAGACCTTCTCCAGTTTCAGGCCGGCGACGGTACTATTCCGAACCAATCAGGTGAAACCAAGGCAGTAATCGAACGTTACTCACGTGAGTGCCAGGAAGTCTTGCAATGTTCGCTCCTTTGCGTTGTGGGCGAACAACATAGTCATGTCTTGCTGGTATGAACGCATATTTCCAACACCAAAGTTTGCAAGAAGAGGTTCAGGTGCCTAGGTACGGGGATGAACAAAGGTGGATGTAGATCAGCAGAGATGACATACCGAAGCAACTCCGAGCTCTGAATGGTCTATTGCTGCCTGCTTGCGGCTGAGCTGACGGAGCACGTAGTCATCTGAAATTTGTCAGACTGCGGGACGATGATGGCGCTATATTCGACATACGGATGAGGACGCGGCTGTTTGGACCGAGCGCCTTGCGAATGTTTGAAAGAATGATCGTAGACTCGTGGTCGGGCCAGTCGTGGATGATATTTCTGAGCTGCGGTACACCGTTAACTTCGCAGTTTGTCCTCACAGAGTTTAGCACTTACGTAGTAGATGTCCTTGCCCTTGACGGGCACTTGTTCGAAGAAGTTCAAGTCCACGAACTCGACTCTGTCTTCTGCCAGGGCTTCGGGGCATTCTTTCGCCCAGAGCTAGATTCCATCAATTTGGTGACAAGCACATTGGCTTGCTGGCTTACGTCTCTCGTCTGGACTAATGCTTCCGGAAGATCGTGGATCGTGATTTTGACGTTTTTGTGCGTGTTAGCCAAAGGCAGAGAAAATGCTCCGACACCTCCTCCAACATCGACGACCGTCGAGTACTTTTCGAATGGGAAATCTATCATCGAGTAAGCATAAAATTATCTCATCTTTGGGTGCTGAAATGCTTACGGGCCAGGACGGCGAGGGAGCCCATGATGCCGTTCAGGCCTCTCATCGATGTGTGATAGGCCTACTAGAGATGTCAGAATGATCGTGCGAAGCAACCAAAATCCCTACCTCGCGTTGGCCGTCCTACGAGTAAACCATATGAGCAAGACTTTCTGACGAGCGATATTTGAAAACATACATGCCGCGCCATCCAATCGAAGATCGTGCCTTCGGTTCCATTTTTGTCAATGGAGTACATCACGGGTGCAACCGTCGGTTCATACGAGTAGGCGATCTTCGGATCTTTGAGCGTCTCATAGAAAACAGATCCTCCTTTGGTAATTAGGTCCACGTGAAGCAAGATCATGTATTTGACAGGATTTTCTTCGAGTAGGATTAGAGACAGTCGGTTGTTGGCAAAAACGTCCGTGTCGACTGCCGCAGTGTGAGAAGAAATCGAACCAGGCAACAAATGGCTCCTTACCTTCGTTGTAGCAACCTCTCGTGGCTAGGAGGCGCATGATCCTGGCCAGTTTCTTTGGCTCTACGCTGATTTTTTTGGCGAGCTCGTTGACGTGAAGACCCTTGGGGTACTTCAACAGAATATCCGAGACACGTTCCCGAGCAACCACTCGGACGCAAGCATGATCATACACTTGGACAAGCTGCGTGCAATCCGATGAGCAAAAGCAAAATATATTATATCATCCAAGTTCTCACGTTAACCGCAGTATGGGCAGGTGGAGCGAGTGTCGTGCATATCTGCGCACAAGCACCTTCAAGAATACGAACGGCACTCTTCAAAGCCACCTGGTCGACCGCACTGTCCAACGGGTGGAGTTCGACCTGGTCGATGGCGGGAACATCACCATACTGCTCGTACAACGCAATGGCATCCCGTGCGGATGTGTTGATCAGAGTCAGGAGTGCCTCGAGTTTTGCCTTGTTGGCCATCGTCGTAGTATTTGTAAGGAGCTTGCGAAAGAGTGAACAAAGGTGATGGAAGGCTGAGCAAACAATTCGCAAGCCTTTATATTTTTTCCATAGTGGAGCGACTGCAAGCCTTGCTTCTTGTGGAGGTGACCTACCCCGGTCATCTAGTTGAATAAATTTCACACGCTCAATGGCTTATCACAAGATTAACAATGCAGACCTTCGCGCAGCATCTATTCCCATCACGCTGCCGGACATGAGACTTGCAGATTTCCTTGGCGTACGCCAGAGAAATCAACATGCGTAAATTATTTCTAGTTTTCCTGGGAATTGATAAGATATTGTCGGAATCTTGAAATCCCAAATAGTCTACCGTCGCAGTGCCTTGGTTTGGCTGTCCGTTATGCAGGGTGCCAGTCTACGCCCGATATTTAGCAAGTGAGCGGGGTCCTGAGCGTCAAGTGCCGCTGAACAAGAGTGCTTGAGTTTCGAGTGGTTTCCCAAATTGCAGCAACAGTTGAATACTTTCATGGAAGCCTGAGGCCGCGGCTATGTCATATAATCGGATACGGTTGAACGGTTCTGCACGAGAAGACGCCCAACTGCCATCAAGAAATGTGTGAATGGTAACTTTCCAGTAAAGTGCTAACAATACTATCTGTTCTCATTGATTCAACGACGGAGATACCATTGTTGGTGTCGACACTCTGACACACAGTGTGACTGTCCAACATCTCGATGAGCGATAACCGATAGTGTCAGAAACTGGGGCTCGAAGCCTAAGTAGTCTGCTGACTCTGGGATTATTGTGATCTGTTCTGGTTGTAGTGTGTCCGAATGTCGGCTGGTTGATTTTCAGGCTAGCTCGGATGATGGGACATCCGACAGGTGCGGCTACTGGCAGACTGGTGGTCAGTGATCAATGATGAGTTTCGAATGAATTTTGAAATTACGGTTTGTTATACAAAGCTTGTTGAAATACAGATCCTGGTAGACAGTCGTCAGGAGACCACATCACAGCGAGATAGCCAAAAAGACTATTGCATCCTGTCATGGAGAAAGGCGCATGGTAACTTGTCAGAATACCATTGATATCGATAATTTTAAACATGAAACAAGATAAGTTCGAACAAGGACCTACTAGTACATACGTGGCAATTACATCAGGAACTATGCTGACTCATACTGAAAAGCGGTTAGCAAGCGGTGACTCTGTTGCTCACTAGTAGGTGAGAGAAACTTAGAACGCAGTGCCTCCCACCCGATTGTCTTATTTAAATGATTATTATCTTGTCAAGCGATTGAGCTTCTCATGTTGCCAGACTGTTGGACAGCTCTCACTAGGTATGCCTCAAACCCCTCATAGTATGTACGTATACAGTCACTGGCAATAGATTCAATTCGGTCGAAGTCAACCGTGACGCTGATTTTGTCTTTCCTCAATATTGATATAGGTTTATCACTAACGCAATAGATTCTGATGCCGCTGCATGTGCATGTTATATGATAGGTACACCAAAATTCCTTTTGCGTACTAACCGCATTGAAGGAGGCGCTGAACGTCGAAACCCGTCTGCACTCGAGTACATCGTCCGTGAAAAAGCGAAAGGCGTTAACTTGGCGTCAGCCACTGCTAGAGTCGAAGTTACCCTCCAGAAAGGTAGGACAAATTGGTGACCCTTGAAGGCAAGTGCCAATTCACTGGCACAGTCTCTTCATATCCTACCACTGATAATCTCACTTTCATTGAGCAATTTGAAAGTGTTCCCCACATCATGGACGGGCCGCAATGATTAAGAACCCTTGATTTACCCGACAAGGCTCGGTGCTAATGGCGTTGCAATGGTTCCTGCGCGAAGCTCTTACTGACCTGGGCCCGGCATCCGTCACAGACTCGCCTATACCCCTCCAAGCAGAAACAACGTTACACAGATAAGCATCTGTCGTGGATGTCAACGCTGGTTTCAATATCAGCCTCCACCTTATCCACTTCTAAGAACGCTAGAAGCATCCGGACGACTACAGATCCGCCTTTCCCGGGCTTTTCCCACTTCCTAAAACGTCTGGTTTTGAGAGTACTACTTCAACGCCGGTTTCCCCGAACTCTGCTCAGTGATGGTTACACGGTCTTTGTGAGTTCATTTGCTCTGGTGGCGTCTAGGTAGCGTTGCAATTGTGTTTCGGCTAAATATATAGCCTTGGGATATGCGAATTGGTGAGCATGTTACATATTTCATTGATGTAGAAATCTCTGGAAAACTGATTTGACTTTCTGATTCTGGTCGTGCTTTCAACTCGTCCACGATAATATTTCGTAGGGTGTTACCGATCCATGGGGTCTCGTCTGATCAACTGGCTAGGTGGCGTTGGTCGGGGATACTGTTTGTGGTCTCGGTACCTGGATCTCGTACAACGAGAAACATCACGCTGACATCGAAGGTTCTGTCGTGAGTTGTCTGGCGTGGGAGGCGGCACTCAGGAGTAACCTGGTTTATGTGAGCCTCGTTGCTTATGGTACTCATCGGGACAGCGATCATCACATGGCTAGATGGCCGAGCGGTCTAAGGCGCTGGAATCAGGATCCAGTCCGAAAGGGCGTGAGTTCGAATCTCACTCTAGTCAAATTCTTTTTCTTTTTCCTCTATAAAAAGGAGTCATCCTTTGAATAGGGCTAGGGTAATAACGTGTTAAAGATCCAACAAATACATAAATGTGTGAGCCAAAAAAGTGTATGGTGAGTAGTATTCTAGTTGGAGGTATAACACTGTAGGCAAAGTTACTAAAGGTCCGAAGTGGTGTCGGAGTCTGGAGGCCCTTCCTTCCATTTCTCCCACATCTTTCTGCAAACCGTGCTGGCAAGGACAAAGGGATCGGGCGTCCTTGCTTTTTCCCACATGCGGACAGCGAGTTCAGCATGGGCGCCCGATTCAAAACTACGTTGTAAAGTGGTCAAAACCTTGAAGGATGGTGAAAGAAGGTCGTGGATTGGTTCCAACAAAGGGGTGAGGGGAGGAGGTAGTTTTACTAAAGTAGACTCTTGCCTGGAATAAACACGATTAAGCTTGATTTGCGATTAATGCCATAAGTGACTCACCATGGATGTCTGGCCTCTTGCTTAGGGAACAACTGCCCATCGACTGGATATGGCGTGCCCTCGAGCTGGATGTTGTCTCCATCTGTAGGCGTGCTGTGAAACTGCTCCCCTGATTGTCTCTGATGTTCTGCCCAATAATCGTCCCACTGCTTCTGCACCTCGTCCTTGTGGCGCTGCCAATGATCCTGGTGATCCAAATCCCACATCATGAGGTCCAATCTCTCCTGCGTTGCCCACCGACTCCTACTCGTCCAAAGGTACCAGCCCTCCTCCCAATACCGTATGTCATCAGACTTGGGTGTTGATAAGTTGTCTACATTAGGCTGGCCCTCAGGTGGAAGGGGGTAACCGTATTGCTTTTGAGCGGCTTTCTCCTTCAGTGCATCATCGTGTGCGATTGCTGTTCTAACTTCATGAGCAAAGACCCTGCGGAAGCATACTGAACGACACGTCGGTTCGCGGCCCTCGGTGCGTCCACGGGTAGTCTGAGAGCAGTACGAAAAGCAGCGCTCATCGGTCTGTGGTGAAAACTTTCCTGTAAAAGCACGGATGATATTAAACTCGAATCCGGGAAGTAGAGAAGATTGGCAGCTTGCCAGAGGGGTGCCGAGTCACTGAAATAGAAGGAAGTGGCCACATACTTGAGCGGCTTTGCGGTTCCTTGCGCGTGGTGGATTGGGTGGCAGTGTTATGAGGCAGCTCCTTTCCAGTGGAGTCCTTATTTTCTGCGTCTGGAGAGTCCATTGGGTTACTCATAGGAGTACACGGTGACAGTCGGTTAACAAGGGCTTTGGTGCATGAGTCTCGCAGCCCCGCATCGGCGTCTCGGCAAAATTAGGTTCGGAGTTTTAATTATGCCCATAACAGAAACGGTCACAAAATTTTGTCCCTTCAACCGCATCGTCTGAAGATTCGCTGTCGCAGCACACGCACGGAAAGGTTTTACTTTCTTCTTTGGCTGCGGGGAAAGTCCCCGGAGAAACAGGGTTATACCTCCTCGTTCGCAATGGAAATCTCCCAGCTCTAAGAGCGCTGCGGGGAACGAGACTGGTGGGGAAGGTCGATTTACTGGACTTGTTGCCATCAGGCTCAGGACCAGTTCCGCTTGCCTGCCCTGTTGCTTTCTTGATTTCGAGTGCTCTTCTAACTGCACGGCTATGCGAAGATATGAGCCTGGTCGTGTTCGAGTATCTTGGAAGACGGTTGGCGCTTCGTTGCTCATAGACATAGTTATGCGATTGTCGACACTGCTTCTGGCATGTCATCAACTCAATGGGGCTCACTCTCATTCGATGTGGTTTCCCACCTTTGGGCGTTATTTTTTGACCTTCCGAACGCTTGCCGTTCGACCCATCTAATTCTGTGTGGGTTTTAATTATGGTGAGTAACTGTTTCGTTTTGGTTGACTTATGATGTTGGTTTTTTCGTTGAATTTCTTCAGGGAGTTGACCTCTTTCGAGGGTGTGCTCCACAACTTGACATCCCCTGACATTCTTTGTCTTCTTGAAAACTTGTTTCTGACTCGTCCTTTGTTAGATGCAAATCATGGGCCTTTCAAATCGGACAGCCGGAGTTGTAAATAACGTGTTGTAGGTCTGGCTCGTATTTTTGTTGTCTATGTAAATTTTAGAGTTTCGGTGAAGACGTTGCACCTTCGGAAAATTGTTTGTGACCAAATGGAGTAAAAGTTTTGCTACAATGTTTGTTCTGCAGTAAGTACATATAGTGTCATCAAGTGCAAACGCGACAACTTTACTTTTTATCTACCGTGGTCGGTGGTTCTTTGATCGACAATGACATGAGGCAACGAGTATAAATCGATGTGAATCAGTCATTTGATCCTCACTTCATAAATCTCTCGATAACGTATTCAGTGGCGGCAGCAAATACTGATGTCCGACCCGGGCCTGCAAGAGATTCTCGCGCGCTACTCTGATCCATCCCAAAACCCATACGTGCAAGTCCGATCACAGGTGCGTGGTGCACTTCTCTGAAGAAATACACTGATACCTTGACTTTCAGACGCCCGAGCCGAGTTCATCGCAGCATGTGGCGCAAACGCTACATTCTGGATTTAACATGCCCTTAGGCACTCCTTCCGCCAACCAGTGGAAATCAAGATGGAAGCTAGATATGAAAGTGGTCAGTAACATATTAGTTTTGTGGCGCCGTGTGCTAAGGCGCCACATCGCAGTTCGAGAAACCCCTGCAGGTGCTGGACTCTAGAGGATATTATATCCAGTTTCCGACTTCGAGGTCGGTTTATCACGATGAAAGTCCTCATGAATTCTGATTAGGCCTGCAGGACCCATTCACAGTCATGCGTGCAGCAGATTCTGCCAGAGCATGCCAACTCTGCCGAGTCTTCATGCTACGCAGATGCGAATTTACGTGTCATGTCAACCCCTACGCACGATGCTGCACCTGTGAATCACACACAATCAGCTTCTGATGTTCCACACATGCTCTCTTCCCAGTAGGTATTGTTATTCGCATAGATACAGGCAATCTGATAGCAGTTCTAGATCCTATGTTTCCCAAAGGCTCTGGTCCAAGTAGGTGCCGTTATTCACGCACATACACAATCTGACATCAGTTCTAGACATCAGTCAGACTCTGAAGCTATCGAGGAGACGATGAGTGTCCCGGCTCTTACCAGCCTTGACGTACAGTCTTCCGCGTCTGGCGGTCATGTAGACCCTATCTTTATCGCCAATGAATCAGATGTATCGTTCATGTCAGATCTATATAGGCCGACGCTGATAGACGCAACAACGGACAAAGAGAGAGGGGGAACAGATGAGGAAAAGGCAGATTCAAGAAGGGAAGCAGAGAACAGGGAAGCAGAAAAATTGGAGATAGAAAGAATGGGGATACAAGAAATGGAGTTGGCAACCAGGGAAGCAGAGACAAGGGAAATCGAACGAATAGAAATAGAGAAACCGGAGATAGAGAGCCAGGAGTCTATAGTGGCTAACGAGGCAGGGACAAAGAAAGAGCCACGAGTTTCTCCCGCCACGAATACCTCAAAACTTCTTCGAACAGAGCGCAAGCTTAACAAGAAGGATCTCTTCATGGGCTGGTACAAGTCCAGGGGCTCGTCAGAGCTTCGGTACCCGCGCGAGTGCATAGCACCCAAGATCGGCGATGTCTATGTGCACTCCTGCAAGAAAGAGGGCCATCCGAAGTTTCAGCTATGGGTGCGACAGATCAGCCGTGGGATGACCATCTGGGTCAAAGCTCACATTTTCCACATACACCCCAAATTACTCGACCGCAGATTAACGCTGGCGACGACAGGGGAACCCTACTGGTCAACGAGACTTTCGCTTTCGGCTTCGGGAAGTCGGGAGAGAGCTGGCAAGATTGCAGACATGATTCTGTATTGACTAGCTTGGTGGCTTGGTCCTGCAGATGGTACTACTTTACACTAGGGCTGACCCAGACGATAATGACATACTACAATACTACTAACCTCAGGCAATCTAGGGACCTTGTACAATTACCGTTGACTTACTACGATCTTCACTTGATTTTCTAGGTGTAGCGATGTGCAAATGGTGACTTCATATCTAAGTTTTGAGACGTGGCACTAGCACACAAGACAACTTGTAAAATATGTCGTTCAAGACGTTTATTTACCCACATGCCAAGACTGTTGGAAGCTCAAACGTGTCCCTGGAAGTATGGCAGGTTTGCAAACCCTCAAAAAGGATGACCCGTCCCATGTCGTACGCCTTTGCCACTCGGGATAGCAGTCGGAAACTTCTGCAGACGAAAGAAAGAGACACTTCTCACTTTACTAGGTCTGCCTTCGTAACTGGACTCTGCGTCAACTGTATCTGGTAACCATCGTGGAATCACTGCGCATTCCCATATAGGGGTAATGGTCGCTGCTTCAAAGCCGATAAGACCAGTCATTCAAACTGTATCCGCATCTGTAAAAAGTGCCAATCCGCTGAAGATAGAATCCCTTGGTACTGCTGTGAACATCCAAATATAGTGGAGGATCGACATCTGTTGGGATCGACACTTGATGAGACGCATGTGTCGGGAACACGAACAATATCATTGAGAGCATGGCAAAATGGTGTGCCAATTATGGGTTCAACGACGAAGTGGACTGAAAAAGGGCTCAAGTAAAGAGATCTCGCTCTTTCCAATTGTAGAGCGAATATCCAGAAGATGGTGTGTAACCTGATCACGGTCTTTCCTATCTCCAGTTCTGACTGGGAGGGGTACCTTTATGTAAGTGCGTGGGGCATGAGTGAGACAAGACAAGTTAGGTTTTTCGCGACCTACTTTTTCATGTATTACGCCCAAACATTTTTCGATGCATCAGAGTCCCGTGAATAGATGAGTGCAGCAGTGACCTCGCAAGTCGCCACTTTTGCCAAAAAAAAAGAATGACCTTTGATACCAGCACGAATAAGATATATCTGTAGCACCTCCAAATCTAGCTTATCCTTCGTAGACAAGAATGAGGCTACCCGAATTCATTGATATGACATCAAAAAGGGTGTCATTCTAACCACGGGATATGATCATATAACCATTTACCCATGGTTGAATATCGAGTAATAAGTTGTACCAGGTAGAGGTCAGACGTACCCTGTGATGATATTTATCAGTCAGCTTCTGCAACCTGACTTGTCAAAAAGTGATTTATTAACGACCCTCGAACTTGTCGTCGTTCGCGCACTTTGAAGACCCACGTTTGATATATCCCGACTGGTACATGCTTTTGTTTTTTGAAAATGGCGTTGAAATGAGGTCACATCTCAAGTCGCTTTCGATACTACGGCCGTACTACACCGTGACAAGGTAAAGCATGGAAATTTCAAAGGATGGTCACCGACGGTGTAAGATGAAGTTCTGATTTGATTCATTTGAATGGACTCACCTCGTGGTCCGTGGGAAAAGTTGAAAGATGATCCCCTTGCAGGACACTTCACCTTTGGCTACGGAAGGTAATCGTCGCTCCCAAGAGCTCGTTGATATATGTCTCAATCCGATCACATACAGGCGCATCTGTCCAGGACGCTACTTTTCCGAGCTCTCTCTATGGGCTGCCGTTGTTTGTATGCTGTCCACTGTTCGGATCACGAAAGCCAAAGACTCGGAAGGCAAGTATATTCCAGTGATTCCGGAGCATACTACTAGTCTCGCTGTGTTAGCAGGAGATTAGGACTCTTGTGGCATGCCTTATTGATCTGATCCTGAGTCATGACTGTTACAATGCACTACTAGCCCCTAAGAATTGAAATGTAGCTCGGTGAACAGCAAGGAGCTAATAAGTTGAATTTTGCAACGAGAAAAGCATAGTAAATTTATATATGTATTATCTGTGGAATACATAACGGCATGGGGCTTTACCAACATGAAACTCCGTCATTGTTCAAATCCCTCTACTTGTCTCTATATCTTTCAATGAGATGTTGCTCCTCTCACACATTCTGCGGAAAATTCCACCCTCCATTTTGAAGAGATTGGATGGTGTGTCAAATTCCTTCGAGAAGGTGTGAGTTGGTGACGGCTGAAAGACGTTCAAATATCAACCTACTGCAACAAGGCCAGCATCGAGGACCAGAATCCGGTCGTATGAAATGATAGTTCGAAGTCGGTCTAAGGTATCATTAATTCTCCAGTATTGTACCGAGTACAAAAATGAGATAACGCACGAGCAATACAAAGTAGTGTGCGGTCCTGAAATTCCGTTTGGATTGTGTGCTGAATCTTGTTATCAGTATCGAGATCGACAGAGGCTCTAAAATGATCAACACCACACGTCCAGGAGAAGAGCATATAACTAACGTGGCCTCATCAAGCACAACGACTTTGCAGTCTTTCACTAGAGCACGAGCTAGACTGAGTAGAGATCTCTCCCCAACACTGAGGTTCGCTCCCTCGCTTTCGATGGTGCTGTCAAGGCTGTGGCGTCCGACGTCATCAATGGAGCATGCCTGTTTCGAAGTGATGCTAGAATCAAACAGACAAGATCGTTGCAGCGCGTCCCACAGCTCCGCGTCACTGTGATGGGAAAGTGGATCCAGGTTCGAGCGCATGGTCCCTGGTAATCCTTAAGCTTCAAACAAGAGTATGTAGATTTACGGCACTAACCGCTAAATAGAAGAGGCTATCGAGTTTGTACATCAGTCCTTGCTGTGTTAGCGTGTGCATGGAAACTTTACAAACATCTTGTGGGATAATAGAAATCTTGGAGCGGAGATCTTTAAGGCCAATTGTAGATATATCGACACTGGAAGCGGTGAAAACCAATATATTTGTCACGAGGGACAACCGACGTACCCATCAATGGTGATTGAACCGCCAGACAACTCAACAATTCGAAACAGTGCGAGCATCAACGAAGATTTGCCAGCACCAGTCCTGAAGGAACATTGCATTAGCACATTTTCGTAGATCCGACAAACTAGCTAACCGTCCCACAATGCCTATCTTTTCGCCTCCCCTGACTTTGACTGAGATTCCCCTCAACACATTGGGAAGGCCTGGTCGATATGCCATTTTAACGTCGTTAAATTCGACCGCTCCATGTTCGGGCCATTGCGCTGAGGGTTTTCGTTCTTCAATCTCATGGGGAGCCTCTCGAGGCATCGTGTCGCTTGCGACGTACTGTACCACTGCGAGGTGTAAGCGAGATATCATCAAAATTAGTGGCTCACATCGTTCCACTGCATTCATGTAATTCTGAGGCAAACGACGATTGAATAGCCTGTATCAGAAGATAAGGAACGCCTCACCTCAACGTCTGCTGTTTGTCTGGTTAACTGGCTACATGTTTGTGACAGGACGGCTTTGACACAAGATTCATCATGTATACTTTAGTGGCGACATCAGGAGACTCACTGGTATACGTCAGTACCAACCCTATCTGGGCTGCGTTTATCCCGGAGACGTCCATCACCGCTAGAAGAGCAACCTAGCATTCGTTGAACGTAAGGTCACGGTTTTTACCATTCAATAGATGCCTACAAGGAAGATTAATATGCTTCCCATAACGTCTAACCTTATTGCAAGCCATCTGAGAGAAACTAATGAACCAACAAACGCCAAGATATGTATAAGGTAACCCACCTCTGGTTCGTAATAACGATGTATAGAGCTCTGTCCTCCAGATCAACGTAGTATCTATTGGCGGCAATGAACCGCTTCATTTCTCCGTAGCTTCGTATGGTAGGAATTCCTGTTAAAGTCTCCGAAAAGTGGGCATACAGAAGAGAGCGAAGCATAGAGTCTGATGAACAATATCAGCAGCGTATTTCTAGGTCAGCAGCACCATAACAAACCCAGGCGTTTAACCTCACGGGCACTGGCTCGATAGAACGCAGCGAAGTAGCTATAACCAAGAGCGATGAAGAATACAACAATAACTAGACAAGCATGAATCATATCCTTGCAAAATTATGTCTATTTACTGACCAAAGTATGGTTCAAGGATAGAAATGATGGTGATGGAGCTCATAAGGGTGGACTAGCGTATAGACAACTGGATCTCCATAGTCAGTGTCTGTAAGCAAAGTGTGCGGCTGACGTACGCCACCTCATTGACTCTGGACCATGCATGAGTAACATTTCACCGTGCGGTGACAAATGACTCACGTGGTAATTGATTGTCAATACCTGAGAAAAAGGTTTCAGCAAAGTATAGCAAAACACAAGTCAGTGAGATGCTGACTATCGATATCTTTGCCAAAGATGCTCAAGATTCGCCCCACAGGCTACAGGAATATATTATGCATCTGTTTGGGCGCTTCCATACACAACCACTCACTGTAGTGTCGAAGAAGGACATTGGTGCATGAAAGACATTACGTACGGACCTGTGGTGCAGGTTTTGAGATACATAAGAAGAAATTATATCCATTCCGATACAACTGCATTGAATGAGCGTGCCGTCATCTGCGGTGGGAACCGACTTACGGGAAGAATGTGAAGATTGCTTGAGCAACCCCTAGACAGCCATACAGCGTCTGATAGAACGAGTTTGGTCGTTCGAATTTACTGCGCCAGGATTTTAGAGAGGGACCAAGTCGATAAAAAGACACTGACTTGCTCTCCCACCAAACTAGCACGTACGAATTCAAGATCAGGCTTCCCTGCATCGCAAGGACGAATAAAAGTAGTAAGGACCTGTTATTGAAGCGCGTCCCGCAACCAGATAGGTCCAGTATACTGTGAAACTGCTTCAACCTCAGGAAACCCTTCAGATGAGCTTGATCGCACCTCCCCAGATCACAGAGCCCGTCGACCGCCTCTCTTTAACGATCAAGCGACCCTCGAGTATGCCATTGCCAGTAGCCTCTTTTCTGGCTTGTTCTGACTTCAACTTCACATCTTCGATGGTAATGCCTGTTTGCGGAGTGACTCCCTCTGCCTGGCCATCATCATTCTCATCCGACACATGACCACCGAACTCCAGGTCCAGACGCGCAAAGTCTCCGCCGCGGGAGATTAATTCCTCGTAAGTCCCGCTCTCTGTAATGATGCCATTGTTCAGAGTATAGATGTAATCTACTTGGGAGAGGAAGTGGATCGCATGCGTGACTAGAATGACGGTAATGCCACGATTTCGCAGGGCACCCACGATGGCATCTTGGAATAACGATTTTCCGACGTGAGCATCCACTGAAGGCATTCATTAGGCCTGATAGACATAAGATAAACCACATTGCTCACCTGCCGAGAGCGGGTCATCAAGGATGGCAACTTCAGGGTTAAAGTACAGAGCACGAGCAAGGTTGACCTGTGTGGAAAATCAAATTCGAGTCCTATCACGGAGATGCCATGAACTCACTCTCTGCTTTTGGCCACCGCTGAGATTGATCCCCTTTTCTCCAATCTGAAATAGAGCATAAACAGTGATATCAAGTTGGATTCATCCGCCATACCTCAGTCAAATCCCCATCTGGGAGCAGTTGGAGATCAGGAAGTAGACAAGCGATCTCAACAACGCGCCAGTATCTGTCTTCCTCGAAACGTTGGCCAAAAGTGATATTATCACGCTGGGGTAAGATATCAGATCTATTCGCTCTTTGAGAGCGACGCTGTGCTAACCAATGTAGTATTCTGGATCCATGCGGTCTGCGGGCAATAACCAATGCGTCCGCCAAACGAGACATGCCCAGAGACCTTCCTCATCTCTCCTATTAGACCTTGCAATAAACTGGACTGTTCATGGGTCAGTAGTCATTTTAAGTATCTCATTCGAGAAGATTACCTTGCCGCTTCCGACAGGCCCAACTATAGCGACGAGCTGGCCTCGTTGGATGGTCATGGTCACATTCTTTACCTTAAAGAGAGGGGCTTCCTTTCCGGGAACGGGCTTTTCCATCTTCATGTCCTCCGTCACGCTCCTGTCCTTGCCCTTTGGTGAACTGCCGTCGCCGGGTGCGCCAGTCTTCAAGCTCAAAGCATGACCAGAATCTTTCGCGAACGACTCCCACTCGAACGTCGCACCCTTCACCAGAAGCGCAGGTTCTTGGTCCTTGTCGATCACAAGTGTATCTCCAGAAATAAGCTCTGCGTGAAACACATGCGTGAGCCGCTGAATTGCGCTAGATGCATCAGGGATAGCTGATAGAGCGCGAGGCAGAAAGAACATCGGTTGCCTGAGAAGCTATTTGTCGATATATCAGGTGCATGTTTATGTACGCTGCGGGACACGACCTCACCTGGAACAAACTCAGCGAGCTGAATATGATGGCAACATTAAAGTTGTGTGCCGTAAGGGTGTACGTGACGAAAGCTAGTGTAGCGGCGAGGACTGGGACCGAACAAGCGAGTGCCAAGCTGGGTGGATTTCATCAGCAAGCGTCGCCATGCTATCACCATCTGGACCTACTTCGCCGAATTCGCATGGAGAATCCATCGAACACCACGCAGTTCCTTCTTTCGAAGCTCAAATATTTCTAAGCAGCGGTCGTGAGCATGCTGCTATTCCTCGATTCAGCATACTTACTTTGAAGGAATAGGATCTCGTATGAGAAATACTTGACAACGCGTATGGCCCCTGTGCATCTCTTCAGTATCCTTGCACGTCCCAGAAGCCCCAAGTTTACGTACCGAGTACCTCTAGCAGGACCTTGGCTCGCTGATCAGTCCATTTCATCGACTCTAAGCGAATACGGTGCTGCAGTGCCATTGACTTCTGTTGAAGTGGAATCATGAGGGCGAATAGCGAGAAACCAGCAAGAGCAGATGGCCCAAGCTAGTTTTCACGCGCCGTTAGAACAAACCGAAGTCTTCGAAATATAACAAACCTGGGTCAAGAGAATGATCAAACAAACTATGATTTGAATAGGCGCGGTCCAGGCTTGACAACAGTAAGTTATCTCAATATGAATGTCACTAGCCCCATATACTGACACATGTGCTGGTAGCGAGATTAGTCAACGACGCGCGCATACACTTCAGTATGCGACTCACCAACCATTGAGCAGCCGCATCAATCCTGCTCACGTCTGTCGAAATATGATTGACCAACGCGGCGTTGCTGAGTTTGACACGTGCTTTGCCTGTGAGGTTTACTCCACGCTCATAAATGCATGTTATCAGTGCAGCCCTAGCCAGTACGCCTGTCGACATTGAACGCCAATAGAACTTGGAATGCGTAAGGTGAGCCGAGCTTATCTTCAAGTCACAAAGTTTCACAAACAGACCTGGTGGTTGCAGATGCTGACCGTCAAGGTAAGCGCAAAGAGCCCAATAGCCATGGCAATACCACGACCAATATTAGGCACAGGTTCTCCGGCAGTATTGGCAGCAGAACGCTCCTCCGCAAAAACGATGATTTGCTGTAGGGAAGAACAAATATCAGATGTTACCACAACCAAACACAGGTTGCTGTTTACCCGAAGGACGACAGGACCCATGAGCTGTATCGTATCGCCAAAGACCTGAATCGTGTCACAAATTATTATCATAAAAGTAATTCAGGAGGAAGTCCCATGCCTTGAATGCACCTCCTATCCAGAACATACTAAGAAAGACATCATTCAAGGCCCAAGTAAGACTGGCCTCTTTCTTCCCAGCGGATTCTTGCCAATGTTGCTGAAACGCTGCACGTTGCTCAGACCATTTCGTGCCTTGTTTCCTGGAAATTGCACTCAAGGCCCAGCCCGTACGCTTGAAGAGAGATGGTCTGAGTTCTCCACTCTCAAGACGTGCATTCCAGTCGGCTGCTGCCCTAATACGCCGCTGCCATGCAGCTTCAAGTTTGGCAGCAAGGACGGCCGACTCTCTGGATGTGTCTAGTTTGTATAAATCAGACGCTTGTAATGTACGTTGATATCCGAGAACCTAGATAGATGCGTCAAAACAGTATAGGTTCAAATCGGGGTTCAAACAAACCATTATACCCGTTACCCAGGAGTACGTGAGCTGAGAAAAGATGGAGGCGTTGGCCAAAGGCGTTAGCTGTACATAACTGAGTTCTTGGGAGGAAACAACCAGCAGAGGGTTCGCGCACCGCTGCATCCTCCAGAGACGGGGGAGCTGGACATGGCGGGTTCTTAGGTGACCTGATAGCGGTTTGATGAAGGTCATCACTTGTAAAATAGCTTCGCCCACCACAACTGCCACCATTTTTGACGAAATTTGGTATATCCCTTGCCAGTATCAAGTTGGAGGTGTAAAGGTTGGAGGAGATCAGTTGCGTTAACCTCCACGATGTCTTCCTTTTCGCCTTGCAAAGATTCTTCTGATCGTCGAGAAGCCATACAGAAAGAGACTGGAACAGCAGATACTGGGCAGATGAATGGCGGCCTATTAAAAAAGGCTAGGCGAATGGTTCCGTATGATAGATTACCCGAGATGTGCGTGGCCTGCAAAGGCGTCAATGAACCTCGCCGTCACCTGCCGGTTGTAGATTCTACTCGGTCATAGCAGATGCTTCGCATCGAGTACTCGGATCAAGCTAAGCCTCGGCTCTACTGCATAATTAAAGTTCTACGTTGCGATAGCCCCCATTAACATATCGCCGAAAAAAGTTTGTTTCCATACACGTACCGTGACGATGCCAGCAGGGAAGAGTCGCAGACTGGTCTTGCAAAAATCTGTTATTTAAAGTCGAAAGAGGTTGCATCATATTCCCCTTCATATTCTTAATTGATTCTGCCTTGATTTTGATTTGGGAATTTTCAAAGGTTTGCGCCGGGTTTGAAATTGTCCGCGCTCCCTTGCTGGCAGCCCCCGCTGGCCATGAACAATGAGTGGAATACGGTCTCTGTCATCATCTCTCCAGGTTTCTCAGCCTTTGATAAGCGGGTCCTTTATTCCACGTATTCTTTGAGTCCACCCTTGACGTGGCGCCGATGGACAACCATGTTGACGACGAAACATTCTGAAGATGAACATCGATGGAATCAGTGAATGGTATGATGATAATTATCCGTCATCTCTGTGACCGGCGATAATCAAGAAGGAACGATGTATTTCCCCTGAGTTGTCGCCGGGCTTCAGAAAAGTTAAAATTATACACGAGCAACACGACGCGACTTGATGTTCACAGCGAATTGAATTGCCTTTCATGGTTTGTTTGTCCGTATTGAAAACAAAAGGCAAGTCCGAGCCAAACTCATCCGACGCACGTTTAAATTTTCTTCCTGCTCACGGGCAGTTTTCATATATACGAACCATTCCACCGTGGAACAGCCTACATGTTCAAACGGCTCGTCAAGGCTTCAAGCGGGACTTATATGCAGCGGCTGCGCCGTACGTCTACCAATGTGAGCGCTCGCTTAGTACACATGGTTCAGGATCAAACTGTGAACATAAATGGAGGCCTCCTTATATTTGCGGGCAACGAAAATATGGCAGGAGCTGTTGGGCATCCTCAATGCCAAAGCTTAACATCGATGCCATGTCAAGTGATATCGTGTACTGGGATGACACATCATCATTCGCCCAACATCAGCCAGCTTTATGAAAGTTCACTGGGAGTTGTTGAACAAACGTTCCATCCGCGAGCTTTTCATATTAAGTTTTCGCAGTGCATGCGTCCATGGAGTATCGTGATTTGTACTTTTGCAAAACGTGTCAGTTCGTCATAGATCTCCCCGGTGTTCCTCATGGGATGAAGAAACACGTGGAAACCTTTGTCAGGTCTTCGTGATCTGGCCTCTCATGCCACATGCTTTACTCATTATGGATTCAATGTATGGGTACGGAACTCTGCCAGAGGATTGCCATTTATTGTCTTTTTGCAGGTTCTAACCTTGTTCGGGAAGTACTTTTTGAAATCGGAAAGGAACGACTTGTGCGTAGCTCGGATCTTTCTGTTGACATATTGAGTGGACGCAGATCTACTGGTACTATAGTGACTGGACAGTTGCTGGACGATCCCTCCCTAGGTATCGCAGCAAAGTTCCTGAATGAGGATTCTCAGCGGATTCGGATTCGCCGATGCACGACAAGTAAAATTCAAAATCATATACGAGTCTTAGGTAAAATAGGGTTTGTTTATAATCCAAGTTTACACGTCGAAATCCTGTCCCCGTTATGCATATCAAGTCCGTTTCAACTTTGCATTCCTTCCTACTTATCGTGGTACTCCACGTGCAATCTCGCGCTCTCTGAAATCGATGCAGTCTCCGAAGATACCGTCCCAGGGTTTAGGCACAAAATATCACTGCTCTACGTCGAATCCAATTCGTCGAGACAGCTACCTATCGCACTGCTAAGTCTGCGATGTGACGTTCTACTCATTCTGATCGATGCATGATGTGGCTGCTACATGCGTCGTCCTGAGACGATAGTGATACCGAAAGGTTTGTAACATGTTCACCCAACACTGCTCGAATAACAAGAACCAAACATGATATTTATCTGGTGGGCGTATTTTAACCTGAAAGGGATAGTCAACCGAACCATCGCTTCCAGTGTGCAACATGAGTATAAATTCTCAAAGAGAGGAAGGATAGCGGTGTCTTGTCAATACGCAGATTACAATTTTACCAGAACCTTCTTACAGCAGTACGTGTACATGCGTTCTGTATCAATTATATATACAGCCTTTGTATTGATTCTGAAACGGTTGATCAGGCGCAGTGCCACACAGCAAACAACAACACACAGCTTATGTTGAGCGAAACGGTACTTTAGCTTACACCGCGACTCAAGAGTCTTAGTCTTACATACCCTACCTCTCCTCAAAGCCATTCATTGCAAAGACATTAACTCAACGTTGAGATGTCCCTCCTAGAACGCTTAAACGTCCCAATAGATAACGGAACCGGAGCCCCTTCAATCGGCCCCGTCCGCACAAAATCAGGCAATCGTTCATCTCCATACGTGCGTACACCTTTCCATAGTCTACACGTCAAAAGAATGATCCCTCTCGCACACATCTTTTTTCGCTATTATCACCCCCGCCCACCTCACTTCAATAATCGTCTGTCTCACAAAGACCCGCCCAAACCGCACCCCCAAAGGCGACCCAGACGCTCAATGGAGCCACGACCTCTACGAAGACCCAGAAAAACCCAGCCTATCATCAAGACTCACCCTGAGCGCCGCGCAGCCTCGCAAACCCGATTCGCGTCTCGCCCAGCGTGCGCTTAGGGATGCAGCAGGGGACAGCAAAACTTCGGGACAGGGCTTGAGCATCAAAGGTGCGAGTGCAGTGCCGTTGGGGAATGTGGTGGAGATTAGGGGACTTGTTAAGGGTACGACTGCTGCCGATGTTGAGGTGCGCGTTTTTTGTGTTTTTGAGAAAGAGACTGAGATTGAGGTTTCTTTTTGGTTGGTTTGATAGGCTATTTTCAAACGATGCGGTGCGATAGTTTCGTCCGAAACAGCATCTCCTAAGGCCTCTGAGAATGTCGTCGTCCGCATCACGTTCAAACTACCTGCACAGGCAGATGCGGCTGTGAATAAGTTCAACGGGCAGCCTGCAGACGGCAAAATTTTGCAAGTTAGCATTGTGGGGACGAAAGCGGTAGGGTTGTCGGGGAGGCTTGCGGGTGTGGATGTTGTGGATGATAGTGTGGATGTACTTATGGATGGTGGGGAGGAGGGGAGTTCATCGTGAGTGGTTTTAGTTTTGGGGTTTTATCTTTTTAACTTTTATTTGCGTTGGTGCAGAAAAATGCGGTCAGATTCAATCATTGCTTCGGATCCGAGAGCAAGTGTGTTGGTCGCGCCGCCGGGTACAGATCCGAAGCTGTATACCCAACACTCGCATTCAAATTCTCGTCCGGATGGGCAGAAGTGGCATCGTGGGGGAAGGGGTCGTGGACGAGGAGGTCGTGGAAGGAGAGGTGCTGGGGACCGAGGAGCAGGGATGGATGTTGACAATTGAGACGGGATTTCATTTTGTCGGCTATGGGTATGATATGGATGAATGAGTCTGAGGCTTGGCCAGCCTGCATCATCTTAGGTTGCAAATTATCTTAGCATATGTATTTTCCCTTGTGCTGATTACACCTCATCTCAATGTATTTCACGCGAGATTCAAAGTACAGACAAGTATGTTGTGCTTGGAATGGGCATGAGATAGCGTGAACTCGGGCATAATAAGTGGTAGTGAAGAAAGTAGATCGTGATAGCCAACCAAACGACAGCAAACACCTTGTACGTTACTTGCACAGGCTTTACCCCAAGTATCCGGAAAGGTATTCGTCATCAAGCTTCCACCTGTGATCATTCGCTCTCAGAGATAAGAGCGACGATCATCCTAGAGTCTCGTCAGTTACCGTGGGAGACTTGTGAAAGGACTACGCACCGGTAGAGATAGTAGAAGAATGAAAGAAGGTAAAAGCCTAGTTTCATAAAGCTCTCTTTCTTATGACCGCTAAGAGTTCTGAAAATCTCTGTGGCATCATACATGTGGTTCTTGTTACGTATCCTGTGGGACGCGTCAGCTCCAACTACACAAAAAGCGCTCAAGATAAGGACGTACTTGTTGACGTTATAGAAGACCAGAGGGAGGTTGAGGAGGAATGCAAACCATTGACCGGAGAGGAGGAAGAGGATTGTTAGGAATGCGTGTGCAATGTTTTCTGGTAGAACGAACTGGGTGTGTGTCAGTGTGGGTGTATTGCAGGTAGGGATGAAGAGGTACTTGGTTGAGTTTGTTGCAAAGATCTATGGGATTGATATAATCGCATTCAAGGTCTGAGAACATGATTATCTGGGAAGCGAAAGTGAGTGGGGGAGTGAGTGGAGATAGAAAGGAAGACTGACGAAGAAAACCATCGTGAAGAGTAAACCAGCTGCCATTAGTACAGAGAACAGGAACAACCATCCTACAGCAAGCCATCAGGCAGGAGACTCGCGTCAAAAAGACAACGCACCGGCGCCACCCATTTTGTCAGAAAAAGTTGAAGTGAAGCAAGGAAAATTAGAATTTGTTGACTGAGCAGCTACGACTTTAAAATTGTTAGTAGAACCCACACACGGTGAATTCACAAGTAAAATACCTTGATGGAGTCGAACACCAGGAAGAATAACCCTCAACAATGTCACACACGGTGACAAGTCACACGTCAAGAGACCATGGGAGAACATCGGCTCGGTTGAATTCAGACTAGGAAATGTGCCTGGTGGTTACTCAAGCTCAAGTTGCAGTAGATCATACATAATGGTACAACGTCCAACCATCTTCCTCGCAGTGCTATCCAGTCACTGGGTATGTTTGGCTCCCACACGACGATGACATTTTGACTCTATATCCGTTCAGCCAGTCAAGATATAGACGATTATCCTTCTGGACGAGGTTGAGGTGGTTTATTACAACGGATGGAACGAGGCAACATTGAAGTCTTCTTCAGAAACTGACCCCAAGTAGTTTTGCCCCCTACACTAATAGATTCAAGACTCCAGGGTTTCATCGCCAGTAACAGCCACCCCTCCTTTACGTCAGCTGAGGTACAACTCCCATCCGAGACACAACGCGGAAAGCAGTCTGCCATGCAGGCGGAAAAAGCAAGGCAGCAAGCGTGTGGATTTATAGAAGCTGTAGGCTCAAAGATTAGCTTGTGCGTTTCTGCTTACAGAGAAACATATACTGGGATTGACAGCAAAAGATATATGGTTCTCTGTGTGCAGCCAGATTTGTACTACTCGTCCCTTCGTGTTCTCATGCCCCACCTTCTGTCCCTTCATCATGGATTCCCACTTGTGCGATATTTTGCGGTATTCGCATATGGAACCGCCAGCTTGCATCGGATTTTGCGAAGTAGGTCACAGCACATCCTACTCTTGCAAAGTTGTCGAGGTCACTCGATGACACTGTACAGCCGCTCGACAATTGTTTACGGCACATCCAGATCTACGGTGAGTATCCCATCCTTCCCGATTATCTTTCATTAAGCAAGCTCACAGAGAACCGGCTCTGAAACCACAGGACTTCTCGACCTCCAGCCTCCTCTCCAAACAAAGTAGATGCCATCTCGATTTCCCAATACCTGATCGCCCAAAACTTCGCCTCTGCCGCCACAAAAGTCATGATCTCACTCCAAATAGTTGAACATCCGATCGAGGCTTAACGCATCGTTTCATCAACCATACTGCACCAGTTCGAAAGCATAAACACAACTCACTGCCACACTAGAAGCATATAAAGAAGCTCTATCACGCCGGTGAGTCATCTAGTCAATTCAAGGACACAAACCACTAATACTCACGCAAAATCCTCCTTCGCATCCTGAGCATGTCCTACTGCGTACGCAAAAGAGAGGACATGTCGCACTAGCATCACTGACAGCGTCACTGGCAGATATCGATGCTGTCAAAGCGGCAACAACGGCGAGGACAAAAGTGAAACGCATTGTTTGAGGATGGATATGAGATCAAATAAATTTGAAGGGACAGTAGGCAGGCGCTTTGCTTTTATGTGCTGAATATTCGGTGACTTCCCGCAGCATTTAAAGTCGTCGTTCTAAATGTCTAAAGTCCTCATGCCAACGTGCCCCCGTCAAATGTCAGCGTTTTGCAAGTCCGCATATCAGAAACACCCAATTTAAAAGTAATTCCTAGAGAGTGGTAGCCTCCTCAAATAGTGTTCCGACCATGTTCTAACCATCTAAACAGGCCTTTCGAACTTCGTGATTATGTTTTAACCGTCGCTTGCATGCCCTTCGAGCCTCAACACTGTATCATAGAATCTAGATACAACTTGTCTACAGTTTGGAAAGCATTTCTACACTGCGTCGAGGTGCGAGACGATGCTCCGACTCTCGAGGTTTGAATGAAATATAGGATTCAAAGTCGCCCACTATCCTGGAGCAGATGCAATTAACAGCAGATCGGCACCTCCTACCTTGTGAAGCAAGGTCTATAAAACAACATATAACCTTGCGAAGCAAAGTCAATGCCAGCATATTAACATTGCTACCAAACCCTTATCAAGCCTATCGGCAATTGTAGCGTGGAACAAAATATCACCTTGCGAAGCGATCCATTTACACGTCATTTACGTGCCGTAGCTAGCACCATTTTGCGAATTCACTTGGCAACAAAAATAATCGACATCATATCTGCTCGTGATGAACGAGCTAGGAAGATGGTGCTACGCAACTCTTCTTGTGCCCCTTCCAGTCCTCGCGTTGACAACCCTGTGAACAATACCGCACAACCTTGCACCGACTACAAATCAACAACGACGCAGAACCACCACTTTCCTTTCCACAAGCAGCGCACACATTACGCACCACTGCTGCCGGCGCAGGCGTTGATGCAGTACTTGAAGCAACGTTATCTTCCAGACTACCGACCTTTTCAAGGTACGACAGCGCGAACAGTGGACTGATCGCTGCCCTTGTCACATACGGTGCAAGCGGTCGAAGCATCGGGTATTTCTTCACAAATGATTCTGTCCCCATCCCGGCACCGCACGAGCAAATAGGACTCTCGTCCGGCTCCAACGCTAGAGGGATAACGCCTTGTACGCGGTACTCGCAGTTGGTCTTGTGTTTCCAGGTACGACACCGCTCCGTCGCAGCCACGAGGAGGTGCTGCCATGCCTTCCTCTCCTCAATACCCATCTCAATCATCTTCATATTGCTAGGCCTCAAATGACTAGAAACCTTGCTGAAAGCCTCGACCTTCTCAAACGAGGGAGAAGACGGCATCACCCACGCATCAGCGACCATGGAGTGCGAGCCAACGTCCAAGCGGAGATTTGTGATATAGAACATAACAAAGATCTCCTCTTCATCTTTCACTCGCAAGGCGTAGCATAGAGCAGGTTTATCTTCTGCGAGACCGCTCGCCTGCCTAAGGATGCAATGGAGTGAATGCTTGACATCAAGCAGTGTTGACCCTGTATTCAATCCATGGGGCATGCGTTTTTCACGATCAGACGTCATGAAGAAGAGCTGAGGGTTGACCCAGTCAAGAGCTTTCTTATTAGCAATGCTGAAGGTTATACAATGGTCGAGGTTGACGCGGTGCATGTTCCAGAGAGCAAGATCGCCTCCGTGCGGAATAACAGGGAACATGTCCGAGTCGGTGTCTCCAAGAGTAAGTCTCAGGGGCAAGATGATCTGCGCCGAGTCCGACATGAGTTTTTGGAAAGATAGAGAGACAGAAAACGTACTTCGATGTATAGCGACTTTCGCGCAATGCGAAGCTTGGATTTCTTGGCATCAATAGGAAGCGGGAAAGGGAGTTGCAAAGACTTGTTTCCAAGAACGATGGCGATTGAATGCATAGAAACTTGGTTCACAACGGGGGTACCACCGCTGGTCAGGGAAGCTTTCATGTCCGGTTCGACGATATCCACACGAGTGGTGAATGTCAAAGGTGTCTTGCATTCTTTGTCTAAGGTGACGAATGTGCATGCACCAGACGTCTTCATAGGACGGCCGCCGATTTGCACATTCTTCTCCTTGGGACTCTCTGGGCTAGTATTAGGGTGCTGTCGTAGGATATGTACGAGTTGCTCATCTCCCAGGTCCGCGCGGAATATGGATAGGTCAAGCCCCCGCTTCATAGCGAATGCGCAAGTTGCTGGGGTGGAGAAAAGAGATAACACAACCGATAAACGACGCTCATTCACCAGCACAATGGTTGGCACCCAGAACCACACCACTAGAGGAGAAGTTCCATAACGTCTAGTGGTGTCTTCTTTAATGACTGCAGTCTTGCCATCACCATGGCCGCTGGTCGTAATGGTACCAAAAACTGTGCTGATGGCAGAGAACGCGTTTGATGTTGCTGTGCCCCTCAGGTCGCACTGCAACACAGGTGTTCCGGCCTCGTCAAGATCGGGTAAGAGCGGCTGGAGGCGATCCCGAGGAACAACGAGGACGACACAGAGAGTTTTTGGAAGCACCTTCCAATTGCGAAAGACAAGGGGCCTTTCGACGCGATGCACTTCTGGTAGAGGCAGAGACAACCAATCCACATCGAAAACACCAAGAAGGTGCAGCTGGCAGCAGAGTTCTTGGTAAAAGTTCATTCCGGTTATGAGGATCCTGTCATTCCGAATCTTGTCGTGAAGCATGTTCATGGTCGAATCCCAGTCTGTGACCACCCTCCTCTTGACAACACTCAAAATCTCCACAAACGAACGACGATGGTAATGTATGATCCCAGACAGCGACTGTTTGGCCATGGCCAACCTTCGTCCCACGTTCTCATGAGAAAACATGTTGAGATATATATTAAAGAAAACGCCTGCAAGCTGCTCCGCAGGGATATCGATAGGGCAGTCAAGATCAGTCAGGAGTTTCTCAGCACCGCCGATTAGTTTCCATGCAAGACGCTCGTGATTCTGGGTTGTCTTTTGTGATACACGCATGATGTGCTCATGCATGTTTGACCGATTCGTGAACTGCAAAACGAAGCACGCGGGAATCAAGCCGAGGAGCAGACCCATAGTTGCGATATCCCCACAAAGTTGTTCGGCCAACGTGTCCTCTGGGCTATCTGAAGCAAGACCTTCCGTGTACAACGTAGCAGATAGCGTGCGCTGAAGAATGGGAGAAGTAACAGCGATAAGATTCAACACGCCGACGTGATCAAGAAGGTTGGAAGTATCTATGACGTTGAATGTGGTCGGCGCGGGTGACTGCATACTAGTTCCGTAGGCGCTAGGGTCAAAGGTGATGCACGGGATCTTCCAAGGAGCAACGGGGAATGGTGTGGACGTCGATTTTGCGGTGCGGGAGTAGCAAAGGGCTTGGCAAAAGCTCAGAGCGTCTCCCACAAAGCAACGTATAATGAGCGGGCTCGGGGAAGATGGATTTTGACTGCCCAAGACCTTGGACACCGAAGCGCACCACCTGGAAAATTGCTTCTTGCAGACGTCTACTATGTCTTTCAGAGTACATTTGTCTGGGTGGCGAGCAGCTGGCGCAAGCGCTTCTGCCCAATGAAAGCAGCAAAGAGGATCTGTTCCATAGTGTACACCAAATTTGTCACCGACCATGGAGAATGCTAAGGTTGGATTTGGATGTGACATCTCTGAAGGTCTCTTAGGGACGGCAGAGCATATGCCTGTGTCCCAGTAAATGTTGTAGTGATCACCCGCCATTTTTAACGCATACATCGACAGTGGCCCAGCTGCCCGACTTGCTGTAACCACACGTTCGAACTTTGCCCTGGAAGCCTTGACGTCAGCAGCATATGCGGATTCGAATGCTTTTGCCTCGCTAGGAGAGCAAGTTGTCGTCTTGACGTGAAGCTCCCAAAGGCGCCGCAACTCGGCGAGAGTATCTCCAGTACACATACGAAGGAAATAACCGTAAGGACCGTTGTTCCAGCTATCTAGATCGCTGGATAGCTCGACCAACTTCCTGCACTGTGATATGAGCAGGTCATGGGCGGCTTTGTCGAGGAAAAAGTGGAAAAAAATGTTCCAGATTTGTGGCGCTCTTTCCGCAGCACCTTCGTCGGCAAGAAGAGTGAATAAGATAACATTACGGGCTGTTTGATTCATTCATTCAGGAAGATGCATCGAGTGCTAGATTTGGGCTCACCAATGACTGCACTCTCAAGATCGCAGCAAGTAAAGTCCAGTTTTCGTGACGCTGAGCAGGGGTATTAGTGCGCCACTCTATGGCATTAAGATGCTCCTAGTAGGAACGTGCCGATTCACCTTGCAAGCCAGTGCTGTTTGTATATACGGTATAAAGGATGTGCCTCGGGTCGCCACACCCAAGAAGCAGTACGTCTGCTTTTTCAGTTGGACAAAGATCCTGTGTGAGGCAAACTGCAGATGTATTGCCAATAGGATAGAAGAACGTTTTTCCTCTCCATAGGACAGGGTGTGCCATGATTCTGGTATTGATTTCGGGCTGGCACCAACAGACACGATGGCAGTCAAATTTTGAAGGAGTAGGTCACAGGGAAGGACTTGAGGGCACAAGGAACAAATTAAATTGTCCAGAGCTCTGTAGAAGGTCCGTGATCCTCATGGATCATGAAAATGGTTCTAGATTGACTCGCGAAGCCGCACACGACGGACAATTCCCTGATTGATTGAGTAATTCTTATTCATGACAAGTAGGGCGGCTCCATTTTATACGTACGTTACTGCAGCATGTTGGGCTTTTACGTACCCAAAATACTTTTTGAGTCATGAATTCAAGTTGCCCTGCGCCAAGTTTGATTATTCAAACTCTGCAAGTACGTCGACTCACAAATCAGTGATGGAGTACCGAGTCCAACCGTCATAAAAGATGTATTGTACGTGACGCAATGGTCTCTTCAAATATCAATACAGTAAGAGTCTGTCTCGTCCCATGGCAAAAAACAAAGCTCAGGCTTATGACGTCCAATATTGGGTCAATGCCCAAAGCCATATAGTCTGATGCGAAAAAAAAGAAGATCAATAGAGATACCTGAAGCCCTTCTTTCTTTTCACAGCCTCCTCGAATGTAATCCCTTCCAATCTAGCAGCTTCTTCAATACGTTTGCGGCCAGGACCCTCCATTAATCTCTTCTCCTCCATATCCATGTTCTTATTCTCCTTGATTAATATCCACCGCATTACTATCGATCGGTGAGTACTTCGGAGCAGTCAAGTTGTAATTTTGCTCACAGAAGCCCAGGGCTGAGGACAAGACCAGACTGCACAGTGCTATAATCATGGATTGATGATATTGAGGACCCCACGAAGCACTCCAGACATACGAGCCAATCCTATGATCTTGTAAGCGATCTGACATTAACATTGATCATAGAGGCCTCACAAGTTACCGAGGTTTCCAAACCCATTGACAAGACCTATGGCTGCGGCGCGTTTTGCCGGTGGACGAGGAATGGCGTTTGAAACCCAGGTCAATGTCAAGGCAAATCCTTTTGGAAACGTGTCAGGCTTATATTCAACGTTATAATCAGAACTTACCGCAATATCCTGTGGTCATGAGGAACAAGGAAAAGTATCGCCCACCCGTAGCCATGGTGCATAGAGAGATGATATATCCGATGATGACCACCCACCACCAGCCGGCAATATGGAAGAATCGCTCTCCAGACCTATCTATTCATTCTGTCAAAATGACTGATGCACCATCAGGAAATAGACGTACCTGCATGCCATGCGCTGAGTACGCAGCAGACTGACGTGAATATCCACGGAGGACTAACGATCAGACGACAATGAGCCATAGCTGTGAATGTAACAATGGGATATCATGCTTACGCCGCCATCAAAAGTGTGATAGTAGTGTTAAAACCAAGCGTGGCAGTCAAGCTGTCCCGCTCTATGTTAGCGCAAAGTTGTAAGACTGTCCACATACTTACGTGGGGAAAAAGTTAGTGAAACTCAGGCCTAGAAGTTGCATGCAGGTCATGAACATGAAAATGATGGTCTTTGGATCCTTGATGGCCAGCCAAAAGCCATCGTAAATGCTATGACGTTCCGAACGATACGCCAAATTAACAAAAGTGATACGGAGTAGCACCTTGTCAGTGATATGAAAAGATGGAACTTGAGCTGGACTTACGTGACGTCGTCGGAATCCTTGTCAGCCTCCCCTGCATCTTCTGCGAGACGAACTTGACTCAAGCGGCGTTCCGCTGCGTTAAGCCATCGGGTGTTATGGGGCTATGACATGTCATGTCAGACCCGTCGAAACTTGTTCTAAAAATATCATGCTTACAAAATCTGGAAGAAGCCACCTGGACAAAAACCGTGGCCGTCAACTTTGAGTTAGAATAGAAACTTTCACAAACGCACATGGTCAAGAAGCCAAAGGACATGGTGATAGCACCCTATGCCGATGAAGGGATTGATCAGCATAGAAGGCCCGGGAGTAGCGTAACATATACCTCTATGTAGAACAACCTGCGATACGAAACTCCGGTCAGGGCACTGCTCTTGAGAATAGAGATTTTGACTTACCATCTCCAGGCCGCAAGTCCCAGTACGCCTTGCATTCTTGCGAGAATTCCAGCTGCAATTAACTAGAAAGGATCCTTATCAGGCGTCATAGCCCACTATGACGGCAGCAAGCTCACGCTTCCAAATGCATTCGAGATTAAAGAGCCACAATAGAACCACGCTGACCGCGCGGCAAGCTCCTGAATGTGTTGCATGAGTGATAGTTTATAATTCTAAAAACGTGATGCTCACCTTCCTGGTATACCATCGCGAAAGCAAATACATGACACCAGGATAGAACGCAGCCTGCGGAAAGCCGCACTCGTTTAGCCCGCACATCATTATCAAAAAAATGAAAATTTTACCTCAGGAATACCGATGCACACACGACAAGCCATGATACCTGAAAAATTAGTTGTAACCTGTGCGATGGTTAGTAAGCACGAGTTGCAGTCGCGACTACCCAACAAAACTTACCCCAGTCAAAGCACTGGTAAGGCCCCATCCGACAACGCAAGCCCCAATATAAATTGATGGTCTGAGTCGCGTCTTCTTAGTTCGACCAGATCAAGATATTTTCAATCATGACCAACCGTGAAATATAGCCCAAGATCTGTTGACAGTCAAGATCAATCTTACATTCATAAACAATAACGCACAAACAAACCATGTTCGAGGGTATCTGGTCGCAGATGAGATGTTGTTAGAAAGATCGCACGAGTTTGTGCAGAAAATTTGCTCACTTGTATCGGGCAATAAGTGGCATAAAGAATAGCTAGGATGGTTTCATACTGAACGGCTAGTAGATCGATTAGGTACGAATAATACGGTGGTCCACTTCACTCACTCGTCAATCCAAGATCTTGCTCTAAACCTTGCAGCCGCGCAGTAGTAATAGCGACACGCTACGCGTAGTACATGTAAGCACACTGAGGTTCATAGATCGATGTTTGCATACATCAATGTAGTTCAAGATGAATATGACCACAGCAGTGATCATCAGCCGGCAGTCTAATTTGCGCACCAGCGCCCGTTCTCCCGCCTGCCTGGCCTCTGCAGTCAACAGCCTAAAGTCGTCATCGTCATTTGACACTGCGACTGCATTTTCTGTAAAGGATTCAGATTTCTTCTCTTCCTGGATGGACATGTGGGGAAATGAAGCGATACACCACCTTGACACAGTAATCTAACCACCCAAGCAGATGCCTTTTATACCAGTGACCAGAGATCGCAATGCCTATAATAAACTCGATTACCCCACTCAGTCCAGAAGTAGAAGGCGACCAGAATACCATCAGCTACCAGAGGGGAAGTATATTTTGGCGAGCGCTGAATGCATCCTGTAGCCTATTAGGTCCTACTAGGGCCCTCGCGTAATGGCCTTCACCAGCGCCTCCAGTTGCGCACCACTTCCCTTCACTGGGAATCCTAGACTGCCAAGAGCGTCCGCCTAGTGCGTTTGGCTTTGGGGTCAACTGTGAGTACTTTAGTCTTTGAATTTTCCGCCGACGCACAGGCTGTCATACACTAAAAAAGTAGCCCGTCACCTGACACCACTGAAGTGGAGCATCACGCGAAACTGCGCAAACAGCACATAAATGCAGCGAACCGACCCAATAAAAGAATATGGTTCCCGACGGGTTTGCATATTTAGAGCAAGAGGGACAAGTTAGGATTTGAAGTTTTGAACGTAACATGTGCATCACAAAAGTTGCTCAACCGTGAAATTACCCGATATGGATGGTAGGGTGCCTAAACATACAACCAAACAATCACGCGTGATGTCATCCACATCACGACGCGACAATTGAACGCAAGTAAGTAACTCAGAACGACACCACATCCCTCGTCATTATATCACATTGATTATGAGTAGTTACTTCGTGTATCTACATGATATATCATAGACACTACTATATAGTGATGTCTCAGCTCCAAGCTGCATTTTTCAGAAAATGAGCATAACATGCTGAATAAAATTCCTAAATTCATGACAATATTTATGGACATAGATTGGGCCAAAAGCCGGGAGGCATCTAAGGGGAATTTGTACTGTGATGCATCGTTGTCTTGCTATAAAGCAGCTCAGAAAATGGCTTGAATTTTGAGCCATTTGCTGAGCTGCTTCATAGCAAGACAATGATGCATCACAGTACAAATTCCCCTTAGATGCCTCCCGGCTTTTGGCCCAATCTATGTCCATAAATATTGTCATGAATTTAGGAATTTTATTCAGCATGTTATGCTCATTTTCTGAAAAATGCAGCTTGGAGCTGAGACATCACTACTACTATATATAAATAATGTTGTGTAGATACTGTAATCAATTTTTTTGGCGCAAGTAGTGCTGCCGTGGTCCGGTTCGGTCCAGTTCAGGGGGTCCAGGATGAGAACCGAGAAACGAACCATGGTCCAGTGCATTGCGGCGAAGTGTTGATGTGATCCCCCTGCTAGAGAAAGCACATTCTGAGGGAACTGCGCTGCCCTGAATTGGTAGATAATCGCACACAATGTGAGATAGTGTTGGATACTGAAGTGAGTGTAGCTAATGAATAGAGTGAGCTCAGAATGTGATAATACAAAGAAAAATGTACCCCCCGCCACACCACAATATTATCTGTCTCTTCCAATGGCAAAGTGAGATATGATGAGAGTTCTTGAAGTGGGTCATGCATGTGATTGTCTGCTGCTTGATGTGCTGTGACAGCATCGCGCATCCAGGATTGGCCATACCGAACACCCTGCAACACTTTCATTGGCATGGCAGCGTCCATGGTGGGCAACATTGGAGGCGCTTCATAATATTTATTAAACTACACAACAATCAGCCAACAGAATATTAAGTGAAGTAAAACTTACCAGGGCTTGAAGACCAACCCTCCCACTCATGACCTTTGCAGCGCTGTAGAGACTAATATCTCTGTGGGCTTGCAGGGATCTAAAATCCCAATGTCTCTATCACTTCCCAACATAGCGCGACTCATATCTCACCCAGCACGCTCAAGCGCCTCATCGGCTGCTCGCAAGCGCCAGCGCTCCAGTCGCTCATCCATTGTGCATCAGCGCACGCATCCTCGGTTCCATCGCACGTCCTCCATCCATCCATTCCATGTCCGTTCGGTTCGTTGGTGCGTATTCCAATTCTATTTTCATTGATTCTGACATATCTCCGGCGCTTATGGCCATATTCCGTATGTTTTCCGTTATGGACTCTTTTATTACATATTATCTTGCGTCCGCTTCGCTTCTCGGTTCACTTTAGTGCTTGACAGCGCTTAACATTACTTAGTATATATAGACGCGCATAAACTGTATAATGAGTATCTTTCTGCCCGCACATCGTTGGACTGTAAGTCTAAGTTCTCCCTCTAAATCTAAAGTATCTAAGTACAATACAAGCGCTGCCACCATACATTACTAGAAACTCTGCCAATTAGTTTTCTGACTTATTAAGAGTCACTGCACTCCACCAAACCGCACACGCACTGCTTTCGCTTAGCGCGTGCTCCTGCTATAAGTCACGCACCAATACTTATTGTTGGCCGCTATCGCTCATCGGCGCTTCACGTCGCTTTCGCTCGCTCGCACTTCGCTCATTGTCACGTGCCTTACCAGGCTTGACCAAGCGCCCGGTCCAGTGTTTCCCTCCAATTTATACACTTAGAGGAACCTTCTCAGTAGCAATCCCCTTGGGCCGACATATATCTCGCTCACCGAGGACTACTTGAGTTATCTCATACCACTCATATTCCCCCACTTCCCATTCCTCTTCTACAGCGCTCCAATGACTTTCGACATACACCAACTTGTAGTTGGGGTCAAGAACTGTAATTACATTAGAAATACACTGCAGGAGAAAGAAAAACAAGTACTCACCCAGACAGACGAAGTATATATCTGAGTTGTTAGTTTTCTCATAGTACTTCCCCATGTTATTGAGGCCTTTCTGAATTGCATTGGCGATCAGCGAATATTCTGCACTGTTGGCCATTGTCTGCCATGTATTGGCGAGACACTCCAGTGTAGGTATGGTTTGGGAGGCTGTTGGGTGTGCAGCTGAAGAAAATGATTGTTGTGCAGTTGTGGGTTCCTATTAAACATAAGTAAGTAAACAAGTAGACGAACAAAATAAGAATAGCTACCTTGAGGACATTACACACAAGCCAAATTTTCTTCCAGTCAGTCCGATCAAGCTTGAAGTCGCTGTAAGCTTTGTTGCGCAACATCGGGACTTTGGGACTCTCATCAGCAAGCAGGGTGAAGTGGTTGATGGCCAGATGAAGAGACATGAAACATTCCAGGCATTTGAAGAGAGACACCCAGGCCAAGATCTTGCAAATGGGAATGCCCTCTTCCTTACAGGACTTCTTCAAGAAAGCGCAGGCTTGTGGGAATTTGTGAATCTAAATTTCGCATCAGAAAACAACTCAAAGACAAAAAGGAAAAACTAAGACTTCACCTGTTCGATGAGAGCAAGTGCCTTTCCAATGGCATCCCCAACATCAAACCCATCCTTGGTTATAGCCTCAGGATCATCCTCCAGTGTAGCGAGCTGTTTGGTCAAGCTGTCAATGTCAGTCTCATCACCACTATCAATAGCGCCACAGATATTTTTGAGTAATGTTGCTTGAGGTGTGGGTGCGACTGCATCAACAAAGTGACGTGCAGTGAGATTGAGGATGTGTTCTTGACATCGGATGTGGCAAGAACCTGGAAGCCAATGAGTGCCGTCCTCGTCAATGACCTTCACTACTTCTTTCATGGTGGTGTCATTGTTCAAGGCATTGTCTGATATCATCCACCCAACCTGTACATACAAGTAAAGTTAGTCTAATGCTAATGTGAAGCATTTTAAAAAAAACTCACCTTCTTGTGAATGCTGAACCTATCTATGGTCTCAATAAGTATGCGGCCAATGTTATGGCCACTGTGGTTGCCTTCGACACGGCTGAAAGTGAGCTGCTCGTTTTTCAACTCCCACTGTAGCGGCTTGTTGGGAGGGTTCCAAATGTAATGCCCAGTAACGGAAAAAAATGGTTCACCAGTAATTGATGTCCATGAGTCAAATGTCATGGAAACTGCACTATCAACATGCTACCAAAATGTTTTAAAGAACTAGTCACAATATAATTAGAAAAAAACATACCACCAGACGTTCCTTGATAGTTTGAACAATAGAGGTTGCTCAAGCCTTGATAGTATCTGTTAACTTCGTGCAATGCAGGATATCTTTTTCGGTAAGAGATGGACGTGCATACTGCAGCAAACATCGAAATGCTGGCTTGTCTATTAGCTGGATGGCCTTGTCTTCGGTCACAATGAGCTCCATGATGTATTCCAGTAGGCTGTCCTTGGTAAATGCAGGCGGCCTCAAGACAAGACTGGCATCAAGAGTCATTTGTGTCTCCATGAGATCTTGGCTGGGTGGGATTGCACGAGGGTGCATTGTAATGCCCCCTGCCTCACACCATTGTCTGTATACCTGGAAATGAGTTTTCTTGTTGTGAACAACATGTGTCCGCAACATTGAGGTGCCACCATGGAATGTGTGTTTTTGGCTAGGTTCACCAGCATCCCTTACACAAAGTGAGAAAAAATTAAAAAGAGATTGAAAACCTAAAACTTACTTGCACAAGTTGCAGACTCAGCCATCAGAGGTGCGAGTGAATATGGTACAGAGATCTGCTGTACGTTCACTTTTGGAGACCTAAATATGAGCATCAGTTAAGAAGCAATGAATGTAGAGAGAGATACATACTGTCATCTGAGAGGCATCATCTCCATTCCCAGATTTGGCTTTGTTGTCATTGTCATTGTCATCTGGGTGCGGAACAAACTCTTCATAAAATGACCCTTCTTGGGTAGGGGGGGAAGAAGGGCTATTGCCCTCATCCTTGTCCTCTTCATCAGTGTCCAGAGGCGACAAAAAATGCATGGTGGTGGCTTTCTTTGGTGGAGGATCAGTGGCACTGGATAACATGTGCTTCCTCGTGTTTGAGGACACATTGTTAGCATCCTGAACACAAGCGGAGGGCCTTGATGTGCGAGTAGAATGTTGGGAACCAGCCACAATTAGCACTGGTGTGCATCCAGATTGGAGCAGAGCGGTGAAGGTGTTTTTCAGTGGGACCTGCGGCAATGGTGTGTGATCATTGGGATAATTGTAAAATACAATATCTGAGGCATCCTTGAGCATCAGAAAAAATTAGGGTTTCTATAGTGCAATCTATATCATATAGCTGTCATAGCCTCATAACCCCCCCCCCCCCCTCCTTTATTGTCACTGTATAGCAATCCCTTGTATTTACATAGCTGCCATAGTAACATGAGGATTCATTATAGCAATATAATATTACCACTAGTAGCTACATTTCGCTATGTAACTCACACCTACATAACTGCCATTGTCATGTCAGGATGCACTGTAGCAATATAATGTTATCTCCGATGTCTACAATTCTCAATGGGTCTGTAACTAAGCATTATGATGCTATCATTGAATGCTATCAGGTTCCCACTTATCCAATAGTAACTGCTATTATAATAATTTGTAAATTTCACTGGACATTATGCATGCACTAGGTACCCTTTGATGATCAGCTATAGTTTCCTTACATTATCATCTTACACAGCTACATAATGCTATGACATCTTACACTTACTACTATAGAAGTACTATCAGAGTTATGAAGGTCTCATACAGAGTCATACCATGCTTGCTACTAGCCACTGTGATACACATATTTGAGAGCCAACACTATATAGTAGTATGAATTGCTTTACCTGTCCACTGATACCAAATTCCAAGTAGGGATCACATCTGTGCAAAAGCCCAACTGTCCAAACAACTCACGAGCAAATGCCTCCGAACCATAGATGGACACGTCTGACGACCTTGCTGCTGACCTTGCTGCTGATATGGGCCTGAAAAAATGCTTCCAATCCTTGCGGGTCTTGCCAGCTTCCGTATTTCCAGAGGATAAGTTCCCAAGGTGCGATTGAAACCACTGCTCATCTGTGTCTGACCAAAACCCTTTCCATTGGCAAGACGAATTCCAGACATCGTGGGGCAGCCAACAAGATCCAGTTCCTGAAACACCAATCAACATCGCGATGTCCGCCGCAGTCACAGAATCGTCCCATGATTGACCGTTGACTTCTCCTATTCCCCATGTCGTGACATCCAAAGAGAGGCCTGTGAGAGCATCATTCAGAAGGGAAGGTGGGCTGAATTGGAGTGCAAGACGCCATAGAATTCCCCCCATGGTTAAGAACCATCGCGCATAAGGACGCCTCAGTAGTGCCTGTACCCGTGCTAGGTAAGTATTCCAGTAATTCGGGTCCTTGAAGTTCAACAACTCTGGATAGGTGTTACAACTATCCAAGTAACTTGGATGACCTCTAGTTAAGGAAGGGACTCGGGTCACCTGGGAAATAGGCGTGAAGATGCGGTATGATGCTCTGCGGCGGAGCAGGCTTGGTACAGAGGCTGCTGGAGAAGCGGCAGGGTGGTCGTAGATGTCGTGCGCGACTCGAATGGCCGATTGAAAAGACATAACTAAGGTACCTAACCACGGGGCCAGGGTAGCTGGGAATATGATCCCTGAGAGCCTGAGGTACACAGGCGGTCCAATGATTAGGTACACGTCTTCCCCGTAGGCACTGCGAATAAGCTGCAAGCCTTCGTTAGAGGGTAGCGCATTGGGAATGAGGATTGGTGGATGGGGTAAGAATTGGCAATGACTAGATTGACGAGGTAGAGAAACAATCAGGGGCACTGGAGGCGACCCTGGTGCTGATGGGAATCATAGAGTAGTGGGGCCAGTGTCATCTTCTCCCAAGGAAACTAGAGTCTCAGCTCGTCGACCATTTTGTGCGTTCGTGTTCTTGATGTTTGGGAGCACTAGTGCTTGCGTGTCCGCAACCATGCACGTCCGCTTGTGAGGTGTTTCAGCCTGTATTTCCACATATTACAGTGACCTATCTCCATATAATACGAGGGAATGGACGTGCATAATATCCCGTATGATACGGGCCAGCGGACCATGGGCCCAGGATAACAATATCCTCAACTATGATGGATGGGCCGGGAGGCAAATTATTCCCGATGGAGGCGGGTGGGCCCATGCAGGGAATATATAGAGTAGATGAGTGGGCCGATGTACATGAATATTAGGTAGACGGGTGGGCCGAGGTAGTTGGATATTATGCAGATGGGTGTATTAAGGTAGATGTGTATGAGATAGATGGGTAGGTACTTGTTATCACATTCACGGGTGGGCCGAGGGTATCATAAAATATTGTATTAGACAGGTGGGCCGAGGGTATTATAAAATATTGTATTATATGGGTGGGCCCAGATGCATATTAATTAGACCGGTGGGCCGAGGGTGTTGTATGGGATGTTGTATTAGACCGGTGGGCCGAGGGTGGTATAAAATATAGATGAGTGGGCCCATGTGTATCATAATTGTAGACATGATGGAGCTGAGGTAGTTGTACATCAACCAAATCAGAGGAGGTAATAAATCAAAGTTACCAAGTTCCCGGAGCATCAGGTGATCTCCTGACATGGCAGTGCGAAGCTTGTGTTGCCCTACAAAACGCCAAGTTCTGACCACCAGAATTTGAGTCAACTGTACCGAGTTCCAAGTTCCGGGACCCAGAACTCAACACATAATTTAGTTAATACTTTTTGATGGTGCACAGGTTGTCTTGCAGAATGTGGAATCCGGGGTGCGAGGCTTGTGTTGCCCTATGAGAAGCCAAGTTCCGACCACCAGAATTTGAGTCAACTGTACCAAGTTCTGGGACCCGGAACTCAACACATAATTTGGTTAATACTTTCCGTGTTAAATGGCCAACCGAAGTTGAGATGTTTCTGAAGAGAGCAGCAGGTGCTCTTTTGACATGGCCTTTGATGGTGCTTAGGTTGTCTTGCAGAATGTGGAATCCGGGGTGCGAAGCTTGTGTTGCCCTACGAGAAGCCAAGTTCCGACCACCAAAATGTGAGTCAACCGTACTCAGAGGAGGTAATAAATCAAAGTTACCTAGTTCCCGGAGCAGCAGGTGATCTCCTGACATGGCTGTGCGAAGCTTGTGTTGCCCTATGAGATGCCAAATTCCGACCACCCAAATATGGGTCAACCGTACCGACTTCTGAGTTCCGGGACCTGGGAGTCGACAAATGAATATCTGATGACCAGCACACTTCCAATCAGGTAGTATTTCATTGAGCAATGGATAATAATACAGCTTTGACAGCCAAAATTATCCCAGGCTCCCTTATCTGATCCTCTCTATCTCCACCCCCTATAACACCAAAGTCCGGACATCCAGCATTCAGCATCTGATTTCCCAAGATTAACATCCAGCATGAACGGTTCTTCCCCTTCCCCTCCTGATAGCATAAACATCTGGCGCACTTTGGCCCTGACTGTGACTTATGAAGCAGGGGAATATACCGAACAGAAATTCAAGGCAGAGAAGACTGGAGGAGGCCCAGTCATACCTTCCCCCAACCTAGACACTGACCTGGTGATGGCATGTGATCGCTTGGCTGATGTACTCATAAAGGCATATAAAAATCCCAGTGGGTCTTCGTGCAGATTCGGAAAATTCATTTTATCATTCAAATTCCTGCATGACAGTTCAGATGCAGATGGATATTGCAAGATATAGCAAATTGATCTCCCCGAAGGACACCAGGCATAATGAACATAGAGAGGCGAGGTTGCTTGAGAGGTGTCCTCCTGGCCATGAAGGCAAAAGGTTGGTCGACGAACCTGCCACAATTCTCGATGCATCTGGTGCCATCATTGCATGGTACCTCCCAGACACCCTGACCAACACCACCCAGGTGTGTAATATATATTGTTACTCAATGGATATTGAATATTAATGGAACCTACAGAAGGAAATCAGGGAGGCCACCGATTTGCTCGCTCCAAGTCTTGAAAAAGTGTAAGGGCTGATGGCAATTGGCGAACTAATCAAACATTGTTCAACCGGGGCTCGGAAGATGTTGGACCAACTCCCGGATGCATTAATCTATCTCCGGCATGGTTTCAACAGGGACACGAGGTAGGATCTGATGGGATGGTGATTCTGGCAGTCATACTCACCAATCTCAAAGAATGTGTCAGATCCGGAGGTATCTGCATCATTGAAGGGACCTTCCTGTGAGAATATTCTCAAAGCCATTGCAAGGCCAGCAGCCATCACATCCACGGCACTCAGAGTCATGCATCCTGAGCAGTACTGGGCAGGATTGAGAACCTTGTCAAACCTTGGAAATATAGCAGTACGCAAGGATCTGCCACAGATGCCGGAGGCTCTGCAGTACTGGGCATCCATGTTTAACACCCTCTCCATCATTTCCAATCAGGAAACCCCCCATCATCGAGACCACATGTCCATTGCTGAATGCTTCGACATTCTCACCACCATGGGGAACTATTCTAATGCTTGGATGACAATGCCAAGCCTTCAGCTGGAGTTCAAGTACAATTCTGGCTGTATGATTGCGTTTTCTGGAAGGATTGTGAGACATGGAGTTTATGATGTGGAAGGGGATCGGATTGCTTGGGCATGGTATATGAGGGATGCTGTTCACATTTACGCTGGTGTTCCATCATGTGGATGGGCTAGTGTGGATGGTCCGTACAGCGTGTGAAAGATCAAACAAAGAGCAAGCATTGTGACCTATATACATTCCAACAAATGAATACCATGTACCAATAGTTATCCGGACCTCAATACTCAATTTTGAGCATTTGCAAAGTGATATGTGGGACTGAATAATTTGGATGCAAGCCTCAGTATTCAATAATTGGAACTCATGACTTGACATATGGGAGTTCCAGGTGCCAGGTTACTGAGTCCCAACACCCGGACCTCAGCACATGATATTTGAGACTAGGGGAAGATGTATAAATATGCTCGAATTAACATTTGTTATTGCCATACACATTTGACAAAACCCTGAGCCCCGACATTGTGGACTCCGGACTCGACACTGTTCTGAATACCGAGTCCCGGACGCCCAGGTCCTGAGTCCTGAATTTCGGAGGTCGGGGTTCGGCAACCTGGAGCTCGGCAACTGTGTTGGGTGTCAGGGTATCCAGAGCATTGGAAATAGCATGTGTCAGTATTTTGCGTTTCATGGTTCATGTTTCGTGGTTATGGAATTGAGTGTCAGGGACTTGGTATTGAGAACAGTGTTGAGTCCCAGGTCACGAGCTCTGAGTCCCGAGTGCCGAACCCCGGGTCCCGAGTCCCGAGTCCCGAATTTTGGAGGTTGGGGTTCGGCGACCCGGAGCTCGGCAACTGTATTTGGAGCATTGGAGATAGCATTTGTCAGTATTTTCCATTTCATGGTTCATGTTTCGTGGTTATGGAATCAGGTGTCAGGGACTCGGTATTGAGAACAGTGTTGAGTCCCGGGTCATGAGCTCCGAGTCCTGAGTCCCGAACCCCAGACCCAACAGTTGCCGAGCTCCAGGTCACCGAACCATGACCTCTGAAATTCGGGACTCGGGACCTAGGGTTCGGCACTCGGGACTCGGAGCTCATGACCTGGGACTCAACACTGTTCTCAATACCGAGTCCCTGACACCCGATTCCATAACCATGAAACATGAACCATGAAATGGAAAATACTGACAAATGCTATCTCCAGTGCTCTGAATACAGTTGCCGAGCTCCGGGTTGCCGAACCCCGACCTCCAAAATTCGGGACTCAGGACCCAGGGTTCGGCACTCGGAACTCGGAGCTCGTTGTAGAAACAACAATACTGAGAGGAACAAAGAAATGCTCCTGACTGTATCTAAAAAGTTGTAGGTCGTGCGTTGCCTAGTCTGCGATACTTGAGATGGCAAGTGCATTCGACCCTAAAGGGGAAGCAGGTGCAGTGGAGATCTAGAGGTACGCGCTTCAGCGAAGCGCGAGAAAGCGCAGGTGCGCGCAAGGTACGAAGGCGTGGGAACGCGCGCGCGTATTAGCGTGAAGCGCGGGAAAGCGCGCGCGTGTAAGCGGAAATAAGAGAGACTAAACTTATGTGAAGATATAAGCAAGATAAAGGATGTGAGATGTGTTGTGCTAATGAATAGATTTCTACTGCGACTTTCTAAGTAGTAAGTACTAGGTAAAGTTGGGTGAAAAGTAAGGTAAATAATAGTATGTACTGCTGGCGCTTATATAGCGCGCCTAAGCGCGCTCATGCGGAGCCGAAGCGCTACCGAGTAGGTATGTAAAAATATATATGAGTGAGAAACTATGATAAAAATAAAGGTGGAACTATGCTAATAAAGGAAATGGAAATATACGCACTAGGGAGCTTGGTGGACAGTGGATGGATGCATCTGGATGGCTGGCGCTATAGGGCGCGCAAGCGCGGGAACGCGCGCGCGCGTATACATCGTGAAGCGCGGGAATGGTGCGCGCATGGCGCGCAGTTGCGCGGGAAAGCTGCGCGTCATATAGGAATCACTGTGGATGGTACACAGAGTGATGCTGCGAGTTGGTGCTGTATACTCCCTAGTGTAAAGCGCCATA